CTTCACAACGATGCAAGGTAAGACCAACTCCATTTACACTCTCCACACCACTAACTTCTGGCATTGCCAACAATGCAAACCGTCAATGGGCGAACAGGTGGCCAATGGCGACGCATTCAGTTACAACAAGCACGTGCGCGATCTACCCTTGACACAAGCTTCCATTCCAATACAACATGTAAGTTCAATCGCTGCAATTCCTTTTATTGTTCAAGTCGAACATTGTAGTACTAAAGTTCGCGTGTAGGTTGGTGTTGTCTCGTCTATACGACCCAATGAGGCGTCGTGTGTCTTCCTTACCGAGTTGTCCACAATGAGAGTTCTCAAGACGTCTTGACATTGCCTCTTTTGGGTATGCTGACAACAAAAGCGTGTGGGTTGGTTTTACTTGTTATCTCACATTGCGTTTATGGTAGGTTGAACATGTTGGATGATGGTACCTCTGGCAGCAACAGGATACGGATATCAAAGCAAGAATGCTGTATGGTTGGCTCAATGGTAAGCGTGGTATTGAATCTACAAAGCGAAACCTGTTAATTAACGAGACTTACAGTGAAACAGCAGCAAGACAATATGGATGACGTGGAGATACGGTTTTATTTGAGGCATTGATGCTTTGAGAAATACCACAAGGTAAGAGTGTTCATTATTATGGGATTGGTTGGATTCAAGTGGACTTACCAAACACCATACAGTGGCAGAGCCTCTTTCGGCGATACTATTATTATCACGGCTGCACGTCAAGGACATCATTGTACTGTACTTTCCTGTGGAGCTCTACATGCTGTTCCCGGGGACAGTGCGACTCACGTTGCGGCCTCAGGGATTTAAAAATGCATCCTCTGTTCGCACGGCTCCATCGTTTTACGGCTATTGATCTCCTTGCCTTTAGAGAGAAGATGGTATCTCTATTGATGCACTTCATCGCGTCGATCCACAGGAGAGTACCGGTACTATGATGTTCCTTTGGCTGTGCGCTTTTATAATTACTTTACATCCTGATGGCCTATTTGGTTCCCGAGTCTACCGGTGATGATTGCGTGATTCAGGTCTGTATGACACTCATGCTTTTTGGAGACCTTTGCTGAAACGCTTACCATTATTTAGAGGGACCATTGCAGAGAGCTGCTTGTCTTTTGGTGCTTTTGAGCTTACAAGATCACAGCTATGATTGCTAAGTATTTATTCGATGGGTTTGGAAAATCGTTTACATACCATGTATCTTTTATACGTAGGTGAATCATGTCAGCAATCGGGAAAAGTTCGTTTATCTCTTGGTGTCATCAAATCTTTATTTCATTTCTGGTGGTTGGTTACCAAGCAACGGGCGATTTCTCTGAAGAGTGTCCGCCAATGCAAGTCTCTTGTGAGTGGATTGTATCAGCAACAAGTAACAGCATCCATATCGTTGGTTCCATATCAAGCTTTATCCCATCATCTGGTTTTCTCGTTATCGGCAATTCGGTGGGCATCCTGAAATGAAGGTCTCTTATCGATTGGTCACATCAGCAACAAGGAACAACTTGTATATCTTTGGTATCAGCAAGCTTTCTATCTCTTGGTGGTTCTGGTTATTGGCGATTCCTTTGGTGCGCGGCTGCTATTAAACGCCTCTTGTGGATGGATCATGTCAACAACAAGCAGAGGTGGTTGGTGGTTGGTGGTTGCCATGGCGATATCGTTGTTTCCTTTTGCTCCTTGCTATTCCCGCTCTACGCTTGGTGTCAACAGGTACATTCAGAGTCCAATGTTGCAGCGTAACTTGTTCCATTGACGCGTCAGCTTGTATAGAGGGCAAGTTTGGTTTCAAGACGTTGGCTGGTTTGGCGTTTTGTTTCGGCTCAACTATACTACACCATGGTTTTCGGTTTCCAGTAACCAACAACAACGGGTCTTTGTGTATATGGAAAAGGCAAGTGAAATGAAACAAACAATGAAAAAGGTGTTTATTGTGTGTGTGCTAATAATGAATTGACTAGGTTTCTTTGGTCAGGCAATGCAACTTGGGGCATCATCATCATCTCTTTGGGTTCAAGTCCCAGCCTGTATCAAGTGGCCGCTGCGTCCGCTCTGCACTAGCCAAGTTTGCTGGAAAAGCTTCTTGGAACGCGTCCAGGGGTCTATAGGCCTGCGTTGAGTTGATGGGTCGATGACGATGGGTTTTTGGAAGAGCATGGTCACCGTGTAGGTAAAAAGGGGATTTGCAACAACTCGTGAATGCGTTGAACCAACACGCTCTTCTCGTGATAGGCTCGTTCTTTCCCTTTGAGGATTTCTTTTCATGAGGTGGGAAATGATTGGAAGGATTGGGGATCATTCTTTCTTTGCAAGGATGAATGAGGACAACTATGAGCCTGGACTTTACGTAAATGAGTCCTTCCTTGCCATGGATCGAACTGGCCTTGCGTGATTCGTGCAGTGCTTTCTCAAGAACAAGGGATTGCCCGATGTTGCTCGTATGGTGGGTGATTTGGTTTGTGAATTCCTTCTGATTTGCTTTCTTCCTTGGAGTGGATCGCCTAACGGTATACCAAATCGTCATCATTCCCGGTATCAGATCGTCTAACTTGGCTGCTTTTTATTTATAGGGACGACCATTACGATGACTACGACGACCACGACAATTACAACAATGACGATGATTACGATTATTATGATGACTACGACGATTTCAACAATGACGATGATTACAACAATGACACAAACAAGCAAGGTTTGCGTTCTCTTTCCAAAACGGCGTTGCTTGATCCGTTTTCCATATCTCTTGATATCTAAGAGGAAGCCTGCAAGATCCCATTGTCTTTTTGGATGATTGGTGACGACAACTTTGAGGACGACGATGACTGATGGACGTCGAAGCCGGCGATGGTGGTGGCAAAATAGGAGATCACTAGAGGAAAATAATAAAGGATCGGTTACTACCGCACTTGGATTGCTAGCATACATATCCCCTTGTTGCTTGCTTGTGGATCAATATAGCTTAGATGGAACAATAAAGAAGATAGTGTTTACGTTATTCGTTCTTATAAGAGGTATATGCCTTTTCTGATACAATAGAGAGTGGGAGGACCTTTTATCATTAGCTTCTAATAAATTGACTTGATGCGCACAATCACTGATACCCATAATTCTAAATCCATCAAACAACTCATTTTTGCGATTTGCCATATCGTCGACAATCCTCCAAGGAACTCATACTACCTACCATCTAGCTCGTTTTTATTAAATTAAGAACAAGCAAATCCTACGTTCGGTAAAACAGTGCATGGTTTCCTTCATGTCCCCACTCAACCTTATGCGGAGATGTCAAAAGCAATGATAGTCTCGGCATGATCAACCATGGCCTCTTTATGGAGCGATTTTTGTAATCATCACGTTGCTGTTAAGACCTATTCTCAAGTCATCGGTAGCTGAACAAAGATCGACATCAACATACAAGTCCTTCGATATCGCTTGTTGAATAAAAAAGTAGGCTATAGAAGTGACCATGTTGAAGGGTTTAACACTAGAAACAATCGCAACCCCCTTTGGGGATCACTCAAGAAGCCAACCTCTCTTGCGTCATTTCTCGTAATTGAGCGTCCAAAAGAAAGAGGCCAAAGATAGGGCTATCAGCCAACTCCAACAGGCATTACTGTGTAACCAATACACCTCGTCTTGCATAAACCAAAGGCCATTTCTAGCACACATAACGAAGCCATGGCTTTTGAGGAATTCAATGGGGTTGTATGTAATAGGATACAGGTGAAAAACAATCGATGCGAGTACAACCCCGATCTAGGGAGCAAAAAAAGGACCGCACTGCACGTCAAGTTATCATCTCAACTACGACAATGCATTTAGCCTTATCGTCAGGTGTTATCAAAACCAGGATGCCTACCTCAATGTTTGTGTTTATATCGCCAGCTCCGCTGAAAGAGCATCTGTATGCAAGGTACTCCTCACCCCATTACATCATTGTACAATGTATGGAAAAATGAGATGGAACCTCGCTATCAGAAAGGGACTCGTGCTTGTAACGACATGGAAAGAAAAGTCATGCATGCAAATGCAGGGAAACAGCAGCAGCCATTGTGGAAAGATGTAATGGTTCTACAAGGAGGATCGTATTGCATAAAAAAGTCACTGCATTGTCGATCCAAAGATGTCCAGGGGAATGCAATGCATTAGAGAATCACCTAGCGGTAGACATTGTGGTAATCACCCACTATGAGGAAAATCACATACTATAGGCAAAAAAGAAAAGTACTATGCTTTTCTTTTCGGTTTATTCAATACTAGATAAGATCATACACTAAGAGGATAAATTGACGAGTAAAGAGTGGGGTTGTAGACTTTACGACTTGTTACGGAAAAAGCCATGTACGGACCGACGTTTGGGCTTGAGAGAGGAAGGGTCACTGATTCCACCATCAACGGGCATAGGTGGAACAGCGGGTGGTGTCACTTGGTAGCCATTATTTTGAATGGCAAATTGATCGCCATTATGTGGAAAGCTAAAGTCGTCGTTGTTGTTGGTGGCAGTGGTTGCAGAAGAGGGTGCTGCTTGGTATTTTGGTTTGGGTGGGGATTGTGGTTGTTGTTTGGCAAGATGTGGTGCTGTGTTGGATCGTGAGACGGTAGGAGTGTCAAGGTCTTTGGTATGACGCTTGTCGGTTTGCTCAGTGCTTTGCTTCTTCAAAGATGTCGGAACAGAGTTCCCGTTGGTAGTGGTTTTGGATGTTGGTGGTACAGCAGCCTCGTTGTTGACGCCACTTTCAGTACCATCAACGATAGGTTCCTTGTCAACCTTGTCAACCTTGTCTTTGTCATCTTGTTTGGCATCATCAGCTGCCTGCTGAGAATCTTTATCACTATCATCGTCATCAATGTCATCGTTATTTTGAGAGCCATTGGGTGACTTTTCTCCTCCACTTGACTTGTCGGTGGCAGGTGGTGTAACAGGCTCGTGTTGATGAGGAGCATGTCGTTCATCAGCAGCATAATAAAACTCTTCTTGGTTTTGTTCTTCAACCCATTGACGCTGCTTGCGGCGTGCTTCTTCAAAAATGGAAAACCAATTGATTGGGACTTGTACACGTAGTTGACGGCTCCACAAGTGTACTGGTGGATTACCAGCATCATCGAATGCATCATATGCATCAAAATCTCCCGGGATATACCTAAACCAGTCATATTGGTATGCTAATCCCCAACACACTTGTGCTACAATCAAAACCTTACCTAGCTTCTGACCAACGCATGGGCGTTGCTTCGGAGCCTATAAGCCAAGATGTGGCGTTATTGAGAATCCTGTACCTGATAATGCTGTTTTGAGGGGGGATTACTTACGCAGCACCGAGAAGCAACACATGTCATCGTCCCAGCCTAAAATTTGCGGATCATCGTGTCAAAAGTTTTTTTGCTTTTTTCTTTGAGCACCTTAACTTACCTTCAAACAAAGCAACGCACACGTTCCTGATCTTTATAATGTAAAGCGAACCTTGTTTAAGATCATCGTGTTCAATGATAGGTAATGGGTCATCCACCATGATGGGTTTGGCTTGTCCAGATGATCCAAAGCCGAGAATCTTCTTGTTGGGGAGTTCTGGAGGTGGAGATGCAAGAGAGAATTGGGCTGTTGAATAAGCTGAACCCGACCAGCGTGCCATTTGAAGGGCGCTTTCATCTGTGTTGTTCTTTTTGCTCTTGCCCATGGTGGAAAAAAAAGTGAAAGAGAAGGAAGGGGTAAGGTGTTTGGGCTCCTTGGGATACGGTGCCCTATATATAAGCACTTGGATTGTGGTTGATGGTGCTAATGATGTGCTCTCAAGTCCTGGTTATTACACGGCGTGGCTGTAACACAATGCACACCTTGCAGCATCCAACCCCTCTTTGCTCTTTTTTGACCAATCCACTCAATTACGCACGGTGCTTGATCTCTCTGGAAATAGCACATTCGACTTGCATATCATTGACCGCTATTTTTATTACCCCATCTACCAAAATGTAATAACAAGCATATCATGGTCTCATTGTGATGACTAAACGTATACCATACATTCACGTACATTCCTCACTCCAAGGAAAAGGAGACACTAAAGAATATGCGACTTGGCGCTGTTGGATTGTTTGTTAGTTGAGTAGTGCTCCTTTTGCAACAACGGGCAACCTAGACTAAAAGGCTGAACCACTGCCGATGCACATATCGAGATGCTGACTATTATGATGATGTCGCATCATTTATCAGCCGCACACTCTCCTAGCTGCTGAAATTGATGGTAGATGATGTTCTCTCACAAACCTCCTTTGGAATTTAGGTAGCTCGTGTGATCAACAAATTAGAGTGGCAATCACTCCTTATTCCCGGGCTACATCATCCTCCCCAAAAAAGGAACATGCTTATATATGTGTGCTCAGCGTGTTTTTTATTCACCCATTCAATTGAGGAGCTTGATAAAACCGGCGATCATCGCTACAAGGCATGTGCAGCAGCATCAAATGCAAGGATGGCTTGTTTTCAGGGCAAAAAGCTGCTGTTGTTGGCATTCTGCATATTCTCAAGATCGATCAAGGTTTCATTTGTGACGCTAAAAAACGATTGATGTTGCTGGTGCAACTGGTAGGATCGTAACAAGGAGAAAGGGATGGTCACCCGTCAAGGGGACAAGAACACCATGAATGAGTTGCAGCCTTGGCAAAATATGCATAAACAGCGGCAGCTGCCTTTTTGTACCGCTTTCTTTATATGACTAGTTTTCCGTTCGAGATAGGCTTACAGCTTGCCACTTGCTCTTAATATGCACCTGGGCAAACAAAGTGTGAGTGACGGGACACAGCTTTCCATGGTACAAATAAGCATTTCTTTTTCGGCAATAATGGCCAAGTGAATCCTCCGATGGGTGGTTGATCGTCTTTTTTGTTGTTCAGCTTGACAAACAGTGGGCATGTCCTCATTCGGTAGACATCGACTCGTTCTTTTTCGCCTTGTGTGTGTTTTTTGAATGAACGTTGCGGATACATTGTTTGATTCATTCATTCATGGATTGCCCTCTTCTTTTGATGGCGAAGAAAATGGTACCAATATGAATAATAATGATGGATGTCCAAGCATAGATGATGTGCATGGCGTGTTTTCAATGATGCAGCAGCAATGTACATCTGACGACGCTGTTGGATTGGCGGGTACAGAAACAGCATCCTTGTCATCACAATCGTCATCATCATCGTTGTGCGATCTGCAGGAGCACAAGCACAACATCGGCAACACGACATCCATTGTTATCGGTTCACCGGGGGAAATCTCCGTCAAACCACCCGCTGTCGTTTCTTCGCTCGAGAACATTTACCACTTGCTGTTTCATGACATTCATCAATTGCTTGCCGAGTCAGCTTTTGATTCACATTCATCGAATCAGTCGATCCATCAATCATCCTCACAACATCAACACGCACGTCATTATCAATCCAAACGTAAACGTGAGATTTCGGTAGCTCCGTCACCAGCACCTTTTGATATGGAAGCAATATTACGTGCACAACAAGAGTTTATCCAACGGCGTCAACTTGAGGAGACGTGTAATGATAAAGTACGGGTGCCTTGTACGCTGCCAAAACGTTCCCGAAAGAGAGCGCCCACAAGTGCCCAACAGCATTTGTGACATGACACCTGCTGCATCGATAATAATAGTAATACCTCAGTCCTTTTGTTTGTGAACTACTACCTTTAGTCTATGATGTGCATACGTGTTTTTCTCCCTTGTCCCCCACATCAACAATAATATCCCGATTTTTATATACTACAATGAATTGCTGGATCGTGGACATAGTATCAAGACTTTGGTATGAGCAATTGCAGTCTTACAGGGTTGCTATGGAAATTCATCGGGTGTCAAACGTCATTATCAAAAACACCTCTAGCATGGCAACCATCACCCTTATAATTTAGTTGGTTGTGGTTACTAAACAACGTGCTCTAGTGGCAACTGTGTTTGCGCTGAAGTGGATCAGCACACGTTTTCATACCTGATACAACATCCCTTGCGCTCATGCTTTTTTGGTGATCTACAGCATTGGTTGTCTTTTCATCTATAAGCAAGCTCGCTCCCCTCGATCCCCTTTCAAGATATGTCAAAAGTGCCCACAACGCATTGTTATAGGTCTTTTAAGTAATCAGCTTGCTCTCCAGGTGAGTATGTAAAGAAGGATGCTCTTTTTTATTGATGATAACAATGAAATCATCCTATAATAGTGACAGCTGCAATGTCCAATCCCATAGGCCGATGCCTTCTAGAGTCCATGATCCAGTGGAAGCGGAGATCACCTCAAGGGAAAGCATGAAGTACTGATTTTGTGCCAGCTCTATCCTTTCCATTTCCTTCCTCTACATTCATATACAATTCTATATCCCACCACTATGCCTATACAACGTAAAAAACGCAACCTGAGGAAAAAGACCTTCGATTCAGACGATGACGAGAACAACAGCATCCGCGAGCAATCGCCCAGCGAGATTAGGTAGACTCCATTTGACGATCTGTAAAATGACATACGTTTTATTTACTTTGTTACCAGTGATACTATCGAAGAGTTACAAGAGCTGCGACGATTAAGACGTAAGCATGGCGGCATTGATGTTGAAAAGCTGTCCAAAGGAGGCGACAAAAAGAAGAAAAAGAAGCCTGATCAGCACGATCCTTGGGGTTTGCAAAAGACGCTGGATTCTGTTCGACGGTAAGGGTCTTTAGGTGCATTGATTGATTAGCTTCATTAACGCTCTATCTTGTTGTTATTAGGGGTGAGGAAGAAGAGGGCACTGAAAAGAAACTTAAGCTTGACTCGTTCACAACACAGACCAATGCCTTGGACGTCGACAAGCACATGTAAGTGACATTTCATATTGCTCTTTCTCATGTTCCTGGAAGCTAACCCCTTGGTGTTTTCTGTAGGATGGCTTACATTGAGGAAGAGATGAGGAAACGTCGTGGTGAAAACAAGGTGACCGATGCTCCAGGTGGATCTTCCAAGGGGGCTGTTGAGAAAAGGAAACGAGATGGGCCTGTGGATATCTATGAAGAATTGTACCAAATTCCGGATCGATTAAAGGTAAAGAGTCATTCATTATGGAATCAGAGATACGGTTGGGTATTCATTGTATATGGCTTAGGTTGGACAAAAGCCTGTTGAAGAAGGTAGCATGCAACTTTCGACACAAATGTTGACAGCTATTCCTGAAGTGGATTTGGGCATTGAGTAGGTTAATAACATGCACGAGGGTGACCATGTACTGACAATGCTTATTAGCGTGCGACTAAAAAATATCGAGGATACTGAACGTGCAAAGCGGAAATACATGGATGAAGAAGCGGTAGGTGACAATGTATACATGTGCTATCGAACAAACTCTTTACACGTTTATTTCTTTAGACAAAGGGGGAAGAGCCAGTAGAGGAAGATGGTAAGTAAAGCAGCTTTGTACCAAGAATGATTTGTTGCTAACAACCCGAATTTAGAAGTACCTGCCAACTATGAAAAGCAAATCGTCAAACCACAAAACAAGCGGACTGATCGACGACAGATGGCATCTGATGAAATCGTAGCAGAACGTTTCAAGAAGCGTATGCGTAAATAGGAAACCCAAATAAAACTTTTTTGTATTTAATCATTGAAACATTTGCTTGACATATAAGCTATAATCGAATGAATCTGGTTCATCGCTCGTGGTCGCAGGTGGCATGTCCCGTGATAGATACTCTACTGCTGTTTCAGGTACCATGCATCGCCGTAAATCCAACTCAGTGACATATGGCTTATCTCCTGCAATGGTTTGGAATGCATCTTGTAATTGTTCGGGCGTTGACTTGTCTTCGGTAATGGCGACCATAAATTGGATGAATTGCTCAAAGCTCGCCTCTTGATTATGCTGAAAGGTCTCTGCAAATAATCGATCCAGCTCATAATCATCGTAAAAAAGACCCAAGCTAGCCAATGCGGCAGGAAACTCGTCGATGGAAAGTGTGTTGCTTTGGTCGTTTGCAAAGTGTCGAAATACGTGTTCGAATTCTTCCAGCTGTGCAGGTGTGAGATTGGTCATGTTGCGAGAAACGCTCTAATCGATTTATCGTGTCAATCCCATTGTTGAATGCCACATGCTTCCCACCAACTTGCCTGATTTTCGATGAATGCCATCTTTTTCCTGATTGCTCGCTTCACAAGTCCAAGTTCAAACGTTAAATCTTCCACAGAGTATACAGTGTAATCATTCTCCTCCGTGTTGGCTTCGATGCATGCGCGATCCAATACTTCAATATGTTCAAGATCCTTTTGTAGTGGTGAAAGCTTGTGTGAAATGTTGCCAACATGTGTCATTTGATGCTCAAGATCACCGTCAAGGGCCGCCAAATCCGCCGAAATAGCATCCAATTGCCGTTGGAAACTGTTAGCAGCTTGTGCATACGCCTTTCTAAGATTCTCTTTGATCCTAATTTAGTGACGGCCGATTAGATCACTGTGTCCTCGAATGCTGCATAACCTCATGAGCTTACTCTCGCATTTTGCTGTTAATGTTGCGATAATAGACTGCTTCGTCATTCAAAAGATCCTGCCACATGTTGTCTAAATCCTATCCACTAGCATATCAGTATCATGAACTCGATGCCAAGGGCTGTTTTTTCCCCATTTACCTTGAGTGTCAAGCCTTCTGGCGGAAAATACGGCTTTAGGTTGTATGTCTTCAGCTTCGTTTGGATGTTGCCTAGCAGCGTGTCGAGATCACGTCGTTCAGAAACCCATTCACGTTTTTGTGTGCTCTTGTATGTGGCAAATTCTAGTCCTTTTTGCTTGGTCTCTTGATATGAATCGGTCAGCACCGTCTCCTTCCAATGTTTTTGCGCACTTTGTACTGCTTCTATAAGCTATATGAGAGAGCAAAGTATGAGTCTCGATAAAGATACGTATGCACTATTGACATACCTTGAATGCTCGTTCTTCATAATAGTTCTTTGATTGCCAAATAGAATTCAATACGTCGGCAAACTTTGATACTCGTCGTCCAGCAGTTTCATCCTTGTCTATAAGCAATGCCATTTTAGTACGAGCGTCTATCCAAATATGACTAATACAATACCTTGTGATGAGAAGGCATGGAAGTATTGAGCGACATAGGTCATGATGGAACGTTCATCGGGCTTCGTAACATTGCAAACATCCTCAACATCCAGCAATTTCTAAGTACGTAAAAGTGGTTAGGATATACGAGACCGAGTGCCAAGATCAATATGGATTTACCGGGATACCCAAGTACTCCTCTGCTATGTCAAAGGCCAATTGCGTGTTCTCCTCTGGTTTTGACTACAATCGCTGATTAGCCCCCTCCTATCACCAATTACATTGGATCCTTCCTACTTACAAAATCCAACTCATAAAAGTTCAAAAGATCTGGTCGGTGGCGATGAATCAAAGCACAGCTACAAATATAAACATGATCAATAATGGAAGGCCATAAAGTGTCAATAAACCACTTACAATGCTAAACCATCCTTCCAGCTGCCAGTGAAATCCTTGACTTGCACTTCCTTGTATGGGGATGTCTTACGCTGGCACCAAAGCAAGAGACCTTCCTTTGCATTCTTCCCATCCTGACTGGAAAATGATGCGGGATTAGCAAGAAAATAGGAGGTTTAAACAATGAAATGTACGACTCACTTGATATCCGCAATAGTAAATCGCAAAATGATCATCCACAACATGCCCAGGACCAGCTTGAGATTCTTATCCACAATGTCTATGCGCCCGTATGTGTGTGTGTAACCATAAGTTGATCCATTCAATACCATCCTTCTTGTCATGTTTTTCCTTTTTACCTTCAGCGCCGATATTAGTGAGAGGCACGCCACGCTCCATGATAAAGTTGAGAGCCTTGTTTACATTTTCAACGCATTGGATTCTCATTCGGGGATTCATGCTGTATCGACCCAGCTGGGTGCCGCTGATGATTTCCTGCAACCAAGGAGAATAACAAATGCCGAATATGGTGATGGTCGGTATCAGTTCCGATGTCCGTGTACCCTCCACCTTCAACAACCTACCAGTAACTGAATAAGCCTGACACCATTGGAAAGGTCGTTCTTCAGGTCCACAATGTGAGGGACTCGTCCTAAATCGAGCTTGGTATTGACCCTAAAGTCGTCATTAGCAATCGTCGCGTCTTTAAAAGTACGTTCAAGCAAACTTGCCATTTCGTAAAGGCTGGAATGACAAAAGGTTCAAGGCACAACGCGTTGAGTAAGCAAGGCTATATGGTGGTTGCTGGTGCTCTTACTTTTAGCTTGGATAGTGAGCCAAGTGGTATCCATAGTGATTTGATATTGTGTATGTTGACAAAGAAAATGTGAAAAGGGAAAGAGAAAGAATGGATCATCATTCCATTAACCTCACCCCCCCACCAAATAAAGAGCCGAATGCGCGTGACGCTATCCACCATGTGTGCATGTGTCTTTGTGTGTGAGTTGACATGCCATATAACTAGCTTAAATCCCCTTATAGCCACTATAAAGATGCCTATAACTCACAATTTCATTATGCGATGTTTGATTCATTCATAAGCCCATTATCTTGCTTGACAACCAAGTTGCCTAATAACACATTTGAACCTGCAACCGCTCCTTGTTGAAATATAACATGCCATGAGAATACGCTTGTATCATGATGATTGAAAGGGCGTCCTCTGATCACGGGGTTGGGGTTATGGACGACCTTAAGGTGTACGGCTTGCCATCACCCCGAACAACTTTGTGGATGCAACCGCGTCAATGATAAAGCACACATCTTGTGTAGATCGCACCATGCAACAATGGTATAAGGTGCATTTGGCTCACACTCTAGGTCATTAAAGTTTCATTCAAACGCATACCCGATTACTGGTTTAGATGATGCATTATGCACTTTTTATCGGCGAATACATAAACCGAAATTTACATTATAGCTGTATAGGCATTCTTTACAGGTCGAATACACAATAAGGGAAACGGTAAAGAGCTACAACACTATTCGGGCGATCCAAAGGGCTCGTATTGGCAAGGGTGAGAGCATGCGTGGTTGCCTGCCGTATGAGCAAAGCAATGGTGGTGGATATAGCCTGAGCAAGAGCAGCATCTTTTTCCTCTTGTCACCATTTCAGTGCAAATGATACAATGATGAACATGGTTTTCGCCGAACGTTTTACAAAGGTAACTTTCAAGTTCCACGATAGATCTTGGGGCCAATGCATATGAGCCATCACTGCAAACGCGTAACCAGCCGTCTTCTTCCAATCGATTCAATAGCTCTTCTGTTTTACCAATAGTGAGCCCGCTCTTCAATGATGGTCCCAATTGTAGAGCTGCTGCCTGACTTATGGCCCAAGTCTCGTTTGGCGCTTTCACAATGATTTCTATCTACATGTAATCATTAGCATTTCCTCCACGTATATCATGCCCGGGATAGCGATGTGTACCATATGCCTGTAATACTCCAATTCTCGAGGCGTGTATGGCGTCATTGTTTGTACATATGGATCCTCGGTAGTATTCATCATCACCAGCATACTGACACCTGTCCACTCGTCCCTTGTTTCTTTCAATAACATGTCGATGTTAGAGAGCTCATTGTTGATGACTGCAATAGCTTCGGCAAATGCTGGTGCTAGCATACAATAAAGGCTGTCAATGTTTGAATTGATTGGGTGTGGTGTTTTCTTTTTACCAGATTGATGGCTTCTTCTTGTCACAGCTACGACTTGGTTAAAGAGTTGGATTGCCTTATCCATTGTAAGGACGCGATGTGACAGCATAGCACGCACAAACAACCGATGGGTGTCAGTGTAGAGTGGATTCTCTTCTGGTTGTCCTTCTTGTTGTTGCGTTTCTTCTACTTCATTCGTCATTGAATGGGCTGGGAGAAAAAGATAAAGGAAAACGAAAGAGATGCAATTTTTTTTATTCATATGTATGGACCTGCCATTTACAAAGAGAGATGAATGATTGCTGCATGTTTCAAAATGAAGGAGGAGAAAGAAATAGCATTGCATTATCTATGGAATGAACATTGCTGTATCCCCATTCATGCATCTTTTGTTGATATTGCCGATCCATGTTGTTGGTGCCTGCACTCCAACCGGGTAAGAAGGGTGGGGTTATAGTAATCAAAGGTTCGGGGGTGACTGAGGGAGACAACGTTTGGTCACGGCAAATGGAAGGCGGCACAAGCAAGAGTTTAGATGCAAGGTCAGGTGCCAATGCTGTAGCATTGAAAAGCACGTGTTGAAAGTGGTCATAGCTGCCTTGCAGGATGTGAACGCGCTCTCGACTTGCTTGTTGATTCTCTGTAAAGTCACTGCAAAGCACCCAACGCGCATCCATTTGCACTCGTCGCATCGAGAAAAGCACCATGCTTGGGTCGTGTACCTCAATCTCAAGACCTTGTTGCTGTTGATTACCACTTATCAGCCGTATTTGCTGGATGGAATCAAATGAAATATGGACCCGGAATAAATCTCCACCTTGTACTTGTACTTGCCATACCATTTCACGCGTTATGGGGTCAATATGGCACTTGAGATCCCAACCATCACCTTGTGCAAATCGGGACCACACGCCAATACGTAGCATATGTGCCATAAATGACAAGGATTGTTGTGGTGGTGATGGTGATGTATCTAAACAGGAGGAAAATTGTCCTAAATTCAATGATGAGATCCCTATCATCCCTTCATCTTGCTTGCTCCTGGTTCAATAACTTACCTGCAGGGACAGGCTCATCTTGGGCCATTTCAGGAACCAGGTTGCTTGATGATGGAGACGTCAACAATGATTGATGTTGGGGATAGGTAGCAGTAGCAGGTTTCTTATTACATCTCTGCTTGGTCATGGATCGTCGATGTTCATATTGCTCAGGGGTGACGAGTGAACGAAATGTGGGTTGGCAGCGCGTTACTGTATCTTTATCGTAATGCTGGATGTGATCAAGTCGATTGTTATCGCCTGATTTCATTGAACGTCGTTCCTTGGCACGGCGGTTCTGGAACCATATTTGGACAGTGCGATCGGTAACCCCAAGTTGACGTGCAAGATGACTACGTATAGCATTATCTGGAAGTGGATTGTTGTCATAGGATTGCTGTAAGATGGCCAACTGATAAAAGTTAAGATGGGTACGCTTGCGTCGTGTACGTATAGAAGTGTCTTTGGATGATGATTTTGCCATGTTTATCAAGATAAAGAGAAAGAAAGATGGGTGCTGGCCAAGACGTTGTGTTGTTGCCGAGATTAAATTCCTTCAAGGTGTTACACAAGGCAAATTGATAGCATGCAACATGACGATGCATTGGATTGCACCCTTTGTTGATCTCTTAAGTCTCCTGAAAAGAAAGATATCCACATTCTTGGTCTTTCCAAGTCATCGACTTGCATCGTCTTTCAAGAAACAAATAGCATGCATCGACATGGTGGAAAAGAAAAAGACATTGCTGCAGCGTTTGTTGCACATTTTCAGCCATGTGTGTGTCTGTCAAGGTGTCACCTTGCCCTTAATGTGCTACACACGCGGGTCGAGTTGGATATATGGCACCCGATCCCATACCGATGAGATCCGGAGCTCTTTTTACTGTGATTCCGAACGACAATTTCAGCGGCACAAATCAACATTACACCACCCCCCCGCATAACGCGTGATGAGCAAAGTGGAACAATGAGGTGACGATCGTGGCACAATGTGTGTTATACAATACATCCTCCTTCCTCTCTTATGCACAAAAACAAATATTCGGCTTTAGAGTAAGTGCTGCTTTGTTTGTTTGCTGATCTTGTCATCATCGTACAACATGAACAAGTATCTCTCAGTTCCCATCATCATTTAAGAATATGTTGGATGAAAAGAAATGTATATGTGTATTCATGGTAATAAATGCAATGTCTTTCTATGATCGTGATAGCTGCTTCATTTGTCGTTTTGCCTTCTTTCGTCCATCCTTTCCTCGTGAGAATGCTTCCAAGTGCTTACGCTTGTGGTATGTTCGTGCCTTGTCATCTGCTAAAAGTTCATCCACAATGGTGCGCTTTCGTTCTTTGCGTGTCAATCGTGATGAGAAGAATTCAGTAGCGCCTTCAACAACTGTGCCCATTTGGAAATATTTGAAATCCTCCTTCTTGCCCATCTTTCTGTAATGTCGCTTAGGATCAATCACATGACGCATCTTGAGTACTTGGAGATCACGTTGTAACTCTGGTGTCATCTCTGGCTTGGGCATATCAAACCATCCTTTACCAGTGGTCTTTTCCCGTTCCTAAACAACATCATATCATCAGTAAACATGATGATCACTAGCCATGTTCTATATACGTACCATTTGCCGTTCTTTCCTGCTCAATGGCTTTGCCTTTTCCTTGGATGCTTTGACAACTTCAATCGATCGCTTAGTGGCGCTTGTTTCATCCTCATCCTCAATAGCCACTGTATCGTTCTTTAGTCGTGCAGCGCCTGCAGCACCATCACGCTTGATATATAAATGCTCTCGCATGTTGATGCCACTCTCCAACTTTGGTAGTCTATACACATACATGTATGGATTAGTCGCATGATGGGGAATAAAGAGCGGTAGTAATAGTAGTAGGAAGCCATACCTAATCTTCTTCGATTTCTCATCCCTATCAACAGTATGGTTAATGATCCATGTCCATAAAGGCTATCCAATCCAACCATACTTACGTTTCCTTTGTGTGTTCGGGTTGCTGTTGTAAATCAAGAGCTTTTTGTGCCTTATTAAGCAATTCATCCAAATCATCATCATCGGAAGAGTCGTCTTCGCTATCATCGTCGCCTTCAGAATCATCATCATCGTCTTCAGAGTCATCATCCCCTTCGTCCTCTTCAGATTCATTGTCATCTTCTTCATCCGTTGATTGGTTGTCATGGGCAGTGTCGATTTCTTGGTGTTCCTCCATATCATCATCATCATCATCATCATCGCTGTCAACCAGTTGCTCCTTCTCATTATCGTCTTGTTCCTCTGCTTTCTCAGCAGCTACAACCCGAGGTGTGGTTCTCGTTGATGTCTTTCTTGTGGACTTTCTGCTGCGCTGATTTGGCTGCTTGGCTACGAGATCTGTCGTTGTAGCTTCCTGATCGGTCGATCCTTGTTTCGACTATGTTGTGAAAAGCCGCTTGTTACTTTGACGACGGATCACAGAGTCTTGTCATGTGTGTATATATACCTCGTTTGAATCCTCTTTGCTATTCTTTTGCTCGATGGAAAGCCGGCGTAATTGTGAACGGGTGAGCGGCATTGTGTGGATAAAGGTGGGTGAAAGGAACTCTGCAACTTTTTTTTTTCCAGCTGCACTTCTTTTTCTTGCACAACCACACCAACCCACTTGCCGTATACTCAGCTACAGCCCACATTTTACAACCACAATCACCTCCCCCACCATGGACACGGCAGCAAGTGCAGCACATTTGGCACCCTGGATCGCAAAGACAACCGAGAACATGGAGATCAGTCTAGGTAAACAACAGCATTGACGCGTGAATAAAGGCCATTGTGAACTAACCTTGGCACATCAAGTGCGTCCTAACTTTAGCGATGCAGAGAGTACTGAGCCAACAACAGCTACCACCTTTGAACCAAACTTTACATATCCAATCTATGGCGAGCAAGAAGTAGTGTTTGGCTACAAGGATTTATCGATCCAGGTTGGCCTGTCACACAAGCATCATTTTCGTTCATGTATATTAATGTGCGTCCTCTTTGTTCTTGCACAGCTTTCATACGCATCCGGCTCATTGCGTCTCTATCCACGTGTCGATTACAGCGCAAAGTATCAATCAGCACCAGGATCCTCCTCATCAAACTCAGATCAGGTCCATGCGGATGATGTTTTTGGTATGATCAAGGAATACTTGCCACCAGGTAATCATTGTCACATGCGATGAATTGGGGAAAAGGTGGCTAAAATGGCTTATGCGCATCATTTTAGATTGTATCGGGAATGCGGATGAGTTTACTCGTGTCGTGCTTGAAGACGCAAAGACGTTCAAACCGATTGGAGAAAAAGTACATGAGTATAGCAGAGAAGGTGATCAAGGCGAGGATGAGCATTTCGAGATTTACAAGGTAAGATCATTCTTGTTAGGATGTCTACATATGCTTATTGGAATATGTGTGATAGGCATCATTCAGTAATCCCAAGTTTCGAGAATACCATCAACGCATGCAGCTCTTTGTATTACTATACATTGAAGGATCAAGCTATATCGAAGATGATGACAAGAAATGGGAGATCTATACCATGTAAGTATGGGGAGAGATGGATCTTTGGCAATTTGAGAGATGCTTATCATGGAGGAATAGATATCGACGAGAGCACACGGGCGATTCAGAGATGTACCATTTTGTCGGATATGCTACTATCTATCCCTTCTTCTACTGGCCAGAGAATACACGTATGAGAATCAGGTATGTTATATGATTCAACGCTTCGATTTGCTTTATTCATCATTCATCCCTTAGTCAATTCCTCGTACTTCCACCATTTCAAAAGCAAGGCCACGGCAGTAAGTTGATTATTATGATGCTTTTATGAGGATAATGGTTAATGGATATGGCATGCTAGGTGAATTGTACAAGACATTATATCAAATTCTTATGACGAGGAGCGAGATCAAAGAGATTACAGGTAGGTTAATGGTTGGGGAGGGGAGTGAGGGTATTGGTGATGGTGTAGCAGTGTATCATTAATCGCATCAATATGCAGTGGAAGATCCAAACGAGGAATTTTCAGACATGCGTGACAAGAATGATTTCCGACATCTGTTGAATGATAAAGCGTTTGATGGGTTGAAGGCACCTGTTCCCAAAAAGACCATCAAAGATTTGCGGAAAAAGTACAAGTTGACCGAGGTAGGTGATCATGACAAGTAAAGGATTGCCTCATTATTCACGTGATGTTGAATGTATAGCGACAAATCCAACGATGTATCGAAATGTACTTGCTTTCAAAAGTCAACAAGTTGAACAGGGAAGATTACAAGGCATTCCGACTACAAGTCAAGCAGCGTCTTTATCTTTTCAATTTGGCAAGTGGATGATGATATTGGTATAAAAGCATATACATGAGTGCTAATACAATCGCAACAGGATGCATTGCAGGATATGGAGCCAACCGAGAAGAAAGAAAAGTTACATCAAACATACGAAGGAGTGGTAGAAGATTATCATCGTTTATTGGAAATGGTTTAAAAGTAGTATTAAAGGCTATTACTTATATATTAAGAGATTGGGGAGTGGGCAACGTTTATGGATAATGGTGGATAGCATATCATGTAAACATACCTTATGGAATACCATGCTTGTTATACCCCCCTCAAGTAAGCCAACCAGGGTGCGAGATTGTCATTCGGAGAAGAGATGCAATGGAGGTGTCGGGCTGTAGAGTACGCATAAGCATCACTGTGACACTTCCCTTTTCCTTCCTTTATTCACCCTTCAATGACTATCCATCTCTATCGCAGACATCTCATTCTACGTCAACGGTTGCTCTTTCGAACGACTTTCCCAACACAGTGTCGTCGCTATCACGCTTACGGCAGTCAACCAGAAGCTGTTCGGACGCCATCGCCGCTACCACCCACTCAACCCCACCATCTTGAATCCGTAGCAGACCCTCGTACCGTAAGTGTATATCAAAGACTCTCTATTGGAATAAGTATGCTAAAGATAAAGGGTATACTAGATCGTCAAATATCTCAACGACTATGTTATCGGCCAAGAACGAGCTAAAAAGATCCTTGCTGTTGCCGTATTCAACCACTACAACAGAGTACGAGCCAACCTTGCACGACAACAAGATGCAATAGAGCAGCAACATACTCCTGAAGAAGCTTCAGAACATCATAGCTCATTGCCACAGGACTATTATTCAAATAATTCCTTCATTGGTGCGGCTGATATTGTTCCAGCAGAGCGTGTATATGGTAAATACCCAAGTAGATCACATCTCTATCCTATCACTTACTCACTCACATACAATGCTTGTAGGATCACAACAACGTGCATGGCTTAACCCTCCAACTCAAGCAGCTGGGACTCTGCGTGATATGATGCCTACAAAGTCAGCTTACAATTCAGACGAAGAACATACCGTTTATGAAAAGAGCAATGTCCTGCTAATTGGACCCACTGGATCAGGTAAGCATAGAGCAAAGGAAAAGAGATACATTGGGTTAAACAGATATGCTCTTTCATCCATCTAGGAAAAACCCTGTTGGCAAAGACACTCGCCCAAATCCTGCAGGTTCCATTTTCTATGTCAGATGCCACACCATTTACACAAGCTGGCTATGTCGGCGAAGATGTTGAACAAGTTACCCAAAGATTACTTCAGGTAGGAAAGATTACATGCATTAGAATGAGAATTGCAAAGGTATTAAGTAAACAATGATAGGCTTGCGATTACGATGTCAAAAAGGCTGAAACCGGGATCGTGTTTATCGATGAGATTGACAAGATTTCAAGGCGATCTGATAGCTTATCAACGTCAAGGGATGTTTCAGGTGAAGGTGTGCAGCAAGTAAGTTTGCTTATATATGCCATCATGCACATGGTATTGATGATCGATTCCATAGTCACTGTTACGCATGCTTGAAGGAACAACGGTCAATATCACTGATAAATCTGGATCTGCTGGTGGTCGGCGTACTGGTATGCCAGGATCATTGGGTAGCAGCAACACGACTGGACCTGGAATAGGCGGCAACAAAGGGGAGACGTATGCAGTGGACACAAGCAATATTCTCTTCATATTGAGTGGCGCCTTTGTTGGCTTGGAAAAGATCGTCCAGGATCGTCTTGCTAAAGGAGTAAGTAGCCAAGCATACAATGGGTTATTTTACTGTACTCATGTCAAATTTTTAGTCTATTGGCTTCCACGCTACTCTGCGATCTTCATCCGACGATATATATGTCAGCGAAAAAGAGTCCAAAGCTCATCCCCTTTCATTGGTTGAACCAGCAGGTAAGCTTTAGATATCACATGCTGTAAAGGTTAATGACGCTAAAGAACCTTCTCTATTAGATCTCGTCAAGTATGGATTGATACCCGAATTCGTTGGTCGGTTGCCCGTGGTAGCATCAGTCAACAATTTAAGCATTCACGATCTTGTGCGCGTGATGACAGAGCCGAAAAACTCGCTTATCAAGCAATATGAAGGTTTATTCAAGCTGAACCAGGTATATATATAGTGGCTTTACTTGGTTGAACGTACTATCCACTAACCGCTTGTGATGTAGGCTGATGTGCATTTTAGTAAAACTGCTTTGCAGCGGATAGCGGAATTGGCATTAGAGAAAAAGACTGGTGCACGTGGCCTTCGTCGTCTCATGGTATGGCATTCACTTTACGCACTCATGAAGGGATAATACTAATCACTTTGATATCTAGGAAAACATCCTTCTCGAACCCATGTATGATGTACCTGGCTCGCATATCACCAAAGTGATCATTGACAGCAAAGTTATTGCTAATGAAAAGCCTGCAATCTATCTCAGCAAAGATCAAGAGCATTTGGGACAAGAAATCATTGCGGAGGATGATGGTGGTGTTGAGAACAAACATGAAGGCAACCAACAGCAAATTACACACGCATAGAAGTCTTCTTTATATATACAAATTTATGCAATTCTATTCCACTTGTATTATACAATTACACATTCCTTCTCGATCCATTATTCGCTCATGTCTTCATCTTCGGTTGTTATCCGTCGTGGTCTTCGATTCATAAAGAGTGGCTCATTATCGTCGTCTTCATCATCATCGGATGTTATCCCTTTCATAGCTGATATGTTGCTCGTTTCCTTGGATAATGTAGGTCTTTGTGGAGTGGTACTTGAAATATCCATAGGGGATCCTGGACCTGGGCTTGGTTCTCTTTCAGTGGCTGGCTTGAAAAAAAGATCCTCCTCCTCCTTTTCATCATCATCGATGTCATTGTTTGGTCGAGGATTGTCATTGTTGTTATTTTGCTCTGGTACTGGAGGTGCATCCTCAATCGAAATGGCTCCTGATTTGACGCCCACCAGATAATCCATAAATACATCATTCATATCTTGATCGCTGTCTTCATTATCACTGCTGGCTTGCTGTTCTTGATTATCACCATCCTCATATCCTCCCTCGCCATTTTCCCCTGCTATAACAATAAAGCCAATTTGAGTCAAACCATAGTCCATTAACATACTTTTAAAATTACCTTGTTCTCGAGCGATGCGTGCGTATTCGTCCGTTTTCTCTCTGTGCTCATCCTGCCATTCATGTAGTTTGGCCTTGACTCTTGGATTGGCTGTCGTCTTTAGGATAGTTCGTGCAAAATCACTGAATTGGAGTCGAGGATAGAGATTGTGTGCCCACATTTGATAATAATCCATCAGCTTTCGCAAATCTGTATCCTAACATGAATGAACCTTTTGATAAGAGAGCGGCCGATAGATGCAAGGACACCATCCTACCTCGTATCCTTTGCCTTGGAATTTGATTGAAGGGGCCTCGTATCGTAACCGTGTTAATCCTTTGGATGACAACAACCTATCGAATACCGTCAATACAAGACATGAAGGAAAATAGGTCTTTAAGGAACATACAGATCAGCGTCGAGTCGTTTGTAAGGTCGTCGTTTGCCAACAGCTGGAGGTGCATTGCGTTCTGAAGGAGATGACGGTGCAAGGGGATCGAAGGTGTCGTTTGTTTTCTCTTGTTGTTGGTTATTGTTAAAGCCATCATAGTCGTCAAGCAAAAGCTGATCGAGTTCGTCAATGTCCATGGTACGTCAATGGCTTAAAAAGTCGCGTTGTACGGGAGAAAAGAATCAGGAACTGAGTTCTCGTAGCTGTGTTCAAACGCGTCTTTCCATTTTCATCACGCGCCAATTTTGTCACGTGCATCATCTCATCATCATCATTCCCGAAGCCCTCCTTGCAAGTAGTAGTAGTATTTGGGACATTAGAATGTAATATTTGATTTTGATAATAGATAGTAATGGATAATACAATACAAAGATATTGGTATATAAATGGATCATTTTCTGCGAGCGATACATGAGCCGATGACATCCCATCCAGCAGCCATGAGAAAGAGGACAAGGGAAAGCATACCCCAAAAGATGCTAACATTATAGAAATCACACCAATGGTCGAAATCACCAGGCGAACAAGGGAACTTTGCAATTTCTACGATCGTGCCAATACCCCAAAGAATCGCCAAAAGTAAGTCGATACCAGTCATCAATACACGATTGAGCTTGTGTCCATGAGCAATTCGGCGGTAACAATAAAAGAACAAATGGAAAAAGGTCCAAATGATGGTGACGATAGCCTACAATATGAATCAATAGTGAGTACATGATCGTATCAAGAAAGAAGGTCTTTCTTACCACTGCATAAAGAAAGTAAAAGCATGCAGGAGTATCCAAAGGGAAATCATGATTGGAGAACTAAATGGCACATTATAAGCTTGGCGGATCACCTATGTAAAGATCATCCTAGTACTACTTACTGGAGATGCACCTGCAGCAAAACCCAAATGTCCAATGGCAGCAATCAGCTGGCCACCACGTAAAAGTAATCGTCTTTTGGATGGATTCATTCGAGCATCATCCCACTTTGGAGGAAGTGCTTCTTGTAACTGTTCTTGGTTGGGTCTTGGTTTGCCACCTGCAGGCGTGGGTGCTGGCGAAGGTGTCGAGCCATCATTGACTTGCACTTTGGAATAGGCGTCTCCTCCAAAGGTATCTTGATTTGCAAATCGTGTTCCTGAATACTGATACGCGTTGGCTGGTGTCGCAATAGGCGATGGATTGCCTTCACTCGCTGTGTACTCGATCTTGGTCGACTCACTCCACGCATTGTTGGTGCTAGCATTCGACCGGTAATCGGAAGGAGACGGCATGTGATTGACTGGACCCCCATTCCAAGCATTGTTATCGTCCTCATAAGCATTGCCAAAGCGTGGGCCTGTAGGTCCTGCATTAGATGAGGTACCCCACGGGTTGTTTTCTTCGAAAGGATTATTGCCAGTCATTTGATAAGGTAGAAAACAAAGAAGAAAGAAAGTGTGGTTCTTTGTAACACTCGAGGTGTTCTTTTTTAGTGCTAAATCCTGACTAGATCAGGATCGGATCATCAACACACTGCCTATTCAAATCACGCTTTGCATGTACATAGAATGCTATTATTGTCTCATCAGCCATCGCATTGTTATTAAAACGAATCATGGAATGCTGTATCATTGAATGTTGTTTGCTTGAGGAGAGACAATGTTTTATTATTAGAACTAGCAGGAGAGAGACAATCAGAGAGGTATGGAAGTGATAATGTTGAGTGGAATGCTAATATGTCATATATATACAGTCATGATGTGCTTTTTTCCTTCTTTTCTTTGAATGTGAATGAAGATAGATAAAAGAGAGAGAGAGAGGAGGTATATGCTGAATAGATAAAATGTAAAAGCGAGAAAAAGACTATCCAAGCTCATGATTTGCCCGTATCAAGTGTGCTTTGTTGCTGCTGACTCGTCGACCATCGTCTGGCATTGTTGGATGAGATGCGTATCATGGCTATAGCATCTGCCAGTTCACTAGCAGATTTGTTGCATAAAGCTCGTGGCGTCTTGAATTTCGTCTTATGTTTGCGTCGTTTACGTATACATCCCGGTCGTTCTCCTTGCGCTTTGCGTAAAAGTTTATCAAGGGTCTGTGCGTGATTCCAAGACAATGAAGACTGAGTGCCGTTGCTATCGTTGCTATCATGGTTGTCGTTCTTTGGTTCGGGTGATTGCCTATTAGCAACCACTTGTAATGATCGATTCAGCTGCTCGGCAAAGACAGCATCCAACATGGATGGTTCTTGAGGAGAAGGCGGTGGAGCAGATACCATAAAGATCTCGTCATCGTCTTCGTCGCTGAACAATGTCCGATGGTCATCCACTACTACTGCGCTGTTATCGGGATCGGTGTTTGGAAAACTCGTAGATGCATCTTGTTGAAGAGGCCATGCTGAATGGTAGTCGGGAAGAGGTGGATTGACACAAATTACTTGCTCGTTGTCATTGGCAGTGGAATTGAACAAGGTGGAATCCATCGGACTGTTGCTGAAAGGTTGAAGAGCGACCACCCTTTAAAAAACAAGCGCACTGAAACCCAGCGAACAGGTTAATCTCACGGAGAAATCCTATACAAGGTACAAGAAACGGGCTCATTGTTCCACCCATAAATCAGTGACACAGTCAAATAGATGCACCTACTATAGCTTATATTAGATGTCGTCATAGCACATTATGTCCTCATACACTTGAATAGAACAAAAATCCAACCTATATCCATTGTAGTATTGCTACTATTGCTGGTTGCTAGGGATCTTGAAGTAGTTCATCAAATGAGCAATCATGTGCTTTCATCAAGATCAAGAAGATATTGTATGTGTATCTTGGTTACCAACGTTTGCTACAACTGCATAAATGTCTTATGCTGCTTTCATGTCAGCCCTAATAATACAAACTTGATTTTCGACCCTGGAATCGAATGATAGCCCGATTTAGTTAGCATAGCAACCCTGACCAACAGAGCCAATAGTGGGCTCATTGTGCATAGAAAGATACTTTGGCTTCAAAACGATAAGGTCTCGTGATCCATGAGGCCGAAAGAATGCGCGTCTCCTAGGCAGCCGAGTTGCCTAGCACGCTCTTGTTGCTTACAAGTCTTATCAAAAGAAGGACATGAACATTCTAGATGCTGCTATAGACTTCGTTACCGCACTTGGGAATTCGTGATGGCATTTATTCAGCCAACTTGGGCCTTTTGAGGCGTATCATAATGATACATGACTGGCATTTGACCGTGAAAAGCCTTCCCTTGCAAAGAAGACCATCCTCTCTATTCATATTGTTATTTCTAAGATTGAAAGACAACAATGGGTAGCATCATGTATCCATCCAGCAGCTATTAAGCTAATAACAAATTCATGTCTATACCGATTCATGCATGTGCTAGTCTATTGCTCATTGATAAAAGAACACGTTTATTGATCAGTAACCATTGTATCTAGATGCCATCAATATCATTAAGGAGATGGGTGCTCTTTTAAGACGCCGGGGATTCAAGCCTTGATTTCCAGAGCAGGTCAGCTAAACCCTTCACTTTTTGAACCAGCCGTCCAATGTCGTTGACTCTGCAAGAAGACAATTTCGTGGTGATCGACGTGGGCTCCAGCGTCACTCGTGCTGGCATGGGCATGCACGACACCAACAAAGTCCCATCTGTTGTACGTATACAAAAGAAAAAACCCATTCCACTAGACTCCAACACTCAACCATGCGCGCGTGTAGACCGTCAACATGTCTGATTTCAACAACCCTCTCAATGGCAGTGACATTGTCTCTTGGGAAGACTTGGAAGCTTGCTGGTAAATGGGATTAGGGTCAGCGTTGCGACATTGAGCTTACAACTTACGATCGATCAGGCACACTATTCTGTTCAAGGAGCTTGGTATCAAAAAATCACGAAACGAACACGCCGTTTTGCTCACTGTGCCAGTCGAGTGGAGCAAGTTTGAGCTTGAGCGCATCACGCAGATGTTCTTTGAACGCTTCAACGTACCAGGAATCTATTTGGCTCCTCAGCCATTGCTTGCGCTCTATGGATGTGGTGCTGTATCTGGAATCGTAGTGGATGTCGGTTATAAGAGTACAAGTAAGTATCAATCCTCGTGGATCAGGTGATACCCTTTTTTCTAATATGGAATAGCCGTGAATGTGGTTGTGGATAGCATTGTACAATTGGAGGCAAGTACGACCGTCCCCATCGGTGGCAAACATTTCGATGCGTATCTGTTGGAATTATTCAAGAAGGACGAGTCGTTGGTACAACAATTCAAAGAGAAGGATATCCCATTGGATTTGGATTTCGCACGATTTGTCAAGGAACAACGAGGCGTATGCCATGTCTTGGCTGGTCATGAACAATCAACATCACAACCAACAGTGGGTCTTCCTGGTGTCATTGAAACGGTTGCTTCAGCTGCTACGGAGGATGTTATTGAAGACGATGTACCAATGGCTCAAAAAGAAGAAGAGGAAAGCGTCAAGAAGATCCCAGAGAACGTTCAAGTCGAATACAAAGGTCATAAGGTAAAAGCACAGCTGGCTGTTTGGTTGTAGGCTGTGAGTCATTAATGTGCTTGCTATCCCTAGTTCACCATTGGTTCTTATCGACATCGAGTATTTGATCCTCTTTTTGACGTCAGCCTTGTGGGTGAATCAGGTCTTGATATTATCGAAGCAATGCGTGTATCAGCGTCTCATTGTGAGCCACCGGAGATCCGACCTAAGGTTTGGGAAAGCGTAGCACTTTGTGGAGGAGGCAGCTTGATGCAAGGATTGCAAATGCGACTCAAAGCAGAGGTGAACCGCGTCATGCCAAGCTCTGATAATATTGGTGATGCTCAACCAAAGCAAGTTGGATTCTTGCGGATACCTGATTACTTTACAATCCTCAAAGAGCGACAACATCAGCACCTTTGTACCTGGTTAGGCGGTGAAATTGTGGCAAAGGTAACGTAGCAACGGGTATTCTAGTATCCATGGAAACTTATGTTTATTCTTTTTTCCTCTGAAATAGCTTGTTTTCATTGATGCCAAAAACTACATCAGTAAAGTAGATTACAATGAGAGTGGTCCTAGTGTAGTGCACACAAAGGGAGTATAATAAAAAGTTGTGTCAATTCATGCCAATGAACATACGCCTTGCACCTTGCACACGTGATTTACAAGATCCGAGCGGATTATGTTGCACACAATGGTCCTCCCTGTGCAACACCCCCTTTTTCTTGCAACTGATCCATGAAGCCAAGTTCGATCTGGTGGATGCTCAGCATCTTGCTGGCAACCTTCGTCATCATTGCGCCTTCGGTCCATGCATGGGATCAATGTATGTGGTTGACGCGAAATAGTAGCAGAGAGACTTGATCCTAACTACCCCCAAAACACCTAGCCGATTTCGAAATCTTTGACCTCGTTGACGAATTGGAAAAGTCTGAAGGAAAGGGTACTAGCTTTTATGGTTGGCTCAACTTGACGGTATGTGTGTATATGGGGGAGGTGTCGTGAGGGCCATAAAGGGCAAGATGACTTATATCAAGATTGACAGCCAAACGCGTCGCCTTCTGACATCAATCGAGCTTATCGCAAAATGTCCCTCAAAGTGCAGTAAGTGGATACTCTCTTATAACATTGGAATGCACAATGCTGATAGTTTTCTTTTTAAAAAGCCCTGATAAAAACAAGCATGATGCCAAAGCCAAAGAGAAGTTTGCTCGCCTTGGCAAGATTGTTGCTATTCTTCGTGACAGCAGCAAACGTGAAAGATACAACTTTTTCTACAAGAATGGTGTCCCACGTTGGCGGGGTACCGGCTATTACTATTCTCGTTTTCGTCCTGGATTGGGTTTTGTATCCATGTTCTTGGCCTTTTTATTTGGATTGATGCAATATTTGGTGGGATGGGTCAATTATCATCAAGAGCGCAGACGCATTGCAAGCTTTGTTTCGGATGCCCGTCAGGCTTTGACAGTCAATGTACCCAAATCACAAGGCGCACCTACCTTGGGTCGTAGTGTCATTGAAGTGGCAGGTCGCGCCATGCGTTGCGAAGTCAAATCGGATACCTATATCATTGTTTATCCACAAGATGATGGTGAACCTATTCATCTCAACACTGAATGGATTCAGCGCCCAAGTATCACTCGAAACGTCTTTTTATTCAGTTGGCCACTAAGCGTCTACCGAAAGTTGACCGGCAAGAAGCAAGAGGAGGATGAAGAAGTCTATGAACAAGAGGATACATCCGAAGAGCAAGAACAAAAGGAAGGAGGAGGCAAAAAGAAAAAGAAAGTAAAGCGAGCTGAGCCTGTGCAAGTGACAGGTACCAAGGTTGGAGGTCGTCGTAGAGCTGTCAGGAAATAGAAACCAGCCGTCATCCATTTTACAAAGCATTAGAAAAAATAAAACATTGAATTGTGTACACGAATCTATTAATGAGCTAAATCACACACTATATATAACGCCTTGCTTGCTAATGGTTACCACCCATTTTGGGCATTCTGTGTCTTGATAAAGTCGAAAACCTTATTGGTGGTACGTTCGTCTTTAAAGTTGATCATGTAAACCATGCTGGAGTTATCAGTGATGAGCTGAAAGGTGATACGTTTGGGTGCTTTCTTTTCTACATTGCGACTCAATACAACCGCACTAGCAAGTTTGCCCTTGTTGTTCTCCATTTCAATATGCATCTTTTGACTTGGTTGTTGTTGACAGAGACGTAATTCAACATTGCCTATGCTGTTCCAAGAGGAGACTTCTTGCTGGGCAAAGAGCTTGCATTTGCATTGCATCAAAGGTGTCAAGGTTTGTGGGCCTTCTTCAATTGCTTCACGTTGTCCTTCTTCAGGATCAGCCAAGGATGTTGCTGTGAAGCCATGTGCAGCTTGCTGTTGTTGTTCATAAACAGGATCCATCATGCGAGTGGTCTCTCGTTGAGCATACTGCATGACATTCTCAAGCTCTACAGCATCAGGACGTCGATCGAAATGGACCAAGTAATTCTCGAGCTGCATCCCAACATAGACTGATAAGCTGACATCCGATTGTGCCATCAATTGTACACCCATATTAGGAACCACCCATGCATTCAAGTAAAGTTCACCGGTAGAAAGAAGTTGAAGAGAGATGCAATAACGATTCGAATTGGTCATGCGCACCAGCACAGAACATGGACTTTCAGCTGCATACCATGTTTGATCTTTCCAATGGAATACGTGACAACAACCATGCGTATAGAGGACCTGCCGAGTAGCATTGGCATAGATACCAGGCTATTGTGATGATATCGAAAATGTTGTCAATTAATAAACCCCCGCCATCATTGTCATGCTTTGCTCAACTTACACTCTCTGGTGGTGATTCCAAAGTTTGCAATTGGTTACCATGAGATTGCCGTTCTTGCGGATCTCGTTGTCCACCGCCAAAATTGGAAATTGAGGATTGCATAGCAATAGAATCGGAGGAAGAATTCATCATCAGCTGCATTGATCCTTGACGTTGTTGATGATCGACAGGGGCAGTGGTGCTTTGCATGTTAGACTTCGAATAGGATGTGCGTTGTTGATATTCATTGGAAGATGGTGATTCTGCAAGAGGTAAAGAACGAGGTGTGTTAGAGGAGGGGGATGGTTTCTCCTCGATATATGTATTAGGGACCGTTTCTGTTGCAGCTGTCGATGATGATGATCGTGGAGCCGAGTAGCTTGATTGTAAGGAATGAGTAGAATCGGTAAAAGAATCAAGGGATGCTGTAAGAGCGCTGCGTAAGGATTCCATGGTTTGCATGACAGCATGCTGTTGTTGTCCTCCCTGATTATTATGTCGTTCTATAGATGGTGCCTTGGATGATGAACGTTGATTGTTATTATTATCGATGTTGGAAGAAACGGCTGGTGGTTGCTGTGGTATCAATGGTATATCATCATCATCATCGTTGTCGTCGTTGGTTACATTATCATCCACATCATGTCGTATCAATGTAGCTTTAAGGACTGCGGGTTGAATGTATGTCATTTGAACAGGTGTTGATTCGGCCGATTGCTCTTCGGTGGATGACTGCTGCATCGGATCTTCATGCGATGCTGATTGTGCCGATGGTTCGTCAACATGAGGTGGAGGAGGTGATAAGGGTGATGGATGTATCATAACATTCGCAACATGTATGTCTGGTATCCGAGATAGCATCTTGACAGAGCGTGGGGTAATATTGGCGAGGTCTTGACCATCCTCATCCATTACAGCTTCGTTGTCATTGTCATGGGTTGTTGGTGATACGTCGTTTTCACGATTCCTGCTGCCATAAAAATCCATGATGGTATCTCGGAAAGCTTTGCGACCAGCACGAGCTTTCTCTTGTTCTTCAGGCTCTTCAGTAGCGTAATCGTCATAAAGTGCAAATAACTCATCATCATCACCATCATGATCGTTATCGACAGCTGTATCATCTGAATGGTGGGGATTTGCTGCAATTTGTATCAAGCGATCAATTCGTTGATTGGCGATAATCAAAAGGTCGTGGTCGGCTCTTCCAGGTTTGGTGCTCTGCAACAATCGCTTTTTTTTACAATAGTCAATTTCATTGTTGTTGAACGTGTAAACAATAAAGTAGTAACATACATGGTATAGTCCTTTATAGTAATCAAGCCGGTTAACAGGTGCACTGAATAAATCTTCAAGCGTGATCCTGCGAGAGAGATTCAACGAGACTGTCTATTGCATAAAGATAAATAAGCAAAAGTAAGGAATTGGATGACTTGTGGATACTTTACATTGAGACGTTGTCGAATGGATGCAGTATCAAGAATATCATCTCGCGTGTTGATATGATGGATGAGGCGTTCTAGATATCGAGCATAGGGTTGTTCCATATCTTGTACCTACGTAATTCCACATCATGTTAGCCAGGTGATGGTAATAAGAGTAAACGTACTACTACGTACCCACTGCATGAGTACATCACCCAATTCTTTCAATGCACTTGGATGACCAGCTACCTTGAGTAGGCACTAGGAAGGGCTCTAAAAATAAGCTTGAGCCTGGTACAAGGATTAAGGATAATGCGTGATCACTTACCGAATAGAAGCGCTTGTTGGCTCTGTAGACTCCATTGGCATTTTTGAGTTGTTCCGAAAAGTCAGGCGCAGCTGATACAGTTTGTTTCATCCACAGCGGCGCAATGTGCTATTTTAGAGTTTGAACATTAGGAGAGGGAAGATTGACAGGGCAATCGTGTAACATGTGATTACTTACCGAGTCAATGATTTTCAACGTGTCCAAGTATGTTTTCTCAGAGTGAATAAGTTCGGATAATGGATTCGAGGGTGTCTGTGCTCGGGGAGTATGAGGTGTATGGGGTGGTCGCGATGCATATGGGAATCGAGGATGCGTGATGGATGGCATGGTGAGCAAAGGAATGTGGGTTTTTGTACAAAGGATAAAAGGAATGTGGGAGCCGGCCGAGACTAGCTGTTATTCATGCTCGGGGAAAGAGAAAGAGAAAAGTAAAAAAGCCATTATCTCTCTACTGTTTTATACATTATCGGTGTTTGACATCAAAAACGAGATGCATTCCTCGTGCTTCTAATGAGACACACACATAAAACCCCAATTGCCCAGCCTCTTCACCTCCCCCCTTCCCCTTAAAACCATCCATTAGTGAGATTCACTTTTCTACCATTTCATCCCATCCCATCCTTGCATATAGCAAAAGTATTCAAGACTTTATGTATCACATACTATCATCGGTATCCTGTTTATTCTTCACTTTGCGTTGCCATGGCAGCCTCCGCTTCTTCTATCTCATCTTGCATGATCTTTTTACGTGTCAATGCACCCTTGGCCAAATCCAATCGATTATGCTTCTTGAATATCAGAGCGAGCTGTCGATCACGTTCTAGACGCTTTCTTGTATTCTGGAGATAGGTATCCATGTCAAGTAGCCCCGTTTGTACTTGAATAACAAGCATGTTCATCTTGATGTCGAGTGCCTGCTTTCGATCCATCAATTCCTCCTTTGCTTGTGCTGATAACTTGCCCGAGAGTGCATTGTTGACGATTCCAAGCTCGTGTTCTAAAACCATATTCGAAACAATGTGATCGACACTGCATTGAATCGATGAGTATCCATGTCATAGGCAAAAAGGAATGATGGTACATACTTGTTGTATTCTTCTTCAGCTTGCTCCAGCTCAGCGTTTGTTTCTGGTTCTTTGGATGTTGTAGGCTTCTTTGTCTTCTCCTCGATTTGCATCCTTGATTCAGTGGATGGTGGTTCTGATGACGATGGTGTACCTCCAGGGGCAGGGGTAGTAGTACTAGTTGCTGTAGGGGATTCTGTTGAAGGTGGTTGCATTGATGAATTCGTGGGAGGTCCTTGCTGTGATTGGTACGGCATAGGTGTCAATCCTGAAGATGCCAAGAGTGAGGAGGTATCCTGGCCAAATTCATCAATCACAAGCCATCGTTCTGCTCGCCTCACAATGTCTTCGCCGCTAAGGGGTTCTCTCAAATTAAGTTGTATCTCAAGCTTGCCACCCGTTTTCCTTCGATTGGCATCAATCAACTATGATCGAGAGTCAAGTTAGCAAGAGAATACATGTCTTTCTACCATCGATTATACTTACATCAAATGTCCCTGAGATAGAGCATTTGGACAACAATGTTTCCAAAGGAAGAGACACCTTGCCAAGTGAAAGTGGTCGTCGAAACAATCCATAGCTGTAGCGATTATGAAAGACCTCAAGGGTGAGCTTTCGCCTCTGGATATAACGCATGAAAATACGGTTGCCGCGTGTGATAGGAATAAGGATAGATGCATCAAAATCTAAAAGACGTATTTGTAAGTCGACGATAAAGATATCAAGACATCACAAATGATTACATACCAGGCTCAGTACCCTTCTTTACTGCTGTTTCTCCTTTTCCAAGTGATGCCTGAGCAGTGTTCTCTGGCGGCCAGCCGCCAAAATCCCATGTGACGAATGGTTCGATATTTGTGGATATATCAAGTGATTGTAATCCAATACCCCGAATGATCTTGAGCTCCATTTGGTTGATCGGAATATGATCGAGGATATTCTTGTACGTGTAATTGACCAATTCATAATGAAGCTGAGGCGTCGTTTTCATATCTTGATCACGACGCGAACGAATTGAAACGAGATCAGCTGTAAATGCTTGCTCAAGCTGTTGATACGCATTGGCTGAATCAGAAAGCGTTTTCCCCGTTTGCTTACGACCCGTCATTGTAGCGCTTTGGATAGCAAGGTTGTGACATATATCCACTTGGTAAACAAGCTGTGATTCCAAATGCTCCAATGTCTGTTCAGAAGGACTTCCCGAAGCAACCAATTGAATTTGCCTCATCTTGCCATCACCACGTGACATGTCAGGTTTTCCAGGAAGCTTATTGCGCACGGCTTCGATATCTCCTATCTCGCCATTCTTAACTTGGATTCCAACACGTAAAAGCTCTTTGGAAGTCTTGATCATCTCCTTGGATACAGCCAAATTGCCGATATTCTTGTAATGGATGGCGGCTTCCTTATACTCTTTTTGCAATGCGACAATTTGCTGAAGAAGAGCTTGCATTGCTGCTGTGTTGTCTTGTGGTTGCATTTTGGGTGGCTCTGGTTCTGGGGATGATGATGATGCTGCTGGTTGTGATGGTGGTGGTAATGGTTGTGCTGGGCTAGGTGGATTGCTTTGTGCTGGCAAATCTGTTGCAGCTGGGGTATCATGCATGATCTCATCTTGGGGCTGCGCTGTCGATGGTGATGGTGGTGGTGGTGACATCTTTGTGCGTTGTATCAATTCCTGGTATCTCTGGTCAAGACCTTTTGAGTGACGTAAAAGTTCGACCGCTTTCTTCTTATCGCCTGAACGCTTAGCAGCAATGGCTAACTTTTGATAATGCTTTATCCGTTGTTGAAGCTCTTCCAAATCATTGAATTGCTCATCTTGCTCAACAGCCTCTTCCTCCATTGCTCCAACATCAGATGTCTCTCGGCGAATCGTATCATCATCCATCATTGGCTTTTGAGTCGTTGATACATCCGCTTCCATTTGATCATTGTTGGTCATTGGTGTATCCAAGAGGTAGTTTGTCGCACGTTCCAAATTGCCATCGTACTTGTCAAGAGCGTCTGTTGCCTGTGTCTCGGAAAAGCCCATGCTAACCAAATGTTGTATCGATTCATGCGATGGTTGCGTAGATGGATCGTGCTTTTGCTCCGCCATAGTGTGTCGGGTTGGCAAGTCGTCATTGCCTCCCTCGTCGCCAAGCTCGGCCAATGCATTCTAAGGTGATATCCCTGGTGTTATTATGCGTACAGTTTACTTAATCCACCCATTATCACATACCAGCAAGGTTGGGTCATGTAAGTCCTTCTCATCAAGCTCAACATGAACATCGTCGTTGGTTCCTTGAGCAAGTGCTGCATACTGGTCAATGTCGAAGTCATCGGTCTCCATGGCAGATTGCTTTTGCTTGGCACCACTGTTAGTCTTTGCGTTGTTGTCTCGTTGGTGGGTATTATCATTCTTATGACCAGCGTTGGCCACTCGATTGGACGATGTCAGTTCCTGGAGTTGTTGCTAGACGTCTTGAATAAGTTTGATGTATTTCTTTTCTTCTGAAACAATTAAAGATCTTACAAGAAGTTCAGGGTCGTTGAGATCTGCATCGTGAGCATCGTTGTCTGCTTCGGGTATTGTAGCATTCAATAGTTCGTCAATGTCGCCTATATCGAATGGCTGGCTATTGTCAGGTGTCTGGTTCTTTGGCTTTCGTCCAAACATGTTCGAGATAAAGAAGGGTGTATGTGGATCGTGAAATGCAGCTGAGGAAGATGATTGATAAAATTGGGAAGACGCGTGACATGGATCATTCCCATATCCACAGCACTGATAACAGCGATGGTGTTATTAGTATATGATATGCAGGAATACGATGACAGCAGAGATCTGTTGCTAAGTAGTATCCTTCTCTTTGTGCACATTGATATGATATCATATGCTGTTAGCATGGCTATTTCAGACACCAGACCTTGCACTCATATCTTCTCTGGAAAAAGTAGATACAAAGATGCATCAAAGCAGGTAGTTGCATAAAAAGAAGTTTATTACTATCATATGGGCCATCCCATATTCGAGGATCAAACGACCACAATGAACAACTCATCACGGCCACGAAAGTAGGAGACAATGAAACACTATGGATGAATCAAGATACCATCTTACAAAAAAGGAGAGTGATAAACATTTGTTATGGATGATGCATGAACTTGAGAAATGATGGGATGCCTGAACCGGGATCAAGCATGGTATTTGTATCAAAGGGTCAAAGTGTGATAGTGTCTATGCGCGCATAAATCGACAAATTCTAGTAGGTGTCACCATCCAATTCTACATTCCTCAGTGATCTACCATCAAGATATCGAAGAATGTGATCATGGGTATACAGATCAAATAAACCATGCTTCAATGTACATTTATTCAAGTAGTAACAGTAGTTGGGTGGGTTAATTGATTCTAAGCAGTCCATGCAATGCGGAGTGGCTCATATACTGTCAGCTGACTTGTCTCAAGCCGATTTTTCACAACTTGTTCTCACTCTTACAGCCATGTCAGGTATGCCGCGTCCATGTCCACTCACGATCTCGGGCTATATTGACCTAATATCAACATCCAGACGCCATTGAGAAACGAGTATACATCGGAGGTCTTCATTCCAGCGTCACCGATCAGCTCTTGCACGATCGATTCAATCGGTACGGTACGATCAGCTCTGCGACTGTCGCCAAAGACGATCAAGGTATTCCCCACATTCCATTGACGATCCACGAGGAATTGTAGCGAATAACATATGCGTTCTTATAGGGAATTGTCGTGGATTCGGTCACTTGACTATCACAACTACACCAAAGCAGTGGGCAGGCTGTATGTGCAGTAAATGCCGATGTTGATAGCGAGATTGGATGCTGATATATACTCTCCACAGGTTTATCTGTTTACAATGGAGCAAAGTGGAAAGGCATGGTGATGCGACTCGAAGACGCCAAACCTGACTACAAAGAGCGGAAGCGTAAGGAGGACGAGCAATTACGAAAGAAGGAAGAGAGACAACAAAGGAAGCGATTACGACTTGAAAAACGATTCTTGGCCAAAGATATGACGCCTGTCACTGATAAGAATATGGAGAAACGACGAGGATGGAGGCGAGGACGATATGGTCGTGCTATTGCTATCATGCATCTACGTCGTCCAGATGGCACTCAGGTACATATATACACTACAAATGTCTCTTTGCGTAATGGTGTCAAGAAGCTCACGCATGATGGGAATATAGATTGTCTTCGATCCCAGCCACTATAAGAACAACCTCACCAAATTATACAACATTAATGCACGCATGAAGCCTGTGTCACGTCTACCGATGCAATACGATGATTACGCCAGTGACAACGATGATCGTTACGATGATACCACTTATGACCAAGATGAAAGCGATCATGAAGACAACATGGTAAGTAGGCACTAGGCATAATTCATCATCGGAATTATTAACTCTTTTATGTTATCAGGATAAGGGTGATGAGAAGCGACTGGCAGCAATGGAACGCCGAATGGCAGAGGCACAGCAAAAACATGAGATGATCCAACGGGCTCTGAATAGCGATGACAAGGTAATAGCATGGGCATAAACGATTACCTACATTGTGCTCATTTGGTAAATATAGGATCGTGCAAATCATGTTACTTTTGATAACGAAGAAGAGGAGGAGGCGGATGAAGATGATCGATCATTGAAGCCACGACCATCATCAGAACGACCAGCTCCACGAGATTCAAGCTGGCTATTTGATTCAGATGAAGACGAAGAGGATCTTGGTAAGGAAGTGATAGAGAGGTGTCTCAATTTAACCCGAGAGCTCACTTTTGTATGTGCAGAGATCAAGATGAATCCTGTATTGGAAGGAGAGAAAGGTCGAGAGCGACTTGCATTGCAGAGCACTTTCAAGGGTGATGAGCGTTTCAAGTTGGATGAAGATTTTATTGACGAGGATGAGATCAAAAAGACGCGCAACAAAGAAAATATCGAGGAGGATGAGATTACAAGGGATTTGAATGCTGAGAAGGATCAATCCATGGATGTGTTGCGTGCTATGTTTGGCGAGGAGACAGTAAACAAGACGTAAGTGATGCGATTTGTATGTAATCCAGGGCTGTGATGCTTATTACCCATATAGGAAGAAGAGAGATACACAATGGACAAGTGGAGCACGATATGATCCTGAAGCGGAAGATGCTGATCAGTATTTGAGGAACGTAAACAACTCTGAGGAAGAAAGCGATAACTCTGAGGAAGAAGGTATATACGAAGGCGTTTCTTTTGACTATGCACATGCGATACTAAGACTCTATTGTAGCCCTGCCCGCCAACACGACTCCTGTCACAGCAATGCCCGTTGTATCAAAAGACAAACATTTTGAGGTGAATGTTAATATGAAGCCATTGTTTGCAGCAGAGGAAGGCAAGTATTGGAATAGGTTGTGTTTGAGCGGGGCTGTTAACAGGATAAATGACAATAGGGCCATTCAAACTTTTTGGAGGAGATGATGACGACGACGCTGAAAATGATACCAAACAACAACCTCTTTTCGGGAACATGCTGGACAGTGACGATGAAGGAGATGTTGCTACTACAACCAAATCAAAGAAACATGTAAGTAATATATATAGTAAACGGTGAAAAGGGGATCATCGATTGACGAGTATCATAGGCACAGCTTGGCTTGGGTGTGATGTTTTTCTTCCACACAGACAACCCATCTCTTATGGCAAAGTACGTTCATTGCATCATTGATTTATTGTTGTCAAGTACTCATTCAACAACCTTTTCTAGGAGCTGTTTTGACTATGATCCAAATGGTGTATTCCAAAGATCCGAATCAGAAGACTTTGAATCAATATGGCAAGAAAAGAGACCCCAAATTACTGATTATCTGAAAAAGCGTCAGAGACGTGCATTGAAGAGGAACAAAAAGCAAAATGTCAAAAGCAATGGACAATAAATTAGGTTTTCTTTGTCTCATATAAGAATGGTTGTTGATGTGATGATACATACGGGTAATGGGGGATGAAGTAGGAGAATACAATGGCAATAGCCGGGGACGTTTGAGGGATGAACTTTTGTGAATGAGCACATCCATGGTATCTGATAATGTCAGGCGGAGAAAGACGATTCCAGTGTATCCAAGCCAGCAACCACCACAGCCCTTTCTATCAACCAACAACAACACCAGCATGGGAAAGACCGTTCAATTATCAAAAGAGAATCCATTTGGCGAAAGGAAAGCCGAAGTACATGCATTGACTCGAGCAGAAGAAGAAGCTTGCTACAAAGATCTCAAAGAGAAGGCCCTCGAATACTGCCAATCGTCAATCAAGGGTAACTTGACATTGCCTTTTTTTACAAAACGTGTTTTCTTGACGACTGTTTCGTGCTCAGAGTTTGTCGAGTGCAGCAAAGAGCACAACGTTACGGTGATGTGGACGTGTCGTGATAAGCTAAAGGCCATGAACACTTGTTTAAATAGTCGGTGAGTCTCATGCACACGGTGGGGGTGGGGGTGAGAGGATAAAGCAAGCATATGAATAACACAGCATGATGTCTAGGACTTCTCGTGAAGAATTGGACAAGCTCAAGTTGGCCAAATTAGCAGCAAAACGAGCTGAAAGAGAGCAGCAACAGTAGCAACAATGATAACACAAATGTATAAGATCACCAACTTCAATTAGATAAACAATAAAGGGATTTCTATGTACAACTTCCAAATGACTCATCAGATAGCATAAGCTTGTTTGCCATGATCCTATTAAAATACATATGAGATATCCCAATCTTGCAATGATTTCAAATGTTTGATGACTTACGCTAATGACACAAATGTGATCGAGGTCACGGAAGTATTCATTGTAGTCCAAAGCATAGCCAACAACGAAAGCGTCAGGGATGGCAAATCCAACATAATCAGGAACATAGCCATTGCTGCGGGAAGTCTTCTTGACCAACAAGGAAGTCACCTTGACAGACTTTGGGTTGTATTGCTTAAGACGCTCAAGCAACTTGACCATAGTGTTGCCGGTGTCAATGATATCTTCGACAATAAGAAGGTTCTATACGTGGGAATTTAAGTATGGTAGCTCAGCATCCACATAGTTGGTTATATTACCTTGCCAGCAAAGTCCTTGCATTCGCTCTCACTCAAGGAAATGGTGACGCCTTCAGATTGATCATTCTTGTAAGACTTGACACGGATGAATTCCAAGCTGAGAGGGACGCTCATGCCATTGCTCTTGGTCAAAGCCTTGATTTGGTTGACGAGATCGGCAAAGTATTGATGACCACCCTTCAAGATACAGCACACGACTGGAAAGAGAGCACATCAATCTCCCAATGTCACCTTCCATCATCATGGCTGTTTTGATACTTACCAAGTGGACCAGTGGCGTCATCCACAATCAAGCGTGCGAGCTTTTGGATACGATCCTAAGAGTAAAGAAAAAAGTTAGTTACGCGGTCATAGTAGTAAACAGACGATAAGAGAAGCACCATACCATGATAACGCCATGAGGAATGAGGATGCTGGAGACATCTTGTTCGTAATGCTTTGGAATGACAAAGTGATCGAGAGAATAGTGGTTCTTCTCAGTGGTCACATCAATCCAGTCCTTGGGCTCCATAGGCATAGTGAGAAAAAGTGGAATAAAAGGGAGCCTGTGATCTTTTTCAAAGTGAAAAATTTCTTATACGCAGACGCAATATCGGGTCGCGAGTTCCGATCCAGGTTCAGTTTCCAGCAGCATTATCTGGTCAAACGGTGTCACAAGATAGCGGATACTTTCTGCATTGGGACGGCTTATCAGGGAGTAATTTAACATCTTTTTCATCAATGAGACGACACAAAGGCGGCTCATGTCGATTCCCATGCTTACTACTGATGCACAGCAGATTCCAATGGCTTTTTCAAATTACATCCTTTTCTTCCCTTTGCTGCAACACAACCAGCCATGACGATTCAAAGATAAGCGAATAGCAGCATACAGTAACACGTTTGAGATGATCAATCATTTACAGTAACATAAAAAGGACGTCAATAATGGATGTACGCGTGTGCTATACGTATTCCCGAAATGGCGGCTGTTATGGTTACAGATCGTCCATGACAACAAACATCAATGCATCAGGCAAATGAGCCCGCCAAAATGCGTTGCACAAGTCGATCGTCTTTTGCCAAGAACTCTTTTGAATTAATACTTTTTACAGGCTTCTATTAGGTGCTTGTGTACAATGGATACTATCAGATGGCTATTTTAGGGTCATATGGAGAGTCAATGATCATCTACCAAGCTAAGCCTAGATTGTTCAGGGGAGCAATGTGATGTATGTGAACCATGTCCTTGTTGGTTGAGAAGGCACCAAGATTCCCAACCACCATCGAATGCATTGTTTATAGAGTATAGAGAGGAACAACAACATTACAAATATAGAAAAACGATGCTAGCATGTAGGGTAGTGATCATAGCTACTTGTCTTTGTATGCAGTAATATCGATTTGATCATGACAATGGGCCAAGATACTCAACATCTGATATGAATGAATGAAAGAAAATGTAGGCGGAGGGTTGTCATGGTACCTTTTATCACCATAGCAACGCTTCAAATCGGAATTCCAAAGGGAGGGGGATGGGTGTGGTGGCATCCTCGTACTGCCACACGTACAAATCGGTCGCTTGTGCTTTTCCTTTTTCTATACACACATATACGATGAAGCTCTTTTCGATTCTAATCCTTCGCAAGAATGCCAACAAGGCCCAGATCCTCACTTCAGCCTTCGATTTGTCTAGCTTTGGCTATTTTCAACGGGGCAGGTAAAGAGATGACACCGGCCATCTATACTCATCCACAAGCATCGCCATGACTCATGCTTTTTCCTCCCATGACTAGCGTACAAGAATTTATGAACTTTACAGCAGCAACTATCAGCGACCGAACACCCACTGGACAACGACAAAGCGTCGAGAGTGAAAGTAAGGGAGATGGATGATGATGATGCAACAAGGACCAAGCATTAAACAGCATTTCAATGTACGCAGATAATGTAGCGCACGTCTATGCACATCCCCAAGGTCTTTATGGTGTGATTATGAGTGACAAGGAATACCCTTCAAGAGTGGCCTTTTCTCTATTGAACAAGATTTTGGATGAGTTCTTGGTCAAGTTCCCCCAAGACAAGTGGAATCCTCCAATGACCTATCCCGAATTGCAAAACTATTTGAGCAAATATCAAGATCCCAAGCAAGCTGACAGCATTATGCGCGTACAGAATGAGCTTGATGAGACGACTGCTATCTTGGTAAATGTCAAGAGGAGGAAGGAGAGGGGCAAAAAAGAAAAAGAAGCAAGGGTCAATGCGAGATCAAGGAGTATATTGGATGCTGACATCCCTTGTTTCTTTCTCCTATGCTAGCACAAGACAATTGAATCTGTATTGGAACGTGGAGAAAAGGTATGTTTATAGGATAGGATATGCGTTTTGGAAGCATGGCCTAACAATGTCATAGCTTGATTCCCTTGTAGATCGATCCGAAGCACTCTCGAGCCAGTCAAAGATGTTTTACAAGACAGCAAAAAAGACCAACTCTTGTTGTGTGGTGATGTAGAAGATAAACCAACACAGAATAAAAAGGGATGATGATGGTAGGAGGAGGGGATGATATAGTCTATTTCTCCTAGACTTCCTTTTTCTTTATGCGACACGCTGAGCACTAGCCACCACATGTTGGAAATATTGGGGGATGGATTGACGATGAAAGAAACCCAGCCCATGATCCCGATCCAATCAGCATATTGCAGGACGATCATGCAATTTAAGCATATGAATTCCCTCGGCTAAATAGTGTGGGATGAATGGGTTTGATACACAAGGTAATATAAAAGGAAAAAGGACACAATATGAGATGGTGGGAGATATACGTCGTTATTGTCAGGGATCAGGAACAGTAAAAAGTAAGGAAGGGTATCTCTTAAGCTATACTATTGAAAAACAACGGGCGATGCGTAGTAGGTAGAGGGTACACATCCACACATCCACACACGGACATTGTCGGTTATGATAGTTTACTTTGAAATGTATCCAAGGGGAGCGGAATAAACAAGTGAATGGTGGGTGTGATGTGATTATCAATAATGACAAGATGACCCCACACAAAGAGATGATGATGATGAGGCCCTTGCACGAGGAGACAAAAAAAAAGAGATGACAAGAATAACGACGTGGATGATGGTTAGTAAATTGTAAGGAGGCAAATGAACGGAGCAAAGTACAGCAAAGGGTAAACTTTAATGGCATCTTCTGATGCACACACCTGGTTACACAAACAAGCATTGCACACATACGCACGCACACATACGCACACCCTCACACTTACACACACTCCCACCCTCGTTTTCGTTCCCCCAACCTTTCACGTTGTAACCCTCGTGCAGCCTTTCTCTCGTTTTCTCTCTCTTTCTTCCTTCTTTTCATCTTGTACAGTAACCCTCTCATTGTGCACAATGCTTGCAATGTCCTGCTAAATTCGAAGCCTATGCATCCCCTCATCTGATCCTCTTTCTTATATATATTCATACACAACACCCACGCACAGCGCTTTATCGCTCTTACTCTTCTCTCAAAAAGACTCATATATCACTCTCTCGATACACCCACAGCATGCTTGTATTCTATTCTATCTTCACTTCCGCTATCACATCAACAACGACAATCATCAAGCTTTGAGAACTATTGAACCGGCTGCTTTATCTCCATAGCACCCTTCCAAAGAACCGCTCCAACAACAACAACAACGACAACGCCAACAGCAACAACAACTTCAACTTCAACAACAACAACTACATTTGCATCTATCTTTTCCCATCAACAACAACGACATTTGTGCCTACTATTCAATAACATGGCTGCGATTATCACTCCACACGAACAAGATTACTGGTCCCACGTCGGCGTATCCATGCTCGACAAGGTTATTCATACAAGCGGTCATCATCGCTATCAAATTCTTGAGGAACTTGGCCGTGGTTCATATGGATGCCTTTTCCTCGGACAGTCGCTGGTAGACAACTCCTATGTGGCCATCAAGGTATTAAGCAAAACAGGCTTGGATCACCAGCAACTTGAACTTCAACAACTCGAAATCGACATTCAGACCTCGCTCAAGCATTCTCACTTGCTCACTTTACACGGCACAGCTCATGATAACGATTACATTTACATGGTGATGGAACTTTGCGATCAGGGTGATCTCTTTGATTATGTCCTTCGCACCAAATTGGATGAGCATCAAGTCACTCGTTTATTTGTTCAAATCCTCGAAGCTGTGGAACACATGCACGCTCATAGTGTGTATCATCGTGATCTAAAGTTGGAAAACATTCTACTACGCACGGCCGACGATGATGATCAATTGGAATGCAAGGTGGCCGACTTTGGACTTGCCACACGAGAACGGTTCAACATGGAATTTGGTTGTGGCTCAACAACCTATCTTGCACCAGAACACTTTGATGATCAGGAGCAACAAGAGGACGGGGTCAATACCACAGGAGAGGATGAACAATTACTTGTCTATGACGCTGCCGCATCCGATGTATGGAGCTTGGGCATTCTCCTAATCGCTCTCCTCTTTGGTCGTAACCCTTGGGAAGAAGCCACATCCATGGACATGGCCTATCATGAATACAAGCGAAATCCACTCATTCTCAAGAACCAGCTATTCCCTGCCATTTCAATGCGTTGCTATCGCTTGCTGAAATCCGTTCTCTCGCCCAATCCCGCTGATCGTCCTTCTGTCACTGAACTCAAACATCAATTTCTCGCTCTCGATCGCCTTACCATCGATACCGATTTCGATGATGAAAGTGATAGTGGCCTCATGTCATGCGATGATGATACAAGTGATGATTATTGTCGTCCTGTTGGTATTCCCACAGCTGCTGGTGCTGCAGCTATCATGGCAAAGGCTGACAAGATTAGCTGGGATTCGGCTGTCTTTAGCGGTACCTATCATGCATCATCCGGTGAATCGTGGTCCGACATGGTGGAAGAAGACGAGCAAATTTACGACGACATGGTATCATCTTCATCATCCTCCTCTTCTTCAGGTGTATCCTCTTTGGCTAGCAGCATGTATCGCGACGACGATGACGATGATGATGACACTGACATGTTTATTCACAGCCAAGAAAAGGGATCTTGGTGGTTGTGATGATGGGTTATTCTCTCTTTCTCCTCCGTCTCATTAGTTCTTTCTCAACAAACACCCCCCTTTACATCCACCCCCTCCTCCGACAATAACAACCCTGGGGCGGCGCACGAAAAACGCGGATGCGATGATGATACAAGTGATGATTATTGTCGTCCTGTTGGTATTCCCACAGCTGCTGGTGCTGCAGCTATCATAGCTGACAAGATTAGCTGGGATTCCGGCTGTCTTGCCGGTACCTATCATGCATCATCGGTGAATCGTGGTCCGACATGGTGAAGAAGACGAGCAAATTTACGACGACATGGTATCATCTTAATATCCTCCTCTTCTTCAGGTGTATCCTCTTTGGCTAGCAAGCATGTATCGCGACGACGATGACGATGATGATGACACTGACATGTTTATTCACAGCCAAGAAAAAGGGATCTTGGTGGTTGTGATGATGGGTTATTCTCTACTCTTTCTCCTCCGTCTCATTAGTTCTTTCTCAACAAACACCCCCCTTTACATCCACCCCCTCCTCCTACAATAACAACCCACCAACGCCCCCACCCCTAGATCCCTATACCCGCTCACAATACTTGCTCGTTTCTCACTAACCTATTGCGTTTTCAATGTCGTGTGAATAAAACAATATCCTTTCCTTTCCTGACCTATTAATATGATAACGTGTAACAAGGTGGATAATTGCATAAGTTCTTCCTTTCCATAGCAGCCATTATTTCGCAATAATAGTTGGCTTAGTATTATCGAGTTAAAGTACCCCTCACCCAAAACCCAATACATATCCAATGCTGCCCCTCCATCTTGCATGTTTAAAATTCCTGCTGGGTTGGCTTGTTCATTCAATTGATCAGGCACCCCTTCATCCAGCTATCTATTTGTTCACCTACACCAATGTCCTTTTTTATCGAACATGTTTCCAAAACATGAAAGCACATGATGCACCACTAAGATCAGCAGCTTTGTCATTACAAAGTGATTGGTGCGTAAAACATACTATTGGGATGGCCTTAGTAGTAGCAATAAACAAGTAGCTATGGATTGGGTATCCTCCAAGGGGCATTTTGTAAATAAAAGTCGCGCATAGGTGCTATAATAATGATCAAGAAGGAGCGTGCTAAGACTATACGAGTCACCTTGCAGCAAGGTGTCTATACCAATTACGAGGTTTAGGTGCATAAAGGGGATCCCATACATAGCATTGTATGTCGAAGCCGTATAAATGGCATTTATTTCCACTGATGGAGTTATGAATTATGAAACCTATTTGGGTGGCAAGTCGCACAGGATACATGCTTGTCGCATCTGTGCGTTCGTTTTTGCCTATTTACATATACGGTGCTACAAATGGTACAATAAACGATGGCTTTTTTTCTTAGGGATGGGTGTCGTACACCTATCCCATTACATAGATGTGCACCTTTAATTGACATCGTTTGATACTAGGTGACTGGTCATTGTTTGCAATTCGTCGGCCCCTTTTAACTGAGGTGCATGAATGCAGCCGACAAACATACGCCTGCGATTGTACAGAATAACGATGAAGGGGTAGAACTTATTATGTATGTTGTTGTCATACATGGATACACGCCTGCCGTGCTCATTGTGTGATTGTATCCAATGCACGCATGTGTAGAAGAAGGCTGATTTATCAGAAAAGGATAAAGCACGGGAAAAGATTACTAGGGACCGGATAACAAGTAGCATAAAACGATGATCAGATAACTCAAGATAGATACGAAAAAGGAACATGTGGCATTCCTCCCATGGTGTAGAGGATTGATGAATGGACCAATCAATGGGCATTTTGTATGACAATGACCACCACACATAAAGAAAGGGGGCTGTGATTATCCGAAATTTATACAATGCGCTTCGAAATACAATAAAAGTGGGGAGCAACAAAGACCCATCAGGAGGATGGCACAATGTGATATCATCATCGACCCATGAAAACGGCAACGGTGGAAGAACAAATGACCTGGAGCACCACCACCAGACACCAGCTGCATCCAAGGAATCAGCAGGAATGGTTACACAGAGCATGTCACGTCTATCACTGCAGCACCCATTTGTTTATGCATCCTCGCGTTATGTTTTGCATGTACGAAACAGATTGAAACGCGTTGTTGAGTACCTTGATAAAACGAATTGGGCATGGCCATGTTGATGGTGGTGATAGGCAAACGTTGTCCAAAGTGGGATGCAGTGGCAATAATGGTCGCGGATGTACGGGCGGGTACCGTTCTCATTTCCTCGTGACAGATGGTCCATGGGGACAGTATTGCAATAAAATAAGGGCACCATTTGGACCATTTATCGTGCTTGTTTGTCAATAACAATAAAGAGAACCTATTTCTCTTTTACGCGTTTGCACGTTTCAGCCCATTCTTTCCTTCCTTGCATCGCATTCCTACTTGTCCTCGAAATGTCATTTCAAAGCGAGACAACGACGGTCGCTAGCAACGAACAAGCTCCGTTGCTACCCAAAACACAACGCAACGACCCATACAATAATAACGACGACGACAACGACGACACGTATTTGATAAACCAGCCTCGCAAGTACAAGGTTGTTGCTCTCCTATGCGCTGTATTTTTGGCAGGTAACGTCTTTTGGATGCATTTGATCTTATCTGATCTTACTCACTTTACACATGATTCAGTGGGTAGCCACTTTGCCGCTCATACCCTAGGCGCCATGAAAAACATCGTCAAAGAGGTGAGTGTTTTACCAAGTTGTTGCAACCCCTTTTTATTCATGATGTATATGCATCGTCTTCCGGATGTAGGATTTTGGTATATCCAATTCCCAATATGGTGCCATTCAATCCAGCGTCTCCATCGTGAATACGGTGCTTCCTGTTTTTGGTGGTATCGTTCTTGATAGCTTTGGCACAGCATCCGGTTCCATTGCTACTACTATCCTCATTACTGTGGGCAATGTATTGGTGGCCTTCTCAACAGGCAACAAGAGCTTACCAACCATGATCATTGGTCGTGTCTTATATGGTATTGGCAGTGGCACAGTAGTCATTGTTCAAGAAACAATCCTTAGCCAATGGTTCAAGGGGCCTAGCTTAGCAGCAGTGATTGCACTAATGATGACCGTGAGCCGATTGGTATGAATAACTTTTCATCTTACGTTTCCCCCAAGTTGAATAACAAAGTTAACATGATCATGTTGCTAGGCATCCTTTGCTGCACAAGCTACTGTTATCCCCATTGCCAACTGGATGGGTTGGTATGGATACGGCTTTTGGGTACGCGTGTGCTGTGACGTATTAAAGGCATCCATTACTAATAACCTTGACCTTTTTGTTTGGGCCAACAATATCCAAAAACGATAGTTTTCTGCGTTCCTTTGCATTTTTTCCCTCGTGATCAATCTTATGTACCTGACTTTGGTTCGGAATGTATCCGGGATCCGTAGCCAGGCTACAAACAACAGCGCATTGCGTCGCAAGAAAACGTTCAGCTGGTCCAAGTTGCTGTACCTACCTCACTGCTATTGGCTTATTGCAATCATGGAATTCTTGTTAGGCGGTGGATGGGGTTGTTTCCTTCATATCAACAGGTAAAAAGTTCAGCCAATGTCATTCAATCACATGATCACCTCCACTCATGATCAAATCAAGCGAATTTGTAAAGATGCGATTTGGCTATGATGATGCACGTGCAGCTGCCACTGGAAGCATAGCCCAATTGTTACCCGTGTTCCTGATGCCAATACTTGGATTATGCGTTGATCGCTTTGGGAAGCGCACATGGATGAGTAAGCACCATTATTACTATACACACATACATACGCCTTCAACTTTATTCACTTTTGCAATGATAATAGTCATTGGAAGCGGTCTCACATTCCTTGTATCATTATTACTTCTCAACTACACTCATATTGCTCCTGTGGTAGGCATGCTGTTTTTCAGCATTAGTCTTGCGCTTGGTCCCGTTGGCCTTGTTTCCTCGGTTCCTATCATTTTGCCCATGTCGCTTGTGGGCACAGGTATGGGTCTCGTCAAATCAAGTACAAACATTGGTGCATCCCTTTTCGATATTGCTACTGGATTACTACAAGACATGGATGATCATCAAGGCTATGATGGTGTAATGAACTTTTTCATTGGTGTTGGTGCACTTAGCGTCATTGCAGGGCTGACATTGTGGTTCCTGGATATGTCAATTTATGATGCTCTGCTGGATCAGAGTGCACGTGACAGTCGCCAACAAGAACAAAAAGTGGAAACATCAGCTGTTCAAGAAAAGCTATGGGCTAATTGGATCTATGGAGGCGTTTATCTGTTTTTGGCTTGTTTAAGCTGGATTCTCTTTATCAAATTTGTGCTTCTATAGAAAAACCATTGTAATCCACTATTTTGCTAATTAAAACTTGTACACGTTGCCCTCGTTGTAACCAAGCCTATGAAACAAACGAATCAGTAAACAATGATCCATGTATAACCTTCACACCCCAACAACATGTATAATGATTACTTACTCCTTGAGGATACCAGAGACCTCACCCTGAGACTTATCCTTAGCCTTAGGACCAGAGATGGAAGCCAACATAGGATCGGGACCACAGATGAAGATCTTGGCATTCTTATCCTCGGGAGCAGGCAAGTACTTCTTGATGGCATCAGCAGTGACGAAGCCTTGGAGTCCTTGCCAGTCCTTGGGAGGGCGATCGAGGGTGTAGACAACCTTGAAGCGATCGGGATGTTCCTTAGCGTAGGTATCAAGCTCCTCCTTGAGCAAGATGTCTTCCTCGGTTTGGTTGGCGAAGACAAGAGTAACCTTGGTAGTCTTATCAGAGGAGTTCTTATCAAAGACCTTGCGGATGATTTGGAGCTAAGGAAAGAAAATAGGTATATACATGAGCACGTCATCCATGCATAGCTTGAGGCCATCCCATCATCTCCGCAAAAAAGACTTACCATGGGGGTGATACCGGTACCACCAGCAATCATACCAACATTCTCAACCTTGTTCTCCTCCCAGTTGTACTTAGGAATAGGGCCCTTCATTTCAAGAGTATCACCGACCTTGAGGTTGGCAATGTGCTTGCTCATCTTGCCTTCAGCATACTCCTTGACAATCAAGTCAAAGTAACCTTCAGCCTAAAATGTAGCACATGGTATCAGTATCATTGTTCCCTTTGTGAATCCGTTGCGTTGAACATTACCTCTTCAGGGGAAGTGGGAGTGTAAGGACGAATGATGAAGCCTGGAGAACCATCCTTCTTGGTGATAGGATAGCGGGTAATCAAGCAAGAAGCAACAGGGAGCTCGGCACGTTGCTTCTCGGAAGGAAGACTGAAACGGTAAACGGCAGTGTTGTGGTTGATGGGTTCAACTTTTTCGAGCTACATTGATGACAAATCCAATCCGTATCAGTTACATGATCATGCAGCACCATTGTTATCCTTACCTTGAAGGCCTTGAATTGCTTGCCATCAAAAGCAGGTTCAACAGGTGCAGCAGCAGCAGCAGCAGGGGCAACAGAAGCTTGGTTTTGGTTGTAGTAGATACCACCAGCAGCACCAGCAGCAGCGAGAGTAGCAAGGACAAACTTGTTGCTTCCCTTGTTGTTGCCAGCTTGGGAGGCATAAGTGCGAACACCCTAAAAGAACAATGGTGTCAAAATCAGGGGCTGAATGAGACGCGTGGAATGGCTCAATGGACAATTGCCTGCATGTTAGCCTTGGAAGCAGCACGCATGGAGCCGAGTAGAGACGATGAGACGAAACGCATGTTGATAATGAATGTAGATAAAGAAGAGGAACAAGGATGTCAATACCACCACCACCCGAATTTTAGGTTTATTTCTTTCTCTTTCTCTTTCAATGTTTGACGCGGTCTGAGTATAGCCGAATGAAGCCCGAATGTTGCGCGCCTTTTTGACACGCACTAGTGAAGACGTGACATCATCAGTCGTAATAAAGTATTGTTGTCCTTGGAACATCACACACTTCATCAAATGATCGACGACTGAGAACAACAGGTTGATGCATGTGCATAAGTATATTTAGAATATACGATCTGCAAACAGGGACGCACGCACAGACATGTTGTATCTATACATGTGTGTATATATGTGTATGTGTGTAAAAGTGATGAGTGGGCGAATGAGTCTATGAGGAGGAGATGGGACACGTCGTCCTTAGATGAGATGACTGATGGATGACTGATAGCTGATGGATGATAAGAAAAAGTGCATGTCGTCGTTTTATAAGTGTCCTCTTTTTGAATGAAACAGAAGCAATGATCAAGATGAGAGAGGAGCTCTTGGGATTGGGGGTGTAAAAGGAGTTGTTGCAAAAGGGACGTATCCATAATCTTGGGACTGTGAGTTCCCATCCCAACCAGTAATGGTGCTGGAGGCATGGTGCGTTACTCCATTTAAGCCTGTTGCCCCACCATTGCGGTTCCAAGCGAGGTTTGGTAAACATGAGGAAATGAGAGTCAGCATATGGGGTGCATAAGAGTTGGCCAATGGAAGATGATACACACTGCTACATAGGATAAATGGGGGGAGGCGGAATCCGAATTAATGGATGTCATTCCTGTAAATGGGTTTTGTGATGCAGGTGTGAGCCTTACGTCTGGGCACGTTAGGAAACAGCTGCCCAAACATCCTTCGAGAAGATGCAACATACATCAACCACCTGCTTGCTGCCATTCCCGCAACCAGATTTCTGGACATGTCCAGCTTTGTGGATGCCACCATTCAACCCGTGATATCGGCTCAACCCTGTTGTTGTTATGGTTACTATTGCCATGGCCATTGCTACTCCTACTACAAGTATCATCATGCCATGATGCATCGTTATTATAACTATTACTACCATAATGATGATGATTATTGGGAATGCATCCTCTCAAACACCGTTTTGATATGTCAAACCAAGAACTCGGGCTGCCAAGTTCTTGTACCAATGGTCTATTTGATACATTTATTATCCACATACATGTCATTCAATGAATAGGGTAACAAGTTGAATCATCATCAACAGCATCATCAGCTGCTGATATTATTCAAGCACCAGTCCATCTCATCCACCCATGTGGTGCATATCCGAGGGTTGCGTGATGTACCTGGTAAACTCAATAAAGGGTCTTAGGTATATATAGCACAACAATACCACCCGCAGTACTTGTTCTCCTTCTCTTTTCTCTCTTCTTTCTTTCACCCTTACCCCTTCCTCTTTTACACTTACATGTCACACCTGCTTTGGCGCTCTCTTGCCTAGATACAACTTGAACAACCAGCCTCATTCAGCGCGCCATGTCGACTCATCACTCACGATCGCAGCAGGACCGCGTGCCAGCTTCGCTTAGAAAGTTAGTTGAGCTGTCTGCCAATCAAACAATAAACCAATATCAGAACATTAGTTCAATAGAACTCGTTGTGCGTCAGCAACCCGTCAAGGCACGCCTCTGCAGCTTCAAAGAGAAAGGTGCGCATTGTGTGGATGTGATAGCGTGTATGTGATGTGATATTAATTCATCTCTTTTCCTTCCTTCCTCCCCCCTTTATTGTAGTTGACAGGCGTCCGGTTGATCCACCGCCTATCGTTCAGCTGATTTGCCGTGACCCAGACGAGTAAGTTATCTTTTGATCTTATGCTGTGGATATGGGTGGAGAGAGGGTAAGAGTGAGCAAGTGGGTGAGTAGATGGGTGTGTGTGTGTGTGTGTGTGTGCGTGTATGTGCGTGTATCCTATTATTACCAAAACTCTCCCTGCTTTCTCCGGGGTCCACGCCAAAAGAAATACCTGAGCCGAATCAGTCATCTTTTCATTTTTGTAGTCAAAGCTATTTGCACGATCCTTATTTTTTCCTTTACGCTACGCTTGCAACTACGGATGGTCAAGATTTACACTTTATGAACGGCACAAGAACTACAGCAGGCTCGGTTGTGCAATCCCTACACAAACTTAAAGACATTGATGATAAAGGTATGTGTGTGATACCACCCAAAACAAAGGAACATGCTTTACTCATCATCGTCTACCAAGATGGTGGTTTCTTCATCTTTGCCGATATCAGTGTACGACATGAAGGTTTCTTCAAGCTCAAATTCACGCTTTTTAAGATTATCGAGCAAGTATCACACGTACTCTTTTCATTGCACAGTCGACTGACTCGAAAAATATTTTTTTCACGGCTGTACAACAGAACCCATGTATATCGTCTGTGCTCTGCGTTTTCGGATGCGTTCCAAGTGTACTCGCCAAAGAGTAAGAATGGCTAAACACACGCGTGTGTATATGACGCGTTGAATGTGATGGATACTCATTCTTTTTTGGTACATAGCATTTCCTGGCATGTCAGGTACATCATCCATCCCCTCCGAAACATCCCAGCATTCTTTTTGCTCAGTGCATTGATCGCGTTGTTCGTAGAATCAACTTTCTTGACACGTTGCTTTTCAGATCAAGGAGTACGTATTCGCATTCGAAAGGAGACGAGGACACCAAGCAATCATACGTAAGTAAAATTGAGAAATGAGTGGATTCAATATAGCACATTGGTTCCAATAATGTATGTTTAGGAAAAGACGAAGGACTGAAGAGCATGAATACGAGGATAACGATGATAGATATCGATCGTCAACAGCTTCACAATCGGATGTATCGCATGCCATGTCAATGCAGAATCTGTTACGCTCTGATTCGACACCAACCGATCCTCAACATCCACCTCCACCACCTCCACCATTATCATCTACGTCTGAATACTATCATCGCCTTGAACCAACGACCACAGCAATGTATAGATCATCATTGCAACTACCACCTATACAACAATCGGTACCACGGGACCCACATTTTCCCGCCAGTGGCATGCTTAGTACTTCACGACCCATAGTCGCTGATCATTCGTCATTGTATAATAGCAGCAGCAGCAGCAGCAGCAGCAGCAATAATTATGCGAGTACCAGCAACATGAGTGATGCACAAAGAGCATGGTCGTCAACAGCATCATCGTCTAATCCAACGACGAACATCAACAATCATCACCAGTAGTCATCAATGGGATGAAGATGTGAAGGACATTTACATATACCGATTACCTCGATTCATCATTCATTCTCTATCCTCCAAGGCTCTTTTCTTTTATCTTTATCTTTTTCTCTCGAGGAGGATTATATCTTTATGGGTTTCTTCTCTTTTCTTCATGTATACGGCAATAGCAAACATCATCCTGGCAACAATACACGATAACCAAAACTCCCCCAAACACTGCGCATTTTCCCCTTGATCAACAACAAGCATGTAACTATCTCGCACGCACACACACACACACACACACACACATAATAGGCATCCTCCTTTTTTCACCCATCACCATAACAACACGCATATATGATCATCCCTATATATGAATCCATTTTTCCTTTTTCTAAACATTGACATTCATAAAAGTTGCTACATTATTATTCCATAACACATGCATATACAAGCTTCTTTCCCCCCCTTAAAAAGTAATCACCATGAGCGATCCGATCGTTGTGTACCCAAATATGGGACGCTTTGCAGCCGACTATGATATCGTGCCTAGGATGTGGTGCGACCATCATTCTCGTAGCCATGCATGATCTGTTTTAATAACTGACGTGTTTCAGAAAAACAAGTAGATGTTGGATACTTTATTTGCATTTAATACCCAAACATCACCAACAACAACTTGTCATCATCACCCCACTCACATGAGATGGTAAGGGGAATGATCAGGGGAATGTTATTAGACATACATGGAAGCTTTTCCGTTGCCGTTCTAGAGCAAAGCACTGACGATGGGGCATGTTAGAAAACACAAACGTGTATTTTCCATATCACAGGTTATACTGTGTGTTTAAGATTGTCTCATTAGCACATTACATTATGCATTTTTCCTTTAAGGTATATAAGAAATGTAGACAAGGGGGTCGCAAAGAGAGCACCAATGTAGTAATATTAGATCCAAGTTTTTAATGCTCATGGCATGATAGTAGACATCATTTTCATAAAGTGGATTCTCGAGCTTTCTATACTAAAAACCTATTCCATGGGCGTCTTGTTTCTCCGCATCCCTTGATTGGGGTACCAGGGGCCAAAATGTTTGGAAAGTAGTGCATGGATGTGCATATACAAAGAGAGAGAAGAGAGAGAGAAGAGGACGTATATGCATATCAGAAGCAACGAGATCGTCGGCCGCTTCTAAGAATCTTGCTTGCTGTGCTTTGCCATATCATGCGTGACCGATTGCCCCACATGCATCTTGCGTGTCATCCTCGTATACCTTCCTTCATTGCTTGTTTTGACGTGGTGCATTATCCAATAAGTGATGATCAAGGAAAAATTTATCCATTGCCATTGGGAGTGCCGTAAAACGGTAATGTCATCCATCCATGTTGGGTAAAACAAGGTTGGCTACATATAACAAGCTCCTGCATTTTGGATCGGGTGGTACGTGCAATTGTATCCCAGGGATGATCGACGTGCCAGGCAATGACAGGTTGTGTTTGAAATGCGTGCTAACAACGATTTGTAGATGGTGGTTTGATATGGAACATCAACATACCTTCAAAGTGATTGAGCGTGATGGGTAATATGACTCGCCATTTTCTTGATTCTGTCAGCAGCAATTATGCCTCAATCTCGAATTGTATACCACCTGCATATTCAAGGTAAGCCTCAGCCATCAAATTTCCCAATGATTCCAGTGATAGCAAGGTGGTTGGTGCCCTGGATCCACTGCTCGTGTACTTTGACTGCACCCAGAAATGGGGGTCGTCGTCGTTGGTTCACCTTGTAAAGCTTGGCAACCAATTTGTTGTACAAGGATTGCTGGATTGTCTCAATTTGATATACAGCACAAAGCAAACATCCAAGCATCGAATTGAACTATTGGGTCTCGAACTGGTGAGTATTGCTATGCAGTACTGTGATCAGCTTTTGGATAGCCAAATCATGATGTTGCATCGGAGATGGTGGTTGCCATGGCTACTTGCGGTGCTGCGTTGTTGTAATAAGCAAATCACCAATCTTCTTTGTCGATGTTGCGATGGCACGGATATAGTATTGAGGGTGTTGCGAGGTAAGTGTTGATGAGATTGGGTCGATTGAAGAGTGCTCCATCACGTAAAGTGGATAGATGCATGGTTACGTGATAGTTGTGCGTAGCTGAATAACAGCAAGATAATAAAGCTTCTGATGCGAATCATAAACAAGGTACTGTATTTCAAAAACGCAAAATTAAACACGTTGAATGACATTGTGTCGCATCTTCAATGGCTTTAAGTGGGTCTTGATCCTTTAATGCTTAGGCTTTTGCTTTGCCTTTGTGGCGTGTCTGCATTGTTGTGAGATAAAGTCAAGCAAGAGGAGGAGGAAAAATATCCAATCACTTTTAACGACCATCATAAGTACGCGACCCATAGCGCTGCATAAGTAAAGTGCCTGGTTTCCGTTGGCTTGGTTTGATTAAAGTTACATTTTGCTCACAAGCTATAGCCTTGTAGGATATAATGAAGGGGACATTTATGATAGGAGCGATCAAAGAGGTGGATGTCATAGGTCCTCAAGTGGCCCAAGAGGGATGTAGTAGTTTATTCATTGTTTCTTTATTACCATGTCTTGGCGTCATACTCATCACACGACGTATACATACATAGAATTCAAAGATGTTGTTGACGAGGATATCAAGAGGTCATGGATGTGTTCTTAGCACTTGATTCGTAATACATGTACGCATATCCCATTCTTCTCTTTCAGTAGTATTGGCATTCTTCCACACATAGGCTTCTTCAATAATAGCCATTTGTCTCATACCCATCCTCTTCGTCATCTAATTCTTGCACTGCTGCACTTGCTAATTTTTTGCCAATCCATCCCGAAGAAAGCGTATGCTTGGATCATTTTAGTTATCGTTTACGTTGTACGCGTGGTTGTTCATTTTGTGTCACACACGACCAACCACCTACCACATGCAGCAGAGCGTGTATGAAAAGAGAGAAGCTGTTTTGGCAAACATCCTTAAGGTTCATCCAAGCATTGCGAAACATTTGAGTTGGTATCCTTGTGGTACAGATGACTATGATCCATGCCCCACAACAAGAAAGATGCACGATTTACCATATGATTGTATCCTGTGATAAGATGTTTTATGGGTAGAGTTCATGCAGGTAGTACTCTGGTGCTGGTGCTGGTCAATGCTGGCTAATAAATGTCGTTGAACGATAGCTAATGTTATCGCTCATGCTTAAATCACCAAGACATCCATTGCGTTGTCACCTTGTTTGAATACCAATGCATAAATAAAAAGTAAGGTCGGTGCACACCGACGACATGTTGACTTTTGCAAGTTGTTGAGCGCACGGTGGACACGAGGAAAAAGAGAAGTTTCCAATGTTACGAACATGTCTGCAAAAGGTAAAGTGCTCGTTGTACAAGAATCGTATTTCTTGCAGATAAACTCAACAGTCGACTTAAATGAAATAAAGGAGCTCATGCGATTTATATATGAAATGCTGATGGATGCTAAGTTCTATGACCTTTTTGTGTATGCGAGAAGAGAAACGATTTAAGGGAATACATTGTAAGAGGAATCAGTGATAAATGTATATCGATGCATGCTTGTTGTGTATGAGATGATGATGATGTTGGTGGGGGTGGTATGTGAGGATGGTGGTATGGATGGATGCAAAGGGCGAGTGGTAGTATGTATGATTATGCAGTCATGGGCAAAGAAGGAGCTTCAGGCAAGTCGGCAACCACGGCATTTCGTCGTCGAAGGGTATAAACAGGTACATCGATTTGGTCACCGTCATCCATAAACAAGGTAGCCTTGGCCGTTGGACTTTTTTGTAGCCATTGCGCAATACAAGCAGCAGAGAGGTATTCTGCAGCTGATTCAAAGACTTGGTCGCCATCTTGAATGGAAAAGTGGAAGGAGTCAGCGGAAGCAATGGAAGACATGGTGGTTGATATGATGATGATGATATGAATAAGGAAGAAAGAGAAAAGAGATGATTATGAAGAAGAACACGAGGAAGGGAGGGGGGTCGAGAAAGGGCACGTTTTTATAAAGATTTCGGCTCTTGAGGCAAGCCCGCCTGTTTTTGGTTAGGCATATGCATGACCTATTTTGAGCATGGTGACACGTTTCTCAATCCTCCTTTTACAAGTGGGGTGATTGGAGAAGAGAGAGAGAGAGAGAGAGCGAAATGGGTGATGGCATAAACACACTTTCTCCTCATTTATTGACCAACAAACAACCACACAACTCTTGACTAATATGGATGGCAAAAGCAAATCCACGTGGCTCTCTCCTCCTTGGTGTGTGCGAGTATTCATTTTACCTTTCTGAGTTTAACTTGTTGTGTCCTTTGCTCTTTTAGTCATGCCACCAAAAAGATCCACATCCACCGCATCATCATCCTCATCATCATCAAAACGCGTTCGTAAACAGCAACAACAACAACAACAACAACAGCCTCCCGAATTTATCCGTTTATTCCATCTCTTCACTCAGCTAAATACTTTTTGTGCTTTCTGCGATGCTCGTCTTACAACTGCAATCACCTTGGACAAGATTCAATCAGCTGTCAATGGCGTTCAACTTGACGATCTAGCTGCCATCAACGTCATTATCCCTGACTTTATCCACTTTGACCAGGGGCTCACCATTCAATTTGGGAAACCGATGACCAAGAAACGAGAGTCTCCTTTAGCAACACGAGGAGGAAGGGGAGAAGGATCCAACCAATACAGGAGCCCACCAAGTGTCAAACCAGAAGTTGTCAAAAAGACTATCGATGCGCGCAACCTTCGCTTTAAACGTGCCATTGCTAACTTTGTTTCTGAATGCCAGGACAAGGTATATGAATGCATAGATCCAATCACGTGTACTTTGTTAACATGTTCATGCATTAGCACATCGATCCCGTAGCGCATTTGAAGCAGGAGATACCAAAGCATATACCACCACCATCATCATCATCCACAACATCCACAACAACAACAACAATCACCATTAACAACACCCCATCTACTACTACATCATCATCACCATCATCCATGAAAGATACCATTGATCAGCTACAGCAACAGCCATTTTATCATCATCAATTGGTCCATTGCCGTGAATTTACCGAACGGCCCTCCGTTTATGGTGATCCGATTGATCTCCCGCATGAAATCGAATCAGCTTTACATGAAAAAGGCATCCTTCACCTCTACGTTCATCAAACAGAAGCCATTCGTGGTCTCCGTGAAGATCAGCATGTTATTGTGGCCACATCTACTGCTAGGTAAAGAGGGGGGAACGGCTGCTTATGGGAAGAAGGGGGTATTATTATGGGGTTAAGGGTGAAGCTCACAGACATCATCTTAGTGGCAAGTCATTAATCTACCAGATCCCGGTGCTTGAACGATTGATTCATGACAAGAATACACGTGCCATGTATATCTTTCCAACAAAGGCATTGGCTCAAGATCAGATGCGCGCATTACAGGAATTGATAGGAATGTGCCCAAGTTTGGAGGATGTACAGGTAAGTGATGCATGCAAATGCACGCTATCCACTATCTCTAATATGGTCGTTATCACTATACCAGGTTGCCACTTTTGACGGTGATACGCCATCCGAACAACGTGCTTTCATCAGAGACAACGCCAATATCATTTTCACCAATCCGGACATGTTGCATCATTCGATTCTTCCTAATGGCAAACGATGGAGATCTTTTCTTTGCGCTCTTCGATTCGTGGTTCTTGATGGTAATAAGCTGCTTACTTATGAATCGACATGGCTTACCAACATGCTTTAGAATTACATATCTATAATGGTCTCTTTGGAGCCAATGTGGCATTTATCATGCGAAGATTGAGACGCTGGTGTCATCATTACGATAATGACACTGCTGTGCAGTTTATTTCATGCAGTGCGACAATTCGACATGCAGACGAGGTAACACAGCACACACAACATGATTGAACCAATCATTGAGGAGAGTCTATTATAGCACATGAAGTTGGTTTGTGGGATTGATCAGGTCAAGCTTGTGGAACAGGATGGTGCACCATGTGGCAAAAAGGTATGGAAAGAAAGGAGATGATGCATGTCGGGAAGGAGCTTGATTTGACATTATTTCTCCTTGGACACAAACCAGTCCTTTTTAGTGTGGAATCCTCCTTTGGTCAAGCGTCCAGGGCAAAATCCCAATGAGCGTCGAGGATCAGTAGCAGAAGGTGCACAAGTATTGGAATACCTGTTATCTCGTAACGTACGCACCATTGCCTTTTGCAAAGTACGCAAAACATGCGAATTGTTGATGATGCAATTGCGGGACAGCTTGGAAAAACAACAACGTGGTGACCTATTGGGAAAGGTGATGTCTTATCGAGGTGGGTACCTGCCAATGGAACGTCGCCAAATCGAGAAACGACTCTTCAATGGTGACCTGTTGGCTGTCGTAGCCACTAATGCCTTGGAATTGGGAGTCGATATTGGGTCACTTGGTACGCATTTCAGATTGCCATATATGTCACTATGCTTACATTGATATTATATTAGATGCGGTGGTGATGATTGGGATGCCATGGACTATTTCAGCATTGGTAAGTCATTATAGGGAGACAAGGATTAATGGAAAAGCAAACAAGTTTATAATGAATATCGTTCATATTTCTAGTGGCAACAATCAGGGAGGGCTGGGCGACGGAATAAGGACTCGTTGTCAATGGTTATCACCGATCATAACCCCATGGATCAACACTTTGCTGTAAGTATAGGAAGGCGCACGAGGTTGTTATTACCTATCAAGCGACTCGTATTGACGTAAAGTCTTTATCAGCGACACCCTGAAGAATTATTTGAACAGCCGCTTGATGATATTCAGTTTGATGTTGAGAATAACAAGCTTGTGTTGGAAAGTCATCTACAATGCGCTGCAGAAGAATTGCCAATCAATATCGATCAAGATCAAGCTTTCTTTGGACCCAATGTGCCACAAGTATGCGAGGAACATTTAATGTTGATCCACGACAAGGTATGTCATACAAAATCGCAAGTAACTCATTGCATTGATGTCTGGTTATATCCCGCTATAGCTATACCGGCCCGACCCACGATATAGGCCATACCCATCTCAGCATGTCAATATTCGCAATATTACTCAAGAGCTCTACGCTGTTATCAATACCACGGATGGCAAGAATATTGTTTTGGAGGAAATCGAATCGACGCGTGCACCATTCGAGATCTACGAAGGTATGGCATCGATGGCTAACAGTAATATTTGACTTTGTTGACTCCTTCCATGTAGGAGCTGTTTATATCCATCAAGGAAGAACATACCTTGTTGAGGAATGTAACGTCGATCAACGATACGCCAAAGTCCATGCCGCACGAGTTGACTACACAACGCAACAACGTGACTTCACCAATGCCAATGCTATCACTACTGTCATGAGCAAACCAATACAAGTCAATGAGAAAAAGACGAGGAACAGGGTATCTTATGGCCGAATACAAAGTATGTCATACCTACTAAAGGGGTAGCTTGTTTATGCCTGTGACAGAGGATTAATACAATGAGTGTAGTTGAGACGATTGTATTTGGATATTATAGGATGGATAAGCGCAACCGCATCATCGATAACCATGACATCTATATGGATCCGATTATCCGACAATCGACGGGGATATGGCTGGATGTTCCACCTGTGGCTCTCAAAAAGATGGATGAATTAGAGATTGATAGAATGGCATCTATCCATGGAGCAGGTATAGCAAGAAAATGAGCGGGTATGGTGATTTTTAGCTAATTGATTACGCTTTAGCTCACGCAATGATATCCCTATTACCGAGTTTCGCATCATCCACTGCTGCCGATATCCGAACAGAATGTAAAAGCCCACACGCCACACGTCCACGTCCCCCCAGGTAGGTTGAAAGCAAAACGTTGCACGTTCGTTTGTCTCAAAAATGTTGTTTCCCGGCAGGATCGTACTATACGAATCACAGCCTAGTGGGATTGTTCGGCAGGCATATCAATTTATTGATGAGCTATTGGAGATGTGCGTTGAGCAGATACAAAATTGTGCCTGTGAAGATGGTTGTCCTGCATGTAAGTATGGGGATGGATCTTTGCTATGTCTTTAAATTCCCTATTCAAATGCGTTCATGTATGCAGGTGTCCACCTTTCACAGTGCTCTGAACACAATGAGCTTTGTTCCAAACATGGTGCTTTAATTGTTCTCCAATCATTGAAGTTAGAGGTATAGTAGTTCTTTGGATAGTTTAGGAACCTGTATTATCATACGCAAATATAAAGCTATACAGTAACATTTCTGAACGCAATACATACAACATGCTTATTATACTAAGGGGCTTTGGGGATCGCCATCATTACTACATGCACTACTAATAATACCATACTCGTCATCGTTGTCCACAAAGTCGTCGTCACAATCATCCGAAGAGTCACAGGTGGAAAGGAATGGGATCTTGCAGACTTCGTTTTCGAATGGGATGTGATCAAGCAACGTCATCTTGGCAAGCGAAGTAAACCATGCTTGTTTGTGTCATTGTCGTAATCATCGTAATCATCGACTCTATAAATAAAAAAAAGCTTAGAAGTTAGACCAACCTGATACTGGGAATGATGTAGGCGATCATCTCTAAAGAAAGAAGGAATTCACAAACCAAATCATCCACCATACGAGCAACGTCGGGAGATCCCTTGTTCTTGAGAAAGCACCGCACGAATCACGTAAGGCCAATTCGATCCATGGCAAGGAAGCACATCACTTACGTAGAGTCCAGGCTCATAGTTGTCCTCATTCATCCTCTCCAAAGAAAGAATGATCCCCAATCCAATCCTTCCAATCATTTCCCACCTCATGAAAAGAAACCCTCAAGGGAAAGAACGAGCCTATCACGAGAAGAGCGTGTTGGTTCGCAATGATGTCAAGCTGTTGCATATCCCCTTTTACCTCAACACGGTGACCATGCTTTTCCAAAAACCCATCGTCATCGACCCATCAACTCAACGCAGGCCGATAGAGCCCTGGACGCGTTCCAAAAAGCTTTTCCAGCAAACTTGGCTAGTGCAGAGCGACGCAGCGACCACTTGATACAGGCTGGGACTTGAACCCAAAGAGAGGATGATGATGCCCCCAAGTTGCATTGCCTGACCAAAGAAACCTATTCAATTCATTATTAGCACACACACAATAAACACCCTTTTCATTGTTTGTTTCATTGTACTTACCTTTTCCATATACACAAAGACCCGTTGTTGTTGGTTACTGGAAACCGAAAACCATGGTGTCGTATAGTTGAGCCGAAACAAACGCCAAACCAGCCAACGTCTTGAAAACAAACTTGCCCTCTATACAAGCTGACGCGTCAATGGAACAAGTTACGCTGCAACATTGGACTCTGAATGTACCTGTTGGCACCAAGCGTAGAGCGGCAATAGCAACGAACAAGAGGAGGTAACGGTATCGCCATGGCAATAGGCAACCACCCACCACGCTCCATTCGTCAGCACTTGGCCACACTTACTCCTTAACAATGCATGTTCAGAACTATGTTATTACCTCACAGTCAACAAGAACACTCTTTGATACACATTACCTTGACCGCAATGCCGTGAATGGAATAAAATTAGAGGAGGGAGAAAGAGAAGAGAATGCGTTGTCTCAAGTCGTGGAGCCACCGTCCCCAAGTTTAAATCCCCTACTGCTATTACACTGAGGCCACTCAATTACCCTATACACACACTATCCACCCATCATCATCCTCGTAATAGACAACAGGTACACGTAAATAAAAGAAATGATGATCCTCACGTATAGCAAAAGGGTGTGTGCCATTTTACACTTTACATGATAATGATGATCCAACAACAGCCATCACCTTACTATCAGGTCAACTCGAATGAAGAAAGTTGAATGATGGGCATGCTGGGCTGGAGCAGGACAATCGTTCACATGCATTGGACTGGACAACAAAGGTGAATGGGAGGAATGGGCTATTAGTTGGCAGTTTACAAATAACTTTGCAAAATGATTTTTGTGAAATTGGATGATGTTTTGTGCTTGAGCGTAACTCAACCAAATCCTCTCGGATCATGAAAGTTGAAGGATGGGGATGCTGGGCTGGAGCAGGACAAACGTTCGTATGCATTGGATTGGGCGACAAAGGTGAATGGGAGGAATGGGCTATTAGCTGGCAGATTACAAATAACTTACCAATTTGATTCTTCTGATATTGGATGATGTTTCTGTGTTTGAGCATTTTTCAGTCAAATCACATCGGATCAAGAAAGTTGAATGATGGGCATGCTGGGCTGGAGCAGAACAATCATTCGTATGCATTGGATTGGGCAACAATGGAGAATGGGAGGACTAGGTTATTAGCTGGCATTTTGAACTATGCCTAAATAGTGTACAAGAATCATGCATCGCCTGTGCTGAATGACTCAAGTTACACAAACACGCCCTCTGCACCTTTTGCTCTGCCAGGGTTCACCTACTTGACAATGGAGAGCTAGTCCGGAGGACTAGCTCAAACCTGACACATGAATGCTGTGATCTAATTTCTCCGCTTTATTGAGCGAGTGCAGCTAGAAAATTTGGATACAATAAAAAGTCTAATCTATAAGTCTAAATGTTCTTTGATCTATGAGCGAGCTGGAAAAGAAAAGGGAGGCGTGGGTGGGAAGATTCATGTGTCAGGTTTGAGCTAGTCCTCCGGACTAGCTCTCCATTGTCAGTCAAAGTCTCTCCTGACAATGGAGCAAGTCCATCGGTGTCAAACCTGACACATGAATGCAGCTCCAGAGAAAAACCGTGAACCAGGATCAAGCCGAAGACGATGAAGAGGAACCAGGTAACACCGAAGATGTGATATCAGAAGAAATATGACGAGAACGCCGATAGTGATTATCAAACATCATGGAGGAAGCCCAATTGCCGTGAGTGATTACATCATCAAGGGGAATGCCATGTTGGAGCGCCAAATCCGAAGCCACAGAACGCATAGCAGGTCGTCTTGAAGCCGATGATGATGAATTGATGGAACGTGACACCACATTGCGTAACCAACGAGATATGGTATCACAAGAAGCCGCCACACGAGCGTTGGTGGTACTAATAAATAGTGCACCAGGAGGACGATTAACCGTATTAGGATGATCCCGTAGAGCCTCAAATGCTGTCACCGGACACAAAGTAGCATCTTGAGGATATGGCTTGATGCGCACCACCTTAACAATACGACGACCATTCCGTTTCTCCTTGGGTGCCACCACAGAAAGATGTAAACAACGAGAGCCATCAACAAAGGAATCTTGGAGGTTGATACGATGTAGATCCGATGGTCTAAGGAAACCCGTGATAGCAAGAAGGAAAACCGTCTTGTGAGCCAAATTGTATAAAGATGAATGAGCCGAAGATTCAATCGTGCGACAAAATGCAAAAGAAGGAGTCAAATCAACAGGGGGACGTTCGATTGGAACCGGTGGTGCCTCTTCACGCCATATGTTGAATAGTTGTTCGAGTTGAGAATCATGTTGAAAAAGTGAGGGTTGAACATGAAAATGGATAATGGCTGTACGCATAAGCGGTAATGAATTCACTGAGTAACGAGAGCGCATGGTGGAGAGAAAATTGATGAGTGTTGCCATGGTGAAATGGTTTGGATCCACTTGCTGTGTGATACACCAACTGAGAAACTCAAGCTGAAACTTGCGGTAAGAGCGAGCATTCAGGGACCTGTTGGTTGCCAAAAGGTGATTCACCGTGTTGTCATGATATTCTAGAAAGCGAAACTTGCGCCTGAGACACTCCACACGGAAAGCTTCCAACGTGGGTTTGTCCATGGATTGGGGGTAAGAGATGATGTGACACGAGTGTGTATTTTCGGATTGAGAATGATTGGAGGACGTGTTGCCATCTGCTTGAGAAGTGGGTACCATATCGCACTCTGCCACCAAGGTACTATGACTGTGGCCGTGACTTTCTCTCTCTTGACCTTCTGCAATGCTGGGAGAATCAGATTCCAAGGTGGGTGAATGAGTGGTCTCTTGAACCGATTCCATGTCAACGTGAAGGCGTCTGTTGCCAATGCTAATGGGTCTGTTTTCCACGCCACATACTTCGGAAGTAATGCTGTGGTGCGGTCCGCAAAGAGATCGACGTCGTGTACACCCCATGCTTGTTGAAGTTGATGGAAGGTTGCTGGCAGCAGTTGCCACTGATTCTTGGCAAATATTTGTCGAGAAGCTTGATCGGCGATTGAGTTGAGGATCCCTGGGATATGTTGTGCTTGTAGATGGAGATGACGCTGAAGGCACATTTCCCAAATCGTTGTGGCCAATTTGCTCAAGGTTTCCGAACGAGTGCCTCCTTGTTTGTTGATGTATGACACTGCTGTTGTGTTGTCGGATCGGATGAGAATGGAGGTGTGGCACAGTGTGGGAAACGATTGAAGAGTGAGTTGTACAGCTTTCAATTCCCTCCAATTGATCGATTGTTGTGCTTCCGCTTGTGTCCAAGTGCCCTGCACCACTTGACCTTGTACTACACCTCCCCATCCCAGATTGCTGGCGTCCACAAAAACCCGTGATGATGGTGTTGGCTTCATGATTGATCGTCCGTTCCACTTCTCTAGGTTGAGATTCCACCATGTCAACTCGTCTATGCATTCTTGAGGAAGAGGTCGCACTTGATCCCAGTCTTGCTGATGGCGTACATAATGATTCTTGAACCTCATCAATCCTTGTGTGTACATTGCTGCTGGAAAGATTGCCATGGTTGCTGCCTTGATCCGCATTGTCAGGCTGTGAATCTTGCGAGCAGACTGAGAAGGATGCATCAAGATCTGTTTGATCGACCGCCTGAGATCTCGAAGTTTGGTGCCTGGCAACTTTATAGTCATTGAGTGTGTGTCCAGCATGTAACCCAAATGTTCTATTACCTGGGTGGGCTGGAGGTGAGACTTTTTGAAGTTCACCAACCAGCCCAAATGTTGAAGAAGAGAGATCATTTGATTGGTGTGATCTCGAGCTTCTTCCTCCGTACGTGCCATGATTAGCCAATCGTCCAAGTATGCCGATACCCTTATGCCTTGTGAACGAGCCCACTTGAGGATTGGTTGAGTCAAACGAGTGAAGAGCCAAGGAACCACGGAAAGGCCAAAAGGGGTAGTCTTGAACTGAAAGAGCTGATTTTGCCACCGGAAGCGTAGATATTTTCTTGATGTGCGATGGACCAATATATGGAGAAAAGCGTCTTGTAAATCCACTGAAGTGAGGAAATCTCCTGGTTGTAAGAGCTTGACGACATGTTGTAAGGTTTCCATCTTGAAATGAGGAGCATTGATAAATTGATTCAGTTTGCGCAGGTTGAACACGGGACGAAAGCCGCCATTGCGTTTGGGGATAACAAACATTGTGCTTCCAAAACCTGGTGATGGACTTGTCACTGGTTCGATGGCTTTCTTGAGAAGAAGATCCGCAATTTCTTGACGAAGCAATTTCTTCTGTTCTTGTGAAGGTGGTTGTGTGTAAGGATGGTGCATTGATGTAGGAGGTTGGCGAGCAAAATGAATTTTGAAACCGTCTTTGATCACTGAATGAACCCAGTTGCTGTTGGTTAAACGTAACCAGGCTCGATGGAAATGGTGAAGACGACCTCCTACTGGGAGTTGTTGTTGGTGCTGTGTTGAGTGGTCTGTGCATTGTTTCTGAAGGGGTTGTTGCTGTTTCCTCTTCGATGGTTGTTGTTGTTGGGACGTCGTGGTTGTTGTTGTTGAAAATAGCGGGAGCCGGAACTGTGATGCCCGCCATCGGCATTTCGAGACGGGCCAGCTCGAAAAAACGAGTTACCATAACGCGTGCCACCACGAGGATTGGCTTCCTTGATAGCCTTCTGCAAGGCATTATGGTGGGACAACGTATCTTTGAAAGTAGTGAGATCCATTGTATATGTCTTGTCTGTTGATGGCATCTTGTACTCAGGATTCACCACCCGCAAAGCCAGTTGATTACGAGCGGAATTGACCATACCGCAATTGTGCAGCACCAAAAGTCTCAAATCATGAAGGATGGCAAAGACACGATCCAATTGGTCTTGTGGCAAAGATTGGTGTAAGACATAACCAAGGACATCAAGAGGACGTAAGACACCCGACAAGCCATACTGAATTTGTCGTAGAGTCTGGTCTTGTAGTTTCTGCGACTTATTAAAGCGTTGGTCTGCGATTGGTAATGTCTCAGGTGGAGCATACCGTAGTCGAGATACTGGCGGATATCGATCAAAAATGACTTGTTTCTCGTCATTTGATAGTGTGCTATCAAACAGTGGGAGCGACAAGGTTGGCATACGAGCCGTCAAGTGTTCATCAGGTTGCCATTCATAGGATGGACGTGAAGGCAAGTCATGAAGTTGAGAACCAGGTACCGAAGAGGATAACCCTGTCGATTGCTGTTGATGCTGTTGTTGTTGAAGGAGCTGTTGCAATAGGATTTGCTGCTGTTGGAGTTGTTGAGCCATCGCTTGTATATCCAATGTAGAGGGAGATGCATGTTGAGAGCCATCTTCCGACATAGGATTGGGAGGTGGTGAATTGTGCGAGGGTTGATCCATTGTGCGGTTTTGACCAGCGAGCGAAGAAAAAGATCAAAGAACATTTAGACTTATAGATTAGACTTTTTATTGTATCCAAATTTTCTAGCTGCACTCGCTCAATAAAGCGGAGAAATTAGATCACAGCATTCATGTGTCAGGTTTGACACCGATGGACTTGCTCCATTGTCAGGAGAGACTTTGACTGACAATGAACAAAGACCACTCTTCATATAGCATCACGCTTACAAACATAAAGTTGCCTGTATCTCCAAACTTTACAATGAAACGTGGGGTTTTTATTAGAGCAATGGGCTCGGCTTGGCTAACAGCACCTTGTGTGAAAGTTTTACGTTCAATGTCGCAAACAGCCCAAAAAGTATTTTTTTGGTCGTCGTCGTCGAAGAGGTCGACCCCCAGATCCAGTTTGGCTGGTGGCGACAATGCGAAATCTGGGAATGGCCACGATGAACTTCATACTTTGACACAAGATCGCTTTGACTCAGCCGAGCAGCTTGTTCTCTTAAAGACCCCACACTTCATTGTAAAGTTTTGAGATATAGCTGTCTTTATGTTTTACATATGCTGTAAGCGTGATGCTATATGAAAAGTGGTCGTTGTTCATTGTGAAGTAGCTTGACCCTGATACAGCCGGAGATGCAGAAGGACTTCTTTGTGTAACACAGCTACTTTGCATGACTGGAAGGATTGATGGGTTTTACTTTATGGTCTATCCATAATAGTCCATATGGTGCACGCTATCAGCCAATTCCTCACAATCAACATTGTTGCAAAATCCACTGCATGGGAACGATTCTCCTGCTCCAGCCGAGCATTTCCATCATTCAAGTAGCTTGATCCGAGCTGATTTGACTGAGCTACGTTGGACCAGCAAACATGAAAATAAATGAATCGCAGACCCTGCGAATGTCTCCGTCTTTCAAACTTTTGGACGCTCCCATTCCAAATTTTCAAATGAAGCGTGAAGTTTTTATTAGAAAAAGTTGATCAGCTTGCGCGAGAGCACCATCCTGACTGATTTTCTAGTTGGAGGTGAGCAACTTCGGGGCGGTGGGCTGTCCGCTCTTTATTGCTCGTCATCCACCATTTGGGTCGCCCCGCATTTTAATTCTTCACAATGAAGTCTGCTACTTTTAAATGAATGAAGTTGCTCAGCATGTCCCAGCAAACCTTGTGACAGATTTTCATGTTCGAGATGGGGAATCCCAAGGTAATACATACTATTTCGATAAATCATGAATCCGGCGCTGACCTGCTTTCCGATCTCCATAGTAAATCCCACATTGTACCCTCCCATTCCATATTTTCAAATGAACACGAGGTCTTTTTTAACACAATATTGATCAGCATCGCCAAGTGCACCTTGTGTGAAAGTTTCAGGTTCGAAAGGGGTAATCTCAATATCAAGGATTGATGTACAGTGTTCATGCATTGATACAAGATGTGCCCGACCTCTTTAATTTCCACTTCTTCTTCCACTCTCAACTTCTTCCTCTTGCTCCCATGCTCAACTGTTGGCCCATTCAAGTATACAACTACCACCTGCGAACGATTGTCCTGCTTCAACCCATCATGTCATTCCTACAATTGCCCTGATCCGATTGCCTTGACAGAATGGCAAGTCCATGGCGTGTACACAGCCTTCTTTTCACTCTTCTACAACACACGGGTCTTTTGACACAACACACGCTCTTGTACATTCCTCTACCACGATCAATCGTAGTGGTGTTCATTGCAGCGGTTGCTATTAGCAAGGTCTCGACTTCATTGTCTCAAACAGCATTCACAACCTTGTCGCTCTACTACAACACACGCTCTTCCACACTCCTCTGCCACGACCAACCGTAACAACACGTTGCTATAAGAAGGGTCTTTACTCCCTTGTTTCAATTTACTTTCAGCAACTTGGCTTACAACCTTTTTACGTGAACAGCCGGTAGCTATTGTATAGAAGCAGCACTATTTACGTGTAGCGACTTGCTTTGATACATACGGATACCAATGGATGGTTCGATATCAGCTGTAAGTACATCGCGATACAAGCAACCTTCATCTGGACGAGCGGTAATAATTAAGAAAGTGATAGATCGATAGCCGGATGGAAAAGGAAGCAGATCAACAGCGATCACAGAGGCTCTTTCTCATTGGACTTGCAATGGTTGTGAAGGATGGATGGAAGCGATCAAGTGCAGTGATGGGAAGTCCTGGAATGTTGCTTTGGTTACGTGTCATGCTGTCAGCAGGAACGATCATGTGGATACGGCTGAGGATGATGATGATGGATTGGATGGGATTGTCGAGTGGACTTTTCTCTTTGACGAAGGATGTTGGTTGATCACCATGGATTGGGTGAGATCGGGACACGCGAGTCAAATCATGCAGCAGCTGTTTTGGGATTATGGATGATACCGCTTATGATGACAGGAACCAAGAATACAATGACACGATGATATCCGTTGGCTCTACGTGATTCCTCACAGCTTCTTCATTCGGCAATGCTGTTCCTTTATGTATCTATATCATAGCTATTGGATAAACAATGTACTATTATCCGACTTTATCATTGAATGAAATTTGGTTTCAACATATTATTAGAAGGGTATCATCTATCAGCTCACATGTGCAAGATGTGGGTCATTTGGGTGGTTTATGGATTGAAAGGATGGTTGGAAAGCGAGATTGGATCATTTACATATTGTATACAGGATAACACCTACAGCGTATGCAGTAAATTATTGTTGTAGGCAACCATAGTATGGTGATTCCCGGGACTTTATCAACGTATACATGCTGTCGGATACGCTGATAATTTCTGGTAGTGAATAGCATTCATCAGCGAAGTAAGATGATGATCCATAAGTATGTCCAATATGATCGACCTACTACCCTCCAGCGTCGATGCTCTCTTTCCCAACACGCCTCAAGCACAAGATAATATGCATTTAGGTTCCTTGACCGTCCATTGAAATTTATTCATCATGTTTCTTCAATCACGAATGCATCATGATGGCTTATCTCATTCTTCCTTTTGGCATAGTTTTCATGTATTCAATACCAGCCTGGAGCGACTTGCGTGCATGCATCATTTCAGCAAACTTGGCGAGCTTGGGGTAGTTCTATTGTAAAGTCCATCATCTTGTTAGCTCTATACATGTTTATGCGTATCGATTATGTCATACACACATTGAGGTGCTCTCTATGGAGAGGGAGATTGATGACAAAGAAGACATAAAAATCGGCATAAGAAAGCTGTTACCAAAGTCAGTATTGTTGTGTATGTTGCATGCCATGGGCTTGTACATTACCTCTTCACCGGCAGCATACGGACCATCACGGTAATTATACACGCGTTCAAAGCGTGAAAAGAAAACATCAAGATGCTTTTTTTGGTACTCTTCAATGGCTTCCTACATGCACGCACGCATAGCAGTGATCAAGTTACGTATTAATATCCCGATGATGGTTATTGTACGGGATGGATAAACACATTACGTACCTCCCCACGGTGGATATGCACATGTCGAGCACGAAACCAATCCATGGCAGCATCCAAAGTGCAATCCACAAATTGTTCAAGGTCTTCATCGGCTGGCACATACTTAGCTACAACGTGTTGAGTTATACAAAGTGTAATATGGCGCCATTCGTTATGCGGATCCTTACCTAATTTCTTGGAAAGAAAACGCATGATGGGCATATTGCCACTGTAACGTTTGCCATTGTACTCGATCATGGGAGTTTGGTCGAAAGGATAGCCCGAGTCAATCCACTGATACTTGACCTTGGAGGTAAATTCATCCCATCCAATGTTGTCGTATTCATAATCGACACCAGCATCATCTAGCATGAAGCGGATCGGACCACCAAGACCTGCATCTATACGTATAGGCAGTAACATCAATGTATCCATGCAGCTATACACATTGCTTGAAAATAGAACTCTATTCACTTACAGCCAGGAAGCACGTAGTGCAAGATCATCTTGTTGTCCTTGTCAGGGGAAGAAGCAGTCATTGTGTGTAGTTGGGATAGACCACATCCATGACAATGTCCTCCTCTTTTATATACTTCTCTTCTTGCCTGCATGACGAGTTACGTGTACGATGAAGGATTACGTGTCCAAGGTACATACGTAATCATGGAATAGGAAACTTTCGAATCATGGTGACACATGATCCCAACCAAAGGGTGGACAACCTAATTATCATCAAAAGAGACGACCACACGAGTACATGCAACCCCTTCAATCATCGTGTATACGGGCCTATTGTATACCCGTGACAACAAAAGGCAAGGTGATGATGCATGGTGATGGAAAAGGGGCTGCTATGAATGGCCCATAGTAGTAGTGTAGGGATCAAATCAAACATCACCGAATGCTTTTATTTCATCTCTTATAATCAAATGAGAGGATGTCGGTAGTGTAAAGAGAAGGAGGGCAGTAATTGAAATAGCAGGGGAAGTCAACGGAGCCATGAATCAAACGACCCTTGATTCATCCCTGAAGAGCTTTGACAGCAAAAAAAAAAGTCGAGAGCGGATTTATGCCGCTGCTGTACTCTGTGAGCAAACTATACTTGTAGCCGAAGGCGTAGCAGTGGTGCAACGTTGAATCAGCTGTGTAACATGAATAGATGAACAATGGTGGCGCGGCTAAATCATTCGTTTGGGAAAGAGTCTCTCACTCCTATATAAACCCGAGTCGGTCCACCCATTAATATGCATCATTGTGTCATCGAATATAAACAAGCAGCAAGTGTGCTTTGAAGAACATGGGTAATGAATGGGTCTTTTTTTCTTGAAGGAATTGGTGAATGTGAGTTGTATTGTGATCAAGTATAAGTTTGATGATGATGTTACATGCAATGACAGGGAAAAGGGGAGCGTCATGGATTGCATGTCAATGTGTTTCATGTTGGCGTAACGAGGATGACTTTTTGACACGCATTGAGTATTAGTAGTCGGAGAGAGAGCGAGAGAACTCATTCACCCCCCCCCCATTCCACAAAGCAAAGCAAGCAGCAGCAGCAGCCTTGCTTACCCCTTCCTTTCTTCCTCTCTCTCTCTCTCTTTTTTACCACCCCACTATACTCGGGCACATACAACACACAAACACAAACGCCTCCCTCCTTTTTTCTTTTTCTTTCTCTCTTTCTTTTCTTCCGTGTTGTCTTTCCTTTTCGTCCCTGAGCGTTTCAATATTTACTTCACTACTACTCTTTACTACGACCCTAATCACTCACCACCACCACCACCATGCAACACGTCAATGGAGTACCCGTTTACAGTGATGACCCGACATTATACTACAGTGGATTGGAACATGAGCCTACATGGTTTAGTGCGCAAGGTGGCGTCTACCGCTGCACTAGCCGACATGCACCATATACCGAGGTGGCTATCAAAAAGTACTTGGTGGAAGAAACCGACCTATACCCGGATCTCTTTGTGATGCCCAAGGAGCTTGTAGAGAACGAGATATACACCATGACAAAGTGTGTGCACGACAACATCCTAAAGTTACAAGGTGTTTACCTGCATCAAGAGTTCGTCTATCTTATTATGCCATATTGCACAGGCGGGTCCTTGCAGCAGTATGTCTTTGATCATCATCTGACTATCGGCCAACTCGTGCATATTATTACATCGGTAGGTGATAAAACACTGTGCGTCATGCATATAAATATGGGAAGCTCTTATACAATGTGCAGATCGCTTCTGGATTGGCTGAAATCCATCGCCATGGCTACATCCATCGAGACATCAAATGTGATAACATTTTCCTCATGCAAGAAACCAACGAGATTTTTATTGGTAAGGAACTCGGCTTTTTATTACTATCATTGATGATTACTCATTGGAGGTGTTGTGCAGGTGATTTTGGCGTTGTCTCTATATCCCCCGCTGCAGATTCCAATGTTGAAGAAGCCGGCGTTGTGTTATTCTGGTCACCTGAACTCGTGCAGCGGAAGATAGTGAATCGTAAAGTGGACATCTGGGCTCTTGGCATTGTTATCCTGGAGATTCTTAATGGCGGCAAAGCACCCTATGAAGACGACAGACTTGATGAGGAGGAGGTAAAGTTTTCTTTGATCATGTCTCCGATAGATACATGTGTGTAACACTTCTCCTCCCTCATTTCATTGTATGTGTAGATCAAGCAACGTATCCTTGAGAATGGCAAGCCCACTTACCCAAGTGACCTTCCTTCAAGATTGATTGATTTGCTGGATGTGTGCCTAAACCCTGACCCCAAGAGCAGAGGATCGGCAGCTGATGTACTGCAGGTAAAATTGTGCAGAAAGCAACAACACGTGTGACCTCGGCTGTTGATAAAATGTTATGTTTGCCCGATATAGCATCCATTCTTGTGTGATTATGAACCAGAACCATTATTCCCCGGTAATCGCCTTGACAAGCACGACACCACCGATGACATGTCCATTGATGATGACAACACTAATGATGAAGCCATGGAAACCGCCCTCAACAAATTGCGTGCTTTGGAATCACTTCATGGCATGGACATTGGATTGGATCATGATGAACAACAACAACAACAACAACATGTGACAACAACCACAGCCACCACCACCACCACCAGCGACAATCAAACATCGAAGCTTGTGGAAGCAGCAACAGCAGCAGCAGCATCGGATACTATGGATCATCATCAACAACAATCTTCACGTTCACCATCCTTATCACCACCTGGTTCTAATGAAACGAGCACATCCTCTCTTGATACGAATCGCACCACTGCCACCACGTCTACGAATGAACAAAAGGAAAATCAGCCTACTGTTGTTGCTACTACTACATCTACTATGGGTGGTAAAAGGATACCAGCTACGGTTTCTGATATTCGTCGTTGTCGATTACCGTTGCGTGCTTTTAAGCTCACAGAGGAGAATGCCAATGTCAACAACACCACCACCAAAGAAAAAGTGCTCAGCGTTGTAAAGAAACGACAATCCATTTCCGAGATCCATTGGGCTCAAGGATCCAAATTGCCAGTATTCAAAGCACAACCTCCCAGCATCTTGGAAGATATCAAAGAAAAGAAGATCAAACGTGTCAAATCAGTACGTTTACCCAAAGAGCAGGCCAAAGAGACCAGCAACAACAAACCTGTACGCAAACCTTTGGTGCGCGCCAATACAATGCCTGCATCACAAAGCAGCAATCTGTTATTGAAAAAGCAGCAGCAGCAGCAACAAAAGCCAGCATCTGTACCGAAAAAGAACCAAAACAACAATAAGCCGACATCGCCTGTATCATCCAGTAAATCCATTGCAAGGCCCAAGGTGATGTTTAGTCCACCTGCATCATCGACAAAAGAACAACGACCTAAAAAGAAGGTGTCAATTTATCGAAGGAAATGCTTGCCAGGTGAAAGTCGTACAGCACGTCTTATGATGGGAATCAGCACTACTGGGCGTGTGCGATCACCAAGGGAAAACATGTCTACTACATCACCAAATGAAAACATGCCACCACCAGCACCCTCTTCCAATAGCAGATCCTTTTTACGTGACAGCATCAAAAAACGACCTGTATCCTTTGCTGATAAGCAGCCTGATGCTAAAAAGATACATCCAGAATCAACACAAACAACACCTTTGCCTGTAGCAACAAAATCAAAGCGGTTCCCTTTTGGTAAAAAGCCATCATCATCATCAACCAACAACAAAGGTCCACAACAACCCACCAAGAGCACCGCTGCTGCTACCAGCTCATTCAAAGGCATCAAGGCAGTCCGTGTTCATTAAAGAACGTGTTGTAGTACCATCATCGTTGTCATCTTGTCATTCAACTACTATAGTATAATGTTATTCCCCCAACCACCCTCTATTTGTTTGCATACACACATCACATCCCCACTTGTGCTTTCTATATTCCCTCACCCCCTCCCTCGTCGATCTCATCTTTTTGCATCCACACCTTATTTTATTATAATTATATATCCAACTTTATCTATTTCAATACAAAAAAACGTGCTTACTATTAATCAAGGTGCTTATAGAAGCATATCAATGATCCCGTTGAAACAATTGTGCGCAAGCCCAAAGCTGCATGAAACCATCGGTACCATAATTAGCCGAATTTGGTTGTCATATGGCAACAATGACCAGCCCCGCCGTTGTCCTTTTTTCTTTATCTTTGTCATCGATCGCATGCTTCCATTACGACGTACGCCATGTTTTTCTCGAGCCATTCGCCACGCCATACCCACCCATCAAGTGCGATGCTATACCCATTCACGAGTACCGAACTATGATGGCTGGTGGACACTCATTCTCAATCGAAAAGCACCTTCTTCTCTTCAGGTACGCTGAATGCAGCTATTCTCGCTTTGAGCGATCTCCAAAAGCTTATTGTTAAAAGGCTTTTCGTTGCATAGCAACAAGAAACACATCCTCATGAGCAACGGAAACCGTTAGCTATTCCAACCCAAGACATAGCATCACCAACACCACCACCATCATCATCACCACCCGCAGCAAAGGTCTATGTAACACTCAAAGGCAAGCCTATCGAACTTCCTGAGAAGCCACCACCGCCTGACAATTGTTGTATGAGGTAAATCCAAGCAAAAAGATGTATGTATACGTCCATATTGACTGATGAAACATGAGTAGTGGATGCGCTGTATGGTAAATGTTGCATTATTGGGATTGGATGGATCAAGGATAATGTATGCTGACAGGAATGAATGGTAGTGTATGGGATCTTTATGAAGAGGATATGCAAGAATATCAGGCCAAGAAACAAGAGATCCGGGACATGTTTGAACAGGAGGGTGAACCATTACCAGCACCATTGAAGCGATCCAACAAGTCAGTTGTAGAAGAAATGGAGGATGAGATGGATCCAACCATGAAGGCGTTTCGAGCCATGGAACGGAAACTCAAAGGATAGACCCTACAATAGAACATACCCGAATACCAAAGATGGGGAAATAGACGTACTTTATATAGAAGGAAGAGCAAGTCGTGTATGTGTGTGCATGTGCGAGTGAATGTTGTTGTTGTGGTTGTTGTTGATTATCTACATCATTACAGTGTGTGTCACGTGGTAAAGTAAAAAGGTCTAAAAGAAGAGAGAAGGGAAGGGTGTGGAGGTGAGAGGGGAAAGGTTCGATTTCTATGACCAGACATCTTCTTGGTATCTTCCTGTACTACGCAACTTTTTGACATAATCTTGTGCCTGCTCGTTACTCTTGCCACCATACTTTTCAGCAAAGCCAATAAACGTTTGTTGGACATCACGAGCCATGTTTTTAGCATCACCGCAGACATAGATGTAGGCACCTTTTTCGATCCATTGCCACATTTGTTCGCCGTGTTCCTGAAGTCTGTGTTGGACGTAGACCTTGTGTTCGGTTTCACGAGAAAAGGCAGTAATGATTTGTGAATCATCACCAAGTGTATCAAATAACTCTGGCCATTCATCAGCATATAAAAAGTCTTGCTTGGGATGGCGACAACCATAAAACAAGATCGTAGGACCCACTTCTTTGCCTTCTCGCTTTAGAGCAGCACGTTCATGGACAAAGCCACGGAAGGGTGCAACACCTGTACCAGGACCAACCATGATTACGGGTAAAGCGTTGTTACGTGGAAGCTTGAATTGGGAGTGGCGAATGTGTACAGGTAAACGTGTAGCGTCAAGTACATTACGTGGACCCTTGAGATCATAAGATGGGATGTCGCTTGTATCGATATCTTTGTGTTGAGCAGCATGCATTTGCCACAAGTAGTTGGTATTGACACCATACACAGTGCGATTGGGTGTCAGTGTAGGTTGATAGGCGAGCGTTACAGCGGTGACAGCCACTTGTGTTGGATGAGTGCGTGATGATGATGAAATAGAATAGTAGCGTGGTTGAAGGCGAGACAAACTTTCAACAACCAAGTCAAAGGGTACGGATTCAAAAAAGCCTGGTGCAGCTGTGGTGCCTTCATCATCTTGACATAGCTCCAAAACTTCGCCCAAGTTGCGAACAGCTTCACCCACCTTCTCGCGATACTCATCCTTATCCGTTGCAAGTGTACGCAATGCTTCTTGTGATGCTGCTGTGGGTGCGTATTCAACAAGTGACATGAGGGTTTGACGTGACACAGGTGCACAAATATCAAGGTAATGTCGGAAGGCTGCACGATAGGTGGTAGGTACAGGGAATGGATGCTTTTTGGATGCAGCGGGATCGATGGCATCGATGCGAATGACTTGATCCAATTTGTCACTTAGACCCAATACTGAGGCGAGGCGATTAATTTCGGTGTCATTATTAGTGGGCCAAATTGCAACGTGGTCGCCTGTTTGATAGCTTAGCCCCTTTGCACCTGAAAGATCAATCTCCAAATGGAGACAGTGCCGATCACCGCCTTGGAAAAGATCACGGCTTGTAAAAGATGCTGCATATGGGTGCTTGGCTCCATGCATTTGTGTTTGTTGTCTATGCACCATTATCATCCGTTAATCCACAAAGTATTAAAACCTGAAACAACAACATCCTTTTACTTACGACCATTCAGCCAATTCACCCATATACACCTTGTCAGCATCATAGTCTTCCACGACATTGACGGCAAAAGTGGGTTGCCGTGCCGCTGCGCCTCCGGCACCGGATTCATCGACCCCGAGAGCATCACAAAATGCAGGCCACATTTGCTCTTGCCATGCAAGGAAGTCTTCTTCCAAAGATCCATCATCATCACCTTCGCCACGTTCACCTACAATCTTGGCGCCAAGTGCACTTAGCCTTTGATCCAATAAACGTGCAACGGCATTGTAGTGCTCATAAGTCTTGTTGCCTAAGCCAAACACCATGTATCGAAGTTGATTCAGGGGTTGCTGTTGTTGTGGTTGATCATCTTCTTCATCGCCACCACCAATAGGAGAATTAGAAAATTCGACCGTTTCTTCCATAATCAGATCCCAAAATGATACAGCATTGTCGGTAGGTTCACCCTCGCCATAGGTAGCCATCACAAACACTGCCAGCTTGTCTTGGGGCAAGGTATCCAAATAGCTCATGTCGTATAATTCAATATCGGCTGTCATGCAATTGACACCATATTTTTGTGAACATTCTTTGGCCAACCGTGATGCGTAGTCTTCTGCCGTGCCCGTTTGTGAACCATAGAAAAAGATCACTCGTCGGTCCTGTGACGCACGTGTGTGTTGGCATACATGTATGTATCCACATTCCATGCTTTACTTACCTGTTGTTCCATAATCTTTACAAAGTTACGTTCCACTTTGGGTTGGGCTTTAGGTGGTGCTGCACCGCCATTATCACCGCTACTGCTGCCGCTGCCAATGCTTCGATTGTTGTTATTGCCTGAAGACCGGAGCTTGGACGTAAGCCAGATCAGGGCACCGATACCAATCGAGCCAAACACGATAATATCCAATGCATGGCTAATTAGAATGGGTTGTTTTTTCAAAGTCGACATGTAAAAAGCAAGGGGAAAAGACAAAAAGAATGAAAGAAAGGGAGAAAAAGGGGGGACGGAAGAGAAAGGGGGAACACCAAAAAGTAGAGAGGCTAATCTTCAAGTCGATTATTACTGGTGCGGTTGTCGGATCCGAAATACAAACGATCTCTCATATGTCATGCCAAGTAGTTCTTTTCACATGTGAGCACAAGCTGTGAGCGTCTGTGTATCATGTTTCAACTCTACACTTCCCCACTTTTTTTTCAACCCGGTATCATGGGAAGCGGAAGCAAACACAGACAAGCATATCTTAACCCCACACAAGCATGCACGTGTAAACACATATGCATCAAGCAATGCTTGTTATTTCAAATATTTTGCACGTACATCCATCTTTGACCACCGTTGGTTTCATATCCTCATATACAAATCATGCCAAAGTACATGGTTGCATTCTTTTAATGTGGATGTCATGTACATTTATCTACATATGGGGCTCATGATCATGGGAAGGTAAAAAGGTGGTGCCTCGATCTGATTATTCTCTAAATGGAGATTTAACAATGACATAATACTGTATCAGATAGTAAGGGATACGTGGCAAAAACAATAGATGCATGATGGATGACTCTTTCTCAATATTGATATATGTTTTATTTCAAAAATGCTACTAGAAATGTATGGTAGACTCCTTTGATGGATGTTATGTACATGGATAAAAAGATGTAAGGGTGAATACGAGATCCTTCTTATTGCCAAAATTGCGCAAAAGAGTGCCAAAAGGTGACGACCACGCGAGCTACACCTTGTGTTCTTGACTTTAGGTTGTCCACGATCGTTTTCCAGACGACTTGGAAAGGGAGGGCCGATTGCACTACTGCAACAGTGCTTTTTTGCTTGGATTGTTGTACCACAGCAGGTTTCTTTTTTCCTTCCATTCCATCCTTCTCATTATCCAATGGATCCTTCTTCTCCTCTTGCTTTTGTTGTGGTTGCTCTTCCTTGTTGTTGGCATGCTGCTTTCTCTCGTATGCAGGTTGACATGATTTGGTAGAGAGCACCACGCTATCAATCACCTTCTCCACCATACCCAAAGATTCATCATCATGGTCGTACCGCCACACCACGTGTGCATCAAGATCATTGTTACGGTCCAAAAGACATGGGGATGGTACAAGGGCTGAATAGTGGAATGCTGTACCAGGTTCATAGGTCATTGGATACACCAACTCATCGCCACCTCCTTGTACGGTCACTGTCAAATGCTGCTCGTGCCACGATCCTGGTTGCTTGGTATCCAATTCAACAACAAACAAATGCTCCAATGTTTCTGGGTCCACAGCATCCCACATTGGATTCAATCGCAAGCCCATAGGTGGATGAGGTGCTGTAAAGTTGAGTGTCTTGAGAGAGTGATGATGCAATGTCTTCCAAGCAACGCCAACCACAGCAACGGCTAATAATGCCAGCAGGCTTCCAGAAAACGACTTGCCGCCTTTCTTGGTCTTGACTTGAGTAGCAGGAGGTTGTTGGTTGCCATGGATGGAGCGTTCATGTTGTTGTTGTTCTGGTTGCTGTGCTACCACCTTTTCCTTTGTCTCCTCTTCCTTGTTGTTCATTTCCTGGATCACGGGTCGCTCCTCTTGAATATGACACAACTTTCTACATGGACAATGCTGAAGCATATCGTATACGCTGCTAGGTGACATGGCCAGGAACTCGTTGATCGAGATAGCATGTGGCAAACATTCCTCCTTGTCATCTCTCATATCCATGATGGCGATATTTGCCAAACGACGGGCAAGATGAGTCGCCAAATCCTTGGAAGTCGCAAAGGAAGCTTCATCCAACACCAAAGGCCATACCACCGTATCCGAGCGGTCATTCAATGTATGCAAAGGCTTGTCATTGGATGGATCACACAAGTAAATGACAAGATCAATGCGCTTTTCTGTGATACGATCCAAATAATCGGCCAACTCTTGTTCTTGAGAAGAAGAGGATGTAAAATCGGCCTCCAAAACTTGTCGATGACCTGCTGTTGTGGATGCTGCTGCTGCTGCTGCTTCTTGATGCTTCGAGTTGATTGCCGAAGAAAGCAACGAAAGAATATCGTCTTTGTTGGGATGAGAGGCACCCACCAAAATTACACGAAACGGATCTTGCTGCACCATAGCAAAGTCATTTGTGGATGCTGTCACGGATTGTACCAACTTTTCGGGAAAGATGACGGAATCTGTCGACCACTCGACACCCACTATAACATCATAGCATGTTCAGTATCAACCTACACACACACACACTCGCTCACTTTGTATACCTTGCTTTACCAAGGGTTCACTGATGGACTCTTCAATTGTCATAGATGGCTTGATGAGCTGCGTGTAAAGGAAAAAGTGAAATCAGCATTGTTATGCAAATGGTCGTCGCCCTCCTCAAGACGCGTTCCAAGCTTACGAGCGATGAATGGGTGGATTGTAAAGTCTGTACTGCCATGATTAGAATATAGTAAAGAGAGAAAAGAGACAAGAAAACGATGTACCTTTTAATACGCGTTTGTGTGGTGGTGCTTGTGTGGAGAGAGTAGACGGGAGGCGTCAAGTGGTGTATGCGTAAAAAGGAGTTGCGCAAAGAAGAAACGGGGTTGGGTGGGGTGGGGGGATAAAAAGAAGGGGGTGAGTGTGTTGCCTGACAGTGCTCGTTGCTACTACTACTACTACTACTACTACTACTACTGCTGCTGCTGCTATCCATCCACTCTTCTGATTTGCTATACTGCAACCTATCTATATACAACGTGATCATGTGCATCGTCACCATCACCGCATATGGCACAAAACGTACTCATTTCCGCTACCATCAGGAATCCACCACCAATCCTCACGAGAGCCATACGTACATTCAACATGATCCATAAAATGAGGATCAAGACAACAGCTGCAAACGCCATGGTGCATAGGTCACTTTTTTGTCTCCTTTACTACATCCCTTTTCCTTGGCGGTAGAGAGTACATTGATCACTCGCACACAATAAGGTATTCGATGTACCAATGGGTGCACAATGGGCTCCTGTTGTAACACAAGGTTACTTTCTTATCAATGTTCACACAATATGGTTAGAAGGGATTGCCCATCAGTTATCGGTAAATGTGAAATATATACACACACACGCACCCATCACGCGTATTTCTCAACACACACACACACATACATACACATGTATATATCTCAAATATGCACAACAAATATATATATTCAACATTGGTCAAGGAGATCAAAGAGAAAGAATACCATCCTCAGGAGAAACATGAGGGAGGTGGAGGTGGACGTCTTGTCGGGGGTGGACGTTGGGGTGGCAAGTCCCTTGGTAGTGGCTGTCGTTGTCGCCATGTGGAAGACGAAGACGAAGAAGAAGGTGCTGTTGTTGTTGTAATGGTTGTATCAAAGATGTTATTGCTGCTTTCAGATGAACGACGATCCATTTCCAATAGTTGTGAAATTGTAAATACACCAGGTTGCTCTAATCGTAACCATTTGATCGCTTTACGAAATCGATCCATCCACGTTTTCATATCCTCGGCATCATCAGCTTGTAAATACCATGTACGACCATCTTCTTTACGTGCAATTTCTAGACAATACAAGACCCCGGGAAACTGATCTGTTGCAAAGACATCGGTGTTTGCTGTCAACTGAAAGTATTCACGAAAATCGGATTTGGGTGAGTCGGTCTTGAAAGTATAAATGTGGCGATCGAGTAAAAGCACGTAACGTCGATGGCGTGTCTTTGTGAATGAAAACGCAGGGGGCATATGCTTGGTCATCCATCCACCCAATACTGCGTATGGCCATAGTGCAGCTGCATGCGTTTCCATAGTCTGTGGACGAAATGTGGTAGGGTCGTTAAGATCAAGTGTGGTCGTGCTGCTTCTATTACTGTTGCTGCGAGATAAGGTTGTCGTGCTCAATGACCCCTTACGACGAGGGATCATAAACGGGTTAAGCTTAATACGTTGTTCACCATCAATACGCATCGTGGTGTATAATGATAGAATGAAAAGGATAGGAGAAGAAGGAGGGGGGGAGAGGTAAAAAAGAAAACAAGAGGATGGGAAAATAAAAGAGTCAAATGCTCTCTTTGTTTTTTTTAAATGACCGTATCAAGGAAGGAAAGAATGGTAGAGAAAGGAAAGCGAGAAAAAAAGAGAGCAAGAGAGGGCGAAGAAAAAAAGTGAGAGAGAGTGAGAGAGAGAGAGGAATAGCTGGCGCGTGCGTATCATCCCAACATACTGTTATCGCCCATTTTTGATGTAATGCTTGGCTCGGCCACACCTACCATCCGCTTTAGGAACTTTGGTGTGAAGAATACCGCCATTGAGCCTTGACCATCGCTATCCTTTCTTACACACACATGAACGTATAACCACACTACCTATTCGTGGGCCGTTTGAATGATGATAAAAGAGGGGTCATTGTTTAATAATGTCACAAAGAGATGGTCTATGCTCATTGTCCCAAAGTCGTTTAGCATAAACTACGACGAGGTTGTATTCTCAGATCCAGGCTAGGAATAGAATAGAGACAAAAAGGCAATACTTGCAGTATGGGTATAAGCGTTATCAATATGACCAATAGCTTCTCATTGCCAGCATTGAGGATTGCAGTAGATCTTATTGCACAAAAGAGCTGCTTGGTTAATGTTTGTACGACGCGATTGTTCTAATGGGAGATAACCGTGCAGGATCCAATGGTATGGTTCTAGACAAATGGGTTCTGCAAAGGGGGGGGGGCAAAGGCTCTGTGAGGGATAAAAGGAGAGACAATCAAAAAGTGCGCGTGCGTGTTGTGGTGGTGTTGGTGTCTTATTTTTTGCAAGGAGTGGAAAGATTTATATGCACTGGCAAACTACGACCACTGCTGCTTGTGGGCTTGTGTCACACACCAGTTATTATTACTCTCTTTCTCTCTTTCTCTCTTTTTTTTACCCTCTCTTTCTTTCTTCCTCTCTCCCACTCGCTTTCTTCATCGTGTGAACCACTTGTAACCCACCCATCAACCTTGACCATTCGCTTCTCACGTATGTCTTTTTCACACGTGTACTTTGTGCCCCTCGTCTACAAAGTCAAACATTGAACTCATTGCGTTCTCTCCCAATCTCGCCTCCGTTTTCGATATCCCTTGTAGTACCAGCCCACCATGAATGACATTCCGGAAAACGTTGACGTCGACTCCATCATTGCCAGATTGTTGGAAGGTACTTTTTGAAGGTGGTTGTTGTTGCAACGACTCATCAGGACGTACGTGTCTTCTTTGTTAGTACGTGGTAACCGCCCTGGTAAACAAGTACAATTAGCCGAGCATGAAATTCGATTCTTGTGTGGAAAGTCGCGCGATATTTTCATGAGGTATGTATGCAACAAGGAGTGGCGGGGGAGGGTGATGGGGGAGTGCGAGAGCGAAGGGGGAAGGATGGATATCATGATGTGCAGAATGAATAATCTCAAGTATTCAAGTCAACCTATTCTTTTGGATTTGGAAGCACCTTTAAAGATCTGCGGTGAGTTGGCATCTCGGATGGCCATGGTGATGTTTGTCAAGGATGGCCCATTGATGATGATGATGATCTATTCTCGGCATTAGGCGATATCCATGGTCAATACTATGATCTGTTGCGTTTGTTCGAATATGGTGGTTTCCCTCCAGAGTCCAATTACTTGTTCCTGGGTGATTACGTGGATCGTGGCAAGCAATCTTTGGAAACAATTTGTCTTTTATTGGCTTACAAGATCAAGTACCCCGAGAACTTTTTCATTTTGCGTGGAAACCATGAGTCTGCCAGCATCAATCGTATATACGGCTTTTACGATGAGTGTGAGTATCCATTCCTTTTTCCCACACACACACACACACATACACACAAATCCATTTTGGGGATAAAGAAAGAAGATTGAATTTACAAGTGTGTGATTAGGCAAACGACGATACAACATCAAGTTATGGAAGACGTTTACAGATTGCTTCAACTGCCTACCGATTGCTGCTGTCATTGATGAAAAAATCTTTACCATGCATGGTGGTCTTTCTCCTGACTTGCAAAGCCTGGAACAAATTCGACGAGTGATGCGTCCAACGGATGTGCCTGATACAGGTAAAATGAGGATGAAGGTGGAAAACGTGCTCATACTTATGGTTGCTTTGAAAGGCTTGCTATGTGATTTGTTGTGGTCGGATCCTGATAAGGATGTCCAAGGATGGAGTGAAAATGATCGTGGCGTATCCTTCACATTTGGTGCCGATATCGTCAGCAAATTCTTACAAAAACACGACATGGATTTGATTTGTCGTGCACATCAGGTATGAAAAAGAAGCAATAGCGATAAATCAACTTGCTCATGTCATCATCATCATCCATTTCAAGGTGGTCGAGGATGGATATGAATTCTTTGCAAAACGACAATTGGTAACGCTCTTTTCTGCACCAAACTATTGTGGCGAATTTGATAATGCGGGTGCCATGATGACCGTGGATGAATCACTACTATGTTCCTTCCAAGTAAGCATTGAAAGTCGAGAAAGAGATCATGGATAAAGGTGGTGGTGGTGGCTAACATGATGTTGATAGATCTTAAAACCGGCCGAAAAGAAATCAAGGAATGCATATAATGGACGAGGCAGATATGGAAAATGAGCAACTCACTCTTTGACGGCACACGCACAACACTCACAAGGACATGCACACGCACACATACACACTCGCAACAAAATCATCTTTCCAACACACCACCACACCACCACATGCCATCTCATAAAAATTTCTTGGCACTCGCTATTGCCTCCCCTTTTCCGCCCCGTCTCTTTAATGCTACGATATCTCTCCTGTTTTCGTACACCAACAGCACACACACATATCATCATGCTAAAAACCATGTATTGAAAAAGATAATGTTGGACATTTTGGACGACGACGACGGGGTTTCTGGTATCAAATGGTTGTTCCCTTTGTCATACGGAAGTGGCTAGGATCTCCCAATTATGATTTCCTATAAGAGAAAGGAAAAAGAGCGGGCAATCTTGGGGTAAATGAATGAGCAATATTTTTCCTTTTGAAAGGGGTTATGCGTAGAAGAAAAAGTCATCCGACCTTTTTTGCTTTTGCATGTTGTGTGTGTGAGAGAGGACTTGAGACAATGAGAGAAAAAGATAAGGACAAAGAAATGGAAGGAAGGGTTCAAATCAGCGCTATGTGTGATCCTGGAGGATGAATGCTGGGTAATTAATACCGAGCAATGAGGCGGTGAGGGATTTCCAGACGGGAAGCGGGGGTTCCCGTTGTTGGATCTGAGCGAATTTTGCCATGATGTTTTAAAAATGATGGCTTTCTTTGATCCTCTAATCTTGTTACCTCTTTCTCTCTTGTCACCACTACTTTTGCATATACAATGGAACAACCAAAAATGACCGTATCGGAACGACGAGCAACGTATCCATTACAACAACGCATAAAGATCTACAATCCTGATACCATGGCTCGTCGTCTAAGTCAGGAGAAACAAACCAAGCTTGTTGTCAATGGTGTAAACCTGCTCAACAAGTCATCTTTGGATAAGGATATCATTTTGGATCGAATGAAACAACGCAGAGAAACCCATAATCGCGTCGAACGTCGCCGGAGGGATATGCTGGTAAGTTGTGTGCTATTACTCCAATAGTAGTACCTTATCCCCCCAACTCACCACTTTGATGATAGAATGGCCTCATTAGTGAACTTGCTCATGCCATGCCCCAAGACACTTTGGATCCAGACAAATCCCACCGTGCACAAATCTTGAGACATGCCATAAGCTATATCCAATCCATACGTCGCGAAAATCAAACCATGCGTGCTCAACTTGGCCAACAAGCCATTCAACAACAAGAACAACAACAGCATTAAATCATCATCTATAATCCCCCCACCCACCCTTTGTACATTCTTCTTTTCCCATTACATACGAGGAGCAAACTACTTGCTTTGTGAAAATAAAAACCATCAAATTGTGAGATGTGTTATGTCTGTCTATGTTTGTCAACTTCCAGGAATGGTTAAAAGTGACCAGCTGGCTCGAGCAAAAGAGGTAAATTTAACGCTATTACATCCCCCCCCACCATCACATCACATCCTCCATACGTCAACGCGAGATTTATGCCATAGGTAAGCATTATGCCAAGATATACAACCCCACCAACGTATATCTTTAGCCAAACCTTTCACATGTTACCCATTGCCTCTTGAAATACGATGATCATGTGTATGTGTGTGAGTACGTGTATGTATTCTACTAGATGCAAGATGAAGAAATCCCCCATACAATCATGCATGTAAAGGAGAAGGAGAAGGGTATTATGTTCCGAAGATCATCAAAGTGTGGCCCCACATCCTTTGTTTCATCCTATTGACTCCTGCAGAAAGGTTGTGATCGTCATCCGTCTCATAGTACTTGCATTGCTCTCTTGCAGGATACTGCCCAATATCACTCACACATAGCATGGTTTCATACAAGATACATGCTGATACAACTTTAACCTTGATATTGCCGCAATGAGGTGTTTTCTTCTAACAGTGCCACAAACGTAAAAAAAAGTCTCATCATTGACACACATACACAAACACTTTTTGTGCGATCCACATTGTTGGCTTAATACCCTGACTACGATCATTTGGATGTCCATGCAATGATTGCTAAATGTGTGTATGGCGTTTTTTTCTACCCATCACATGGATATGCCATCATCGTGCTTGAAGGATAATCATAAACGTCATGAGCGGCAGCGGCAGCAGCAGTAAATATGGGATCTCCGCTTCTCCGATGATTTGGTGAGCTTTTTGCAGGAATTTTATTCGAGACACGACAAAGATTATTGAAAAAGGACTACTTGTATTTACAACATGATTGGGTATAAAAGATAAAAGAGGTGTGTGGGGGGATACTACTAGTCATCAAGCAATTCCACATCTTCTCTACGAACAAAAATACCCCGATTTCGATCGGTTTGGAAATAGCGCTTGCCATCACGTATACCATCGTTGCTGCCCACTAGAAGAAGAGTCCCACGGTGAGTACTTTTTTGGTTTACACATGACTCTATGAATGAATGACGTGTGTGTGAGAGAGAGATTCATTTACCTGGTACATCCAATTCAATCCCCAACCAGTCATTTCCAGGAGCATCATCCACAGGTCCGATATACTTGACGCGACCCGTAAGGACCGAAGGCCGATGCAAAATGTTGACATGATCACCATAGGTAGGTTCCAAAACCACAGGGCGTTCAGAGGATGAACCAGCTCTACCGCCACCAAAGAATCGAAAGAGGGATGTCGACCGTCGACGGGGTATTTTGCGTACAGAGCTTAGGATGATTTCATCAGGTAGCGAATATCGTTTATACGTAAATGGATATGCGTAATTCGAATTCCTTGATGAGGGTCTCGGGGGTCGTTCAGGTAATTCAAATGTCAATCGTGTGGATTTAGGTTTCAGTTGTTGTTGATGTTGTTGTTTTTCATCTTCTCGTTTTGCCACTTGATCTGATATGTCTTGAGTTTGTTGTTGCAACATGGCATCAAATTCATCATGGCCTTTGTATCGATTGGTCACATCTTCTTGCTCACGTGCTGTGGAGGGTGATGAAAAGCTCTTTTGTAGATCGAGATGAGATGATACTGTTGTTTCTTGACCAGGTGGTATCAATAGGATGTTTTGTGGCGTTTTCTCCGATTCTCGCATTGACATGGTATCTTTATCACTGATAGATGAGGTAGCAGAAGAAGATGTCGTTGTGGTTGTCATATAGGATGGGTCTTCCGAGCCTCTTCTCCCGGTACAAGAAGATGCAGGATTGTAAGTTTCATTTACGTCAACATGATGATGAGCGTCGGCTGATTTGATCTTTTGAAGTCCTTGTTGTTTATTCTTGAAGAAATTGAAAAGGGGCATCAGGGTGTAGATGGTAAATAGGGAATAAAGGAAAAAGAGAAACCTTTAGTTTTTGCGGGGGATTGGAGAAAAAGAAATAAAAAAACATTCCTTTGATGCAGCAATCACCATCAAAGAAGCCCGTGCATAAGTCACGCGACACTTGGCCTATCTCTTGTCGCTTTGTCGCTTTATTCCTCTTTCCTACTCCTCCTCCCTCCCCCCAATTCTCTACTGATGCCGGATCGGACAGCTGAATTCCGTACCATCGCCCTCGAAAGGTCGCCATTACGTGCAACATCTTCACCCAAACCAAAGATAAAAAAGGAACGTGACAACGATGCCGCTTACGATCTCTTCACCAAAGAAGCCTATCGCATCCATGAGCACATTGACAGTCTACGTCGCTTTCTTTTGTCCATACGCCGAGCCTACCTCAACACGGATGCACGACAAAGCCTAAGGAAACGAGCTGGAGCAGCAACAACAACAGCACCCAAAGCATCAGGATTGGAGGGGTCGTTGTTTGCCCTGTTTGGCACTGACATTGGCACCTTGACCGACAATGAGCGCGACGAGATCGACTTTCAAGCCAAAGTGATTATTCGACGTTGTATGGATCGTATCAAGGAGTTGGAACATGCCGAAAAAGTGCGTAAAGAAAAGGAAGTGACAGCGTCCACCAAGGGGATAGCAGGGTTCTTGGGTAGCCTGTTAATATCATCCGAGTCGACACTTGCACGTGACACACTTGCCCTTCATCGCAGCAGCATGATTTGGTTACTGAATAAGCGATTGGCTCAAGTATCAGAGTTACAAAAGAGTCAACAAGAGATACGGTTACAACGAGAATTGGAAAAGAGCGAGAATCAACTCTATCGATCTTCCGAGATGGCATTTTCAGCACAATCCTTGATGGATGAGGATGAGGATGATAAGGAGGAGAAGGTGAACAAAGGACTTTACAGCAACAATGAACCAGTACAAGAGGAGATGCCCATGGATGCTTTTCAAGAACAACTTTCTCAAGAGCAACTACAAGTACTGGAACGTGAAAATTCAACCATGATTGAAGAACTCAACAATACCCTGAACCAAGTTCGCAATGCTGAAACCGCTTTACTCGAGATCTCCACGTTGCAGAATCAATTGACCGAACATCTCGCTGCCCAAACAGTACAAACCGATCAATTATACGCTGACTCGATCGCCACCACTGAACGTATCGAACAAGGCAACTTGCAACTCATCAAGACCAAGGAAAGGAACCGTGGCACTCGCAACTTTACCCTCATATTCCTCCTATTCGCGAGTTTCATTCTCTTATTTCTCGACTGGTATTCTTGAAATATATATACAACGCTTCTACTATCTATTATTGCATTGCCACACTATAATGTTATTATGCATGTTCGTGCCTGTGTTTTATTCTGTAGCGTAATTGGACGCATGAAGGGGAAGAGATGTAAATGACCATACTATGTGTAGGGATGTTCAATGACTCGATGATCAAAATGAGGGAAGGCCTCTCTCGTAATTTTATCGGAATTAGAAGAAGCTAGCTATGCCTTGCGATTTCTCCTCTTTCGAACACACTTGCACATGCCGTTGTATAGGACAAGAAAGTCCACTGTATATAATGATGTCAACGCTCAAAGAAAACGGTAACTTGTAATCGGCTGTATTACCTGCTCGGATAAGTTTAGAGACATTTTGATTGAATAAATGCGATTGATCGTACGCAAGGAAAGCAGCATTCAGATGCCATTCTGCTGGTGGTGTAGCGTTGTGATAACCGAGGGGACGTTTTGGTTTTGTGTTGAGGACCAGTGTATGTAGAAGCGAGCGTGATGCCAAGACCACACCTAAAAGCAATGCATGAATGCATCAGTTACACGAAGTAAATTCGTTTGCAGCTCGTTCACATACCAGTCTTTGACGTTCGGCAAAACACCGCCGTAGGGTCACATCCCAATGTCAACATTAGCTGGATATCTAGTGCTCGCACGATGGCCCAGCGATCAGTTCTCGAGGTTGCCGTTGGCCCTTTTGCAAAACACACACTTTAATTGTGTATAGTGCAGTTGCTTCCTCCCAAATCTTGCTTCGCCAAAAGCTTTGTAATGTCCCCTGGTCGCCTTCCATCAAAGAACTTGTGCTGGTTACGGAAATTCGAAAGGTAGGTGATATCCTTGGCAAAGATCATGATTGGAATCCACCAAAGTGAATGTATCCAGGTCCCAGCAGCATCATGGCTATTTGAGTGATCACATCATGTTGGTGAACCAAAAGAAAGATATACATGATAATCAAACATACCAGCTATAGTCTCCCATCATAATCTTGTCGATGTATGTATCGCTCGTCACTATCAACGGAATGGCCACCCTGATATTTAAGTATAAATGTGGCTATGGCACTGAGCCCCATTTCTCCAGATGCTCCTGCTTGCTTTCTCGTTTGGTCGGTGCGATACGCTTGTAAGGATTACCAATCAATCCTGTCACTTCCCATTACCATCTCCATCTATGGTTTGACGACATAGCCATGGGCCCATAGCTTGTTTCTCGGAAAGCGTCTTGCCAGTCGCTTCCCTCTTGTGGGCATTCTTCATGCGTAGCTTCAGGAAAGGCTCCTATTGAGACACCAAGAAGAGCGCTTGGGATGGTAATCAAAGAAGAGATAGAATCGACGAAGGATGGTATATGATAATGCTGATGACAGCATCCTTGCTTTTTATGGGCTTGGGCGTGTGAATTGTTGTCGGACCAAAGACGAGGAGAAGCGCATGAGCTGATAAAGTGGTCTGTCTCCTTGACGTATCAGAAAACACCAGGTCCTGGATATCCCAAATGACTCCAGGGAACGCCTTCTTGTATGCACCATGCTGATTTATCCAAACATAATCGATCCATCCATATCCTGCATGCCGTCGTGCCCATTGTCATGAACCCTTCACAAGCCGAATTTGCCACCACTATGAGCCATGTATCCCGCATGTTGCCAATAGAGATACCATCTTCTCTCCAAGGCGAGGAAAGCATAGGTCGTAGAATGATGGAACCGTACGAACAAAGGATGCATTATTTAAGGCCAAGCAGCACCTTGAGTCGCACCCATTTCCGCTAGCACAACGTGGTCGTCTCCTCTAGCAGAGTACAGTACAGTGACATCCTTAACGTAACGAAGCGGAATAGAGCCTGCCAATCTATTTCTTCCGTAAGTGCACTTGAAGGCGACAAACCCCACAATGAGCAGTATTACCTTGGGGTTTTCGCAATAGCCTTCTTGCTTCCAATAACCCCATCTCCTTCATTCCATCCATAATGTGCTGCTGCTATTTCATTGAAAGAGCCGTCAACTAACAGGTCTTACTTTGTTGATCCAATACCATGCGTACCAATGAAACAATGTACAACGTCGTTCTTGCTTGAGATCAATGCCTTGCTGCTGCCACGGGTATCATCATCCAACATGCCCAAGCTACAATAAATGCAATGTAAGATGTCAACCGTAGCGTTTGGTTTCTTTGTCAACGTACCCAAAGTAGCTATGTTTTGGGGCCCCTTTCCTTGATGGTATCCATAGAAAGCATTCACGCGACACACGACGGGCCCCTTGATCCTTGTTTGAACGAGAGAACGGCAGGACTACACGTAAACTTTAGTACCATAACGTCCAACTTGAATAATAAAGTATTGCAGCGATTGATCGTACATGTTGTGTTGGAATAGAAGGTTGGGTCATGGGTAGATCGCGCGCGTACTTGGTTGCCTTGGAAAGTGTCGCCATTGGTCACCTGTACATCATCGACACTGTGCATTGAAGGCAACAATGGCAGCAGTTAATGCTCTGTACTCTGTCAATGGAGACAAGCTTACCTTGCTTTGTGAAGCGGGAGAGGAGAAGTGGCTCTTTGTCTTTCCTTTCGTTGTTCTCTATTTATGCACTCCACGCCACCCCGCTTGCTACAGCTACCACTGTGAATACGCACCCAAACAAACATCCTATACATTTGGGTGAAGAGTAATAGATCACTGCTCGAAATGTCAATTAAACATAGCCTTCATAACTAAACTATACATGATCTTACTGTGTCCAGGAGGTGGCGTCATTTAGGCCCGTGCGGCATTATTATCAAGCCAATTGTTTTTTATGCAGCTCAACCCACCGTGGATTTATTATGTATAAGCACCCATCCGTGATATATGCGTGTTCCTATAAACCAGTTACTTTGATACATCTTCATTATTGGATGTTGTTTGCTTACGTACCTTCACAAAAGGCAATCATCATCATCATCCATTTGTGCAGCAAACCTGTAAAGGACATGTTTGTGTAACCACCACGTGCCATTTCACTCAGCACCTCATCTTTCCGTTCATGCAATCGACACCATCCACTAGGAGAAAGCAACTCCACCACGCTTACAGCATATGCAAAACATAAAGGTGCCTGTATCTCCAAACTTTACAATGAAGCGTGGGGTTTTTAATAGAACAATGTGCTCGGCTTGGCCAACAGCACCTTGGGTGCAAGTTTCATGAACAAGCTTGCCAATCCCAGATTTCGCAATGTCGCTACCAGCCAAACTGGATCTGAGGGTCGACCTCTTCGACGACGACGACCAAAAAATATTTTTTGGGCTGTTTGCGACATTGAACGTGAAACGTGCACACAAGGTGCAGTTGGCCAAGCCAAGCACACTGCTGTAATAAAAGCCCCACGTTTGATTGTAAAGTTTGGAGATACAGGCACCTTTATGTTTGTAAGCATGATGCTATATGGGAAGTGGTCTTCGTTCAATGTCAAGTCGCTGGACCCTGGCAGAGCAAAAGACGCAGAGGGACCTTTTTGTGTAACTCAGCTACTTTGCATGACTAGAAGGATGGAAGGATGATACTGTATACTATTGACAATATCCCATACATTGCGAGCTAACAGCCATTTCCTCACAATCGGCAATGTTGTCCACTCTATGACAGTGGAACGATGCTCCTGCTTCAGACATTCATTTCCATGATTGGATTATGTTGATCCGAGTTGATTTGGCTGAGCTACGCTCATACAAGGTTACTTCAGTTGAGCAACATAGAGCATGGTTAGATGTGTGGATTGGTGTAATCCGTCTTTGGCTGTATCTCGGTCAAATCAACTCGGATCAACATAATTCGATCATGGAAATGAATGTCTGAAGCAGGAGAATCGCTCACATGTCATAGAGTGGACAACAGTGGCTATTGTGAAGAAATGGCTGTTAGCTCGCAATGTACGGGCTTTTGTCAACAGTATATAGTATCATCCTTCCATCCTTCTAGTCATGCAAAGTAGCTGAGTTACACAAAAAGGTCCCTCTGCGTCTTTTGCTCTGCCAGGGTCCAGCGACTTGACATTGAACGAAGACCACTTCCCATATAGCATCATGCTTACAAACATGAAGGTGCCTGTATCTCCAAACTTTACAATGAAACGTGGGGTTTTTATTACAGCAGTGTGCTTGGCTTGGCCAACTGCACCTTGGGTGAAAGTTTCACGATCAAGCTTGCCAATCCCAGATTTCGCAATGTCGCTACCAGCCAAACTGGATCTGGGTGTCAACCTCTTCGACGACGACGACCAAAAAATATTTTTGGGCTATTTGCGACATTGAACGCGAAACTTTCACACAAGGTGCTGTTGGCCAAGCCGAGCCCATTGCTCTATTAAAAACCCCATGTTTCATTGTGAAATCTTGAGATATGGCTGTCATTATGTTTTACATATGCTGTCAGCGTGATGCTATATGATAGGTGGTCCTTGTTCATTGTCGATAGCCTCATCATATGAGTCAAAATGCAGAAGGACTTGTTTGTGTAACCCAAAACCAAGAGGACGGGACCTGAAGGGTCAATGCTATTGGTGGAAAGATGCATGATGAAGTAGCTCCATCCTCTATAGTGAGGTCCGCCCATGATAGCCATGTGGAATGGTTCGTTCTTATACAAGGTTGCATAATATAGCTTTGGGTGAAACTCGTCATAGGTAAGCATGTGCCACATAGTAGTATCACTCCTCACTCTTTCTTGAAACTTGAACAGAATGAACTAACTTATTACAATGAACCAAACTTTTATTATGTAACAAGCACTACGTTAAGCATGGTCACTCTCGAATCAATATCTTGCAATACACAAATGTTCGTGAACATCTATCAATACATGGACTAGGAAGCTATGACAAAAGAACAAAAGCATCCCGATACGATGATGCGTTTGAACGATCCAATCTCGTTTTCCAACCTTTAAGTTTCTACTCCCCCCTTTCAATCCGGAAACCAATCAAGTGATCCACATCTTGCGGTATGAACTAATAGTGTGATAGCCCCCTAGTATTATGTTGAATCCCATTTTCATCAATGAAATAGTCGAAGGATAGCATATGGTAGTGTGGACGTTTATCGAGTAAGTATGATAAAAGAACAGCATTGTAAAGTGAATAAGGTACGGATAAATCACATCGAGTCAACAGGGATAATTGTGCCATCATATTCTTGGTTGCTGCCGTCATAAACATCCTTCCTCCATGGTTATAAAATAGCTGCTGCATAAATTGACTTGAGCATTCCAATAACATCCATGGCTGTCAAGCACCTTCCGCCAAGATCTTGGCCCATTCCATCCAATCCATCACCATCCTCAGCCGTATCCACGTGATCGTTACTGCTGACGACGCGCCAAGTAACCATAGCGACATCCCAGGTTATCTTACCCACTGCACTTGATTGCAGCCACCCATCAAATCCAATAGGTTGGTTGAAAATGGTTACGTGATTGCTGCTGGTATGATCTCTTTTTCATCCGGCTGTTTGGTCAATCCTTTCTTGGTTCATCGCAGGTGACGATAACTTGTATTGCCGTGTACTCGATAGCTGGTATGGCATCCCATCCATTGGAATCCGCATGTATCAGATCAAGTTGATGCAAGTAACTTGAGACATTGGAGTAAGGACCTTGCTAATAGCAACAGCTGCTACGTTTGGTCGCGAAAGAGAAGTGTGCAAGCGAGCGTGTGTTGTAGTATAGTGACAAGGTTGTGAACGCTGTTTGAGACAATGAAGTAAGACGTTGCTAATGGCGTCTGCTGGAATGTATGCTGTTGCGTTTGATTGTGGTCGAGGATTGTACAAAAGGTGGTGTGTCATGAAACGTGAGTTTTGTCGTGGGGTGTACATGCCATGGACTTGCCATTCAGTCAAAGACAATCGGATCAAGACAATTGTAGGATTGACATGATGGGTTGAAGCAGGACAATGGTTTGCAGGTGGGTAATTGTACTTGAATGGGGGCCAACAGTTGAGAACGGGAGGAAGAGGGAAGAAGATGAGTGGAAGAAGTGGAAATCAACAACATTTTACTCATACTTGGATGATACTTCTGTGCTTGAGCGTAACTCGGTCAAAACCTCACGAATCAAGAAAGTTGAAGGATGGAAATGATGGGCTGGAGCAGGACAATCGATTACATCCATTGGGTTGGGTAAAAAAGGTGAATGGGAGGAATGGGTTATTAGCTGGCGGTTTACAAATAACTTTGCAAAATGATCATTCTGATATTGGATGATGTTTCTGTGTTTGAGCGTTTTTCAATCAATTCCCCTTGGATCAAGAAAGTTGAAGGATGGGCATGCTGGACTGGAGCAGGACAATCGTTTACATGCAGTGGGTTGGGTAACAATGACGAATGGGTGGAACGGGCTGTTAGCTGCGAATCGATGATGCCGAGAGCACTACATCAAGCAGCAAGGTGAGAAGCTGAGTGAAATGGCACGCGTGGTTACACACATGCGTCTGACAGGTTGTTGGACAAATGGATGATGATGATTGCCTTTAGGAGGGCACGTAAGTAAAAAACAGGTATGCCATGGACACCGCAAAAAGCTATTTTACGCCACCCTTCCATTGCCACTCTTGTCACGCATGATGGCGCTTCAATCCTATTTGAAGTTGCCTATTACGGCAAATGCATGCTTTTATTATGTACCTCATTCTACGGTGATCAAATTTCCAACGCTATGCATTTCGAACCAAACGTTGCAGGGTTGCTGTGGTCTGTGCTTTAAGAAACGGGTACGATGACCACGGCAGCTGCACTCAACAACGTGCTAAAAGATGAAGAAGGAGACATGCAAACCTATGCAACGTTTACAAGCTATAGCCCAAATCCATTCACAACATGCTCTCACACGTGCTACCGATGTGTTGTAAAAGAGGTGGCGTTCACTGCTGATGATGATGGGAAATTGCCTCATCATTTGTATATTGCACATAACTTGTCATTGCTCAAGCAAAACAACTATGACGTATATGTACTTAGGATTATTCATCTTGCTTTTAGCGTGATACACGCTGTCAAATCGTTTAGTTTTCCTTTTGAAAGAGTATTTAAGGATCAAAACAAAAATTGACTACAAGGTCTCATCCGAGAATTACCGCAAAACGGGATCCTTCTGTTAACTAGCGAGCTATGATGTTACTTGGTTTCGTTTTTGACTTTCAGTTCGGTCTTTGCATCCGTTCAGCCGTCTTTAGCTACATGTACATGTCGTGGTAGTTTACGATCCGGGACCGTTACACCATCATTATGGCTAACTTTTTTATACGACAGATGACATGAATTGAGGGGTACTCGTTGCTTTTCGCCCTATGACTCCAATGATAGCCATGATATGATATAGGCTTTTCTATAATGATGACGGCAATAAATAAAGCCATTGTATCATGAAACGTGACTTGCAACATCATTAGGCAGTGGTGTCTACTGATTGGTAGTATCGAGCAACTTGATCATAGTCAATCCCGTGAATGTATTCTTGACAGCCGAAGACGATGCTTCCCATCGCACAGATGTTGTCTACCCCTTACCAATATCATCAGCAACCTGTATTTGGGATCATGCATACATTAGTAGGATCACATGCATACATGCTATTTGCTGTAGTAGGATTATCGCTGTAAGTTTTAAAAAGGAAACAAGAGTGATCCGACGGGAAGAGTAAACCGCATATGATAACATCACATCGATCTCGCCATTATAGCCGACACGCCAAGGCAATGACGACTGTACAACATGTTATGCAATTACGTACCCAGTTTTGTGCGGTTGTGAAATCACGTCGATCCTGCCGTGCATGATGGACGCCAAACCTTCTCCCTAAAAGTGCTGTATTATTTGTGACCAATTTGCAGGATCTCGTTTTTTCTTCTCCTTTAAAAAGGGAAAGGCTTACGAACGCCATTGGATTAACTTTTCTTTTTCTTTTCAACATCGCTATCGCTCTAATAACATGGTTTGGCGTGCACTCCCTTTTTTGCTGGTGCTATTGATTGCTGCATCAACCTATGCCGAAAGTGGATTGAAGGAAGCGAGCCATGGTGGTGGTGGCGGTGCTGATTTTAGGACTACTCCCAAGAACATCCTCTTCAGTTCAGTGGGTGGTGGAGCATCACATAATAGCTGGATAATAAGGATATTGGATCAACTGCATAAACGAGGCCACAACGTGTTCTTTGCTAGTACAGTCAGTATCCATTACATGCAAAAGCCCACTTTTATGACTCATAAAGCAGGAAAATGCATGTACAGGACACCGAGTTGAAGTTTACCAATGTTTATCCACATATCAAAACGTCTTCTATTGGCCCATCCCATTACAAGAAAATGCCTCCTATCACGCATAAGCTCAGGTGGCCAGTATCCTTCGATGCACCCAAGGTTTATAAAGAAAACAACATGCGAGAGTATGATACAAGTAGGTTTTGATGCTCATATTCCACAACCCTCGTTCTCATCATGATAGAAAAGACTATAATGCGCTCCAAGAAATCATCAAAAACGAGTCAATCGATGTTGTATTGTGTGATCATGTTTCCTTTGGTTGCCAGCAAGTTGTCAAGGATTCAAAGCTTCCGCTTATCATTACATTGGTGATCAATGATGCAGATGGTACACATTTTTATGATCGAGAATCAGTAGCGATACTTACTTAACTTTGTTTCAAAGATGCGGATGCTCCATACATAAATTTGAATCCAATCGCTCGTATGTCGGATGGCACAACCGAGAACATGTCATACGCTCGACGCTTTTATGATGCTTTCATATGGCGTGCTCAGCTGCTTTGGCATTTGGACTTTGCCCCATGGCCAGTCTCCTTGGGGATCAATAACAACCGGTGGGAGGATGCATTAAAGCTGGTGAACAATGTGTATGGGTTGGAGCCTCCAAGGCCGATGGGACCTTTGGTAGAGCTTGTAGGTCCAATCTATAGTGATGACATTACATCATCACCCGGTAAACTAGATCCTGGTTTGGAGCAATTTTTGGATGAACGTGAAAAGGTTGTTTATGTTGCCTTTGGGCAATTTGTAAAGCCCACTACGATCGAAGTGTCCACACGCGTCTTGTTGATGCTATTGGAAAATTACGAGGCTGGAGGATTGGATGGGTTCATTTGGTCCGCTACACTTGGTACACCCCTCCCCGATCACGTCACAACATCATCTGGCACCCAGTATCATCTCAACACCACTGAATTTCTTAATGTGGGTCGCATCGTACCATGGGCACCACAAAAGGCTATTTTACGGCATCCATCCACTGTCACCTTTGTCACGCATGGTGGTGCTTCATCCGTCTATGAAGCTGCCTATTACGGAAAACGCATGCTTTTTGCCGCATTCTTTGGTGATATGATCTCCAATTCCCTACACTTTGAACGAACCGCTGGAGGGGTGTGGTTTGTGCTTCCAGAAGCGGATGCAAAAACAATGATAACGTCACTTGCCAAAGTGCTAAAGGATGAAAAGGGCATCATGCAACAAGCCATGCAGCGCTTACAAGCTATTGTGCAGATCCATGTACAACATTCTCTTGTTCGTGCTACCGATCTTGTAGAAGAGGTGGCATTCACTGCTGATAAAGATGGAAAATTGCCTCATCGACGGGATATTGCACGTAACTTGTCATTCCTCAAGCGACACAACTATGACTTGTACTTGGGATTATTCGTCTTGGTTGCAGCGTGTATCATGCTACCCTATCGTCTCGTTGTCTTTTTGAAGGAACATTTGAGAATCAAAAAGAAGATTGAATAGAGCCTCTTCCCCAACCCCAAACAAGATCAAGGTGGCTAATACATTACAATGATAATAAACCTTTACACGTAGTAGTAGCAGTGATACAATGTTCTTTTTAATTTCTATATATTTACAAATATCTTACAAGGTAGTAAATAGGTCTATCATCTTGGAGGGGGGAGGGTTACCGATAAATGAACTTGACGGTCCATCGTGCCTTGTCATAAGTATCGAAATCTTCATCAGCGTCATCCATGTTTTGCTGGTGTTGTTGCTCATATTCACCACGATAACGCTCCGTATTATTGTCAGCTGCTGATATAGTCACTCGATTAGAGGATGATCGCCATGTTGCATTGTCGGATGTTCCTTGCAATTGCTCATCAAGTTCCTGAGGAGAGCATCGTAATGCTGTACAAATTTCATCGTAATGGTGTAAGCCGTCGAGATAGGGAATGATATCTGGATGAATATGAGATCCTGTGTTGGCATTGATAATGGTTGCGTATTGGTCTTTGGGTGGCAAGCCGAGCTGGGTATCATTGGATGCATCGAGAGGTGTAAGAATCGGGTACTTGTGGACACGATAAATCAAGCCTTTGATGACGCCAAAGGATATAAAGCGCCTACATTGTGTTGGTTAAACCCTGCTTCTATGATGAAGAAAATGACCTCTTCCCCATTTACCTGACATCGATGGGTAATGTTGCTACTTGATGTTCCGCGATCCAATCTCGTACAGATAACCCATACTGTAAACCACAATAAAGAGCGAATACGCGTGGCCAAGGAGGTGGTGTAGCATCTGCCATAGCGAGATCTTAGTTATTTTTCATCCTAGGATCGCTGTTATTCAACTTACTCGGTAGCGTGATATATTGTAAACATTCCTGAGCCAAGCCATTGTTTTCGTCAAGCATACGTGTGATCTCTTGTTTGACAGCATAAACGTTCGAAAATTGGAAGATGTCGGTCATAATGATGCATCCATAATACCTGTAACGGCATAATTGATAAGTTGTCATAGCATGTGATCCGATAACAACTTACAGTAGATGTTGTATTGCTTGTCGCGCCCATTGTGCTTTGACATTGGCTCTATCGGCAACGCCTCTCACGTGGTGGATTCCATTGATATGTGCAGCAATCTATGGATCGAGTTAGCCTATGATCCATACTCATCAAGATGCTTAGTTACCTTTTGCACTGTGAGGTCCCAATTCGGTGTGATCATTTGCTTGAGGTCGACTGTGCTGACAGGTACCTGATAATCATGCACAACAGGAGGATTGGGGTACGTTGGGAATAGCTTGAGATTGATGGTATTTGAAGCATCTACGAATGACATAGCGGATGAATACATATCATGCATTGGGTCTCTCATACTTACTAATGGGTATTTGGCATTCGCAATAGCTATTCAAGTCCTCAAAGAGCTGTTCAATGATATTTTGCACTGCATTGGTCTGGCTGTCGGGTTTGGCATCCTCGGATAAAAAGTTGCATTCAATCTTATGCAAATGGGATAAGGTTACCATTCTCAAAAGTAGTATACACCCACATACGCTTACCTCCAACACTTCAAGAACACGTGCCAGTTTGCTGACAACACCCTCATAGCTGCTCGTTTCAGCGTCTCGTTCAAAGACAAAGCAAAGATTGAATCGGAACTCGTTGCGAATTTGCTCGTACTTTTCGTGGTTGCGAATGGCGACAGGAAACCCAAGCACTTTGTACTTGTCAATGGAAACAGTGACGAGGCGTTTATACAGCTGCGGCTTGGGGATAATGTACTCTCGGATTGTGTCAAAGTCGATCAACGATTTGCTGGTCTTGGTGGACGCGGTGGTCGTAGTAGTATGGTTGTTGGCCGATGTCGCTGCTTTTTCGCTGCCAGGTTCATGCGCGGCAATGCTGCCTTCTGGCACTTGATGTCGAACGACACTGCCGATATGGACATCGAAGAGGGCATAGAAAATACTGTGGATACGGGGAAAGCCTTGGAATTCCATATGCAGAAGAGTGATTGAGGAGGAACAAGCGGGCTTGAGAATGGGATTCCTTGTGATAGCGTGAACCACGTGACTCGGCTCATTTACATATAGGCTTGATTTGACTACCACCAACATAGAGATGTACAAGCATAAGAAAATAAAGAAATGCCATACACGTTGCTAGAACTACCATGTCAAATATGCGTGAAAGCTTATTCGACCATTTTCGCATTGCCGAGCGAGATAAAGAAATGAGTCTCTCTCTTTGTTCACGCACAACAAAGGATCATTATCGTGTCTATATGTATTAGATTTACAATGACCAGAATGATGGTGAACCTCTTTCCCAAGTCATAGTCTCATGTCAAAAGCAGGATTTTATCATTGTAAGGTAGTACGCATAGTAGATGCATGCAGCTATAGTATCGCTCTTGAACCTACTTTCCAAGTCCGGAGCGTACTTGACTGGGGTGTTCATACGCCTTTTTACCGTCGACATTTATTCAATGGGCATCCAAAGCAAGCTTCATGTTATAAAGTCGCTTGATTCCCTTCTATACTATCACTTTGTATACATTTACTTTCTGGATGCAAGCCTGCTCCTTCTCATCTTTCGTGTCTTTTTACAACTGGTATGCTTATGCATAGTCACCATGACCCCCCCACTCTCAACTGATGGCGTGTTGTTGTCTTTATTAGCCGCTGCTTTCGTCAAGGGCGTTGCCACGGACATTACGAACAGCAACTGGTGTCGTAACGGCCGAGCTTGGTATATGTATATTGATACATGGCTTGAGTGAACCGGGGCAGCCTGGCATCCTGATTGATTTTGTTGGCAACGGTAAGTATGCAAGGGGATGACATGACTCGACCCTACCATTAACATGGATACGGTGTGTGTTATAGTGACGCATGCGAGTATACTACGGTTGATATGGCTGGATTTGATGATCTATGGTTTACAAATGATACGCATCTTCATGACCTTCAACTTGTCACTGCAAAATGATCTCGTTGCTACTACGGTCCCTGTACCTCCAGCCTTGGTTCCCGCCCTCGGTGCTGAAACGCTTACATTGATGCTTCCATCTTCAAATTCATCAAGGAATCGAGAAGAACAACAAGATGATCGTGATCCATTTTATCGTACCGATGATATGGTGATGGAGATTGAACTCAAGTCGTCCTTGCAATCCATTATGCAGCCAACACCCCAGGAACAAGACCCAGTCGATCGATTACCGGTATAATCATAGACATGCACACACACACACACACACACACGCCAAGTATCATCACCAGTGTCCCCATCTCAGGGAAGAGAACCATGTGCAGGACACACACACACCACATGTGTATTGTTGGATATCGATTGTCGGAAAGGACTGGTAAAAAAAAGTTGGATGGGCAAGTCACCAAGGATTCAGGCGGTGTGATGATGATTTCCAGAACAATCCTATAGAAAGGTGAGAGTGAGGTGTTTTCTCTCCCCCTCCATTCTACTGCAAAATAGAAATATAGCTATATATCCTTGTATTATTCTTTCTTAATGGTTGACTTAATATACTTTTACAATACATGTGTATGGATGACGAATATGACTTTTTCATTGTATGTACAGGCAAGATTTATTGTGAAATGGGCATATATAAACAGTCATAGAAGATGGAGTATATACAAATGACGGAAGGGAATGAGTGAATGGATGGTGAGATTAATGAGCGTGGATCAAGGCAGCTACAGAAGCCACAACCCTATCGGGAAATTGACGAGACATCATACGGTCGAGGATACATTTGGCCTTGGGAACGAGATTGTTGTCAAGATAAGCACGCACCATAGCTTCATAAGTAGATGGTTCACGCACCACCGTACCCTTGGGTGAAGAAGACTTATCATCCGACATGCGTTCAAACAATTCTTCAGCCTTGCCAATCCAGCCACGTTGACCATAACCACGCAACAACAGGTTCTCAATGTAAGGTGACGAGCTCTTGTTGGTGATACGACGACTCATTTGCTTGTAGACCTGCTCAGCACGTTCCAATTGGTCATTCGAAATAAGTGTATCGAGCATGGCTTGGTACACAACTTCCATATCCTGGTTGCTGGGGACGACTTGATCAAATACTTGCTGAGCACGATGAATGTCTTTGTGGATGGTTCCATAAGCATAAATAAGAGTAGCATAATGGGTTGGTTGAGGTCGAGCAATCACATGATCAAGGAGATGGTGAGCAGCATCCATGTCGAAAGGTGCAATGGTGGAATAAGCTTCCAACAAAAGCTTGTAGGTATGAGCTGAAGGTTGGATGTTGTATTTCTTGAGTTGCTCAAAATAAAACAAGGCACGTGAACGATCAGGCTGCTGACGAACGTAAAACTGGATCATGTTGTTGAAGGGACCAATGCGTAACTCATCTTGTTGACAGCCGCCACGACGTCGAAGCAACATCTCATCAAAGAGGCGGCAAGCATGAGCCTCAGAACCTGCTCTCACACAAGCTGAGATCACAGCACCATACGTGATGATATTGGGCGTAAGCTTGAAGAGGCGTTGCATCTCATCGAATAAGCGTAAAGCAGGTTCGAGCTTACGTGCTTTGGCGAGCTTGGAAATGACCACATTGTAGAAAAAGGTGGTAGGCTTGACGTGATGGCGCTTCGCCTCGTCATAAATGATAAGCGCATCAGCTGCTTCATCGGTAGTGTTTGCACTGTGAGCCATGCCGAGTAAAAGACTTGCATAAGCATTGCCATCAGGATATTGACCCATGCGTTTGATAGCATCATAATACTCCTTGGCTTGAACCATATCACCTTGCTGTGCGTGACCAATCAAGATACTGTTCGTTGCCATGTACACAGCCTTTTGTGCACGTTCTTGATCCAAATGCTCTTGATACATCTGCATGCTAAGCTCGTACATTGTGTGTGCTGATGACAGGTGACCTTGCTTGCCAGCCAATGCAATGGCATCTCGCATCGTTTCAGGGGCAGGTACAATCTCCTTGGCGACCAACTCTTCACGCACAATCCTCACAGCCTCCATCACATCGCCAGCTACCACAGCACGCATCACTTGCTTGGAGATACATTCAGAGGCTTGTTGTGGGTTCATCATGGCTTGCTGCTGCTGATCAAAGGCATTCTTCCAAAGGGTTGCATTCTTGCCATCCAAACGTGCAAGCACACGCAATATCAGATCCTGAGACACTTGAGATGTCATATGTTGTTGTACATCAAGAACAAAGGTGGCGAATGATTGTTCATCCTTGAGACAAGTGCATACAAGAGCTGCTTCCAATACGATTTCTGGATCACTGGTCTTCATCTCTTGCTGGTAGCGCGTGACAATGCGATCAGCCAAAGCGGTAGCTGGTAGTTGCAATGTACCGTTCAAGAGGGCTCGTGCTACGGCCAATAGATCCACCCATCCATTATCATCATCCTCCTCCTTTCCATCAATCGCATCAGCAATGCATACAGCGGCATGTGTGAGTCTTGTCGTAGCTTTGGTAATGGAACGAGTTGACATGACACGGATCACCTTGTCCAAAGCAATGGTTGCATCCTTGACCAATCCTTGTTGCAAAAAGCACATGATGATTTGCTCCGAGAGTACTGCATCAGGTTCCAAGCTTGCACAGCGCATATCATTGACCACATCGAGAGCCTTGGCAGGGTCACCATGACGAAGACACAACAAGGCATAGTTGGCCAAGTTGCCATAGGCTTTGCTGATATCCGTGCGAAGTAATGATGCATAGAGCTCGTTTGCCTTGTTGAAATCATTCGCTTGACAATACGCTGAAAGAATAGGACCATAGCTACTCGAATCAGGTGCCACCGCCATATTCGCCACCAAGGATTCGGCATCGAGCAGGCGGTCATGAGCACAGTAATGGCGGATAATAGCATTGTATGGAATGGTGGTGATCTTGACACGGTTGGCGGGAATGGCATGAGTGACGGTGTGAAGCGCCTTGTCAACAAGACCACATTTCAGGTAGGCGTCAACCAATGCAGTGTAAACGTGGCAGCATGGCGTGTCGGTGGTAGAAGAACTGTATTGATCAAAGTAGACAAGAGCAGCATCGATATCACCCACGCGACCGAACAAATTGATAAGAGCAGCATAGGTGACACTCGACTTTGGCATGGTATCCATTTGGTCATATACATGCATGGCACCCGTTGTATCACCATGATGCGACAAGACGCGTAGCAATTGATTGAAAGCATCCATTTGCAACTCGTGGATACATCCTTGTGCAAGTGCCTTGTCAAATAATAAAAGTGCCTTTTTCGCATTGCCTTCTTGCTGTAATTGAACCAGGTCATCCTGCTGCTGTTGCTGTTTGCGGTTGCTCACCACAACAAATCCACCCGCTCTTTCAGATTGACGTTTCAGCATGGCAATTGTCTTTTGGACTTCAATATCGCGCTTGCACAATGCTCGGATCATCACTGAATATGTATTGGCACTTGTTTGGATACCAGCAGCGAGCATCTCTTCATACACTAATAAAGAGGGACATATGTCAATCACCTATTATAGATAGCCATCCGTATAAATTCTTACCTTGTAACATGTGTGTCATTGGGGATCCTTCACGTCTCAATGTTGTATGTGCATCCAACACGATACTATAAGTTCGTTCACTCAACACGTATCCTTGGCGTTTGATGGCTGCAAATTCATTCATGACGGCTCGAAGTTGACCTTGGCGCTTGGCTGCCAATAGACGTTCATCTGCTACACGTGTCTCATCCTTGCTAGAGAGCAATTGTGGAGAAGCAGGTGGTGATGGTGGTGGTGTGAGAAGAAAGAGCTCATCGTCATCATCGCCATTCGTGCTACTGCTACTGCTACTCTCATTCTCACTGGATGATGATGATGATGATGCAGCCTTGTGTTGTCTACGTCCACCTTGACGACGACGATGGTGTTGTTGTGTTGATGGCTTTTTTCGCTTGTTGCAGTGATGTGTGGATGTTGTTGATGAAACGCTATGTTGTTGTTGTGCGGCAGAGATATGCATGTTGATGGATTGTGATAAAAGGGAAATGTAAAAGTAAACTTGCTAATCATCAAGATGATCAGCTTTTATATCGACCACGCACACGCATTATCACGTACGACTATGCAAATAGGTGTTTTTGTTTTATCTGATGAGTTGCTTGGGAGACGAGATATACTGGTTGTCCAATCACAATGTCGTTCACCTTCGTATCTGATGACATTCATGTCCCCCAAATTTGTGGCTCCTCTCGATTATCAGATCATGCCATTAGCCCCCCGCTGGCTGCCACTACTACTAAAAACCCATCACTGATTGCCTCTTGCGTAACCATTCGATTACCCTTATGCATTTTTCTATCATTTTCAACTACCACCACCACTACCCGCTTCTTCCTATCAGATAATAAAATGGCGGGGCCTTTTATATCGCTCCATCCATTTCTCCACCACCATTTCATATGCAAATGATAGAAAAGAAAAACGCACACACACGCACACACACACGCCTGTAATGCACAAGCAAAAGCACCTGATGTTATATTAACCAGCCTGCAACAAACAAGGATGGTTTTCCCTCCCCCATCCTCTTTTTTTATCCCATCGCAAAGCGAGAAAAGAGGACATGAGACACACCATAATAAGAATGGAATTCATGTAGTATATTCCTATGATGGAAATTCAAGACGTACATGATGGGTGCAGCATAGCACAACAACATGGGATGCCTTTTGTCTGACGGTGTTGTGTGTGTTGGTTGATACACAAATATACACAAAACATCACATTTTAGGCTGATGCCATTCTATCTTGGTTACACAATAGTTGTCGAAAATGAAGATCTGATAACATATCCATGATCGTTCTCACGAGTAGCCCAGTACCAATTTTACCTTTATACATCCATCCAAGCCGTTTGTATGCATAGGCATACCTGCTATCTATCACTGACACAGAAAAAAAAAGTAGTTTTATCAAGCATGACAACCGGGACAACCAAAAAACCATATGCACACGCGAGAATAGCAAAGGTTACACAGGCGAGGATACGTACCTGGGACCAACAATGTCACCTCAGTGACACGTTTTGCATGCTTTAGTTTACAAAAAGTCGATCCTTTTAACGCACATGTGGGGGGTTGGTGGGATTGCAAATCCTATACCAATGGATGGTGTAATTCGACATCAACACCATTTCTTCTATCAGATAGGTCTTAAAAAATACTGGACTCCGCTAACTAATACAAGATGACTACTGCTACCATCGCACCACATAATACCAGCAACCTGGATGATCATGAACCAAGAATATACACGTAATACGAAGTCCACATACATCCTCGAAACGACATAGTCACAAGGTTTCGATGTTTTGTGTCAACTTTGCCCCATGAAAGAAGGAACCTTCGTATATGCATTGATCACTATTTGGCTACCAAAAGCCATTATCCCAGTATAAAGATAGATACAGCCAGGGATTGAAATGAGCGAGAGCGTATTATCGAAGCACCTGAAGTATAGGGCATGATGCCATTGGGCGCCCAAAGCAAATAAAGGATGATAATGACACCCGTTGACCTCATTGTCTATAGCTGATCAACTCGCTTTCATTATTAATTTCACCCAAAAGAAGGGTTCATTATCAAAGACAAAGAACAAAGAACATCCACCCTTAGAAGGACGTCCACCCTAAAAGCAATGGATACATCCAAATGTCGACTTGTGTACATCATTCAATAGAGAAAGAAATCAGCATGCAAGATGTCAACTTTAAGCCTCAAAGATCCAAGGTAATTTATAGCTGATACCGATGCTAGAAGAGAACGAATGATAAGGACTAACTTGGTATATGATTTATGGTAGTGATAGTAACTAGATGACATATGGGGAATAAGAAAGGACGAAAAGCAAAGAGATGTGACGACCAATAGGGTGATCATATTGAAAGAAAAGTGTCACGTGGAGCAATGGTGATGAGATCTAGGTCTTTCCATGGTGATACGAAAAAAATAGGATTTGAATCAAAACATGGAGAGAAAAGTGATATCCATATTTACCGGATCCAAGGTGGATTCCAAGACGTGTCCCTTCAAGTAGTGGTGTGATTCTTGCAAGTTGTATGGCTGCCACCTTGTGTGTGATTGGGTGGAATAGTAAAGAGAGGAACATCAGATATCCAATCAAGCTGTCACTGAGTTTAAGTATTCAATGCAATGGGCTGTCAAAGCGTTTGGGGACCACACAGTAACTGTGATGTTGATCCATGAGATAGAGCATCCGGCTTGTTAATGATATTCAAACTACCTATAAAGTTGCAAGTGTTGGGTATTTGCATGTGTCTTTTGAAGATGTGTTACCCACTCTCGATTCGGAGTCATTCGACGAAACACACTCTTATCCTCCAGTACTCATCTCTCTCTCTCGCTCTCGCCCTCACTTTTTTTTTTCTCCCTCCACTTGTTTGTCAGCCTGAACTCGCTGCAGTGGGCGCTTTTCACAAGCACTATTTTTTCCCTTTTTCCTTTTGCTTTCTTTCTCGGGCGTCTCGTTTGTTCATGATCGCAGCACCGTCAAATGAAATGGCAACACTTTTTGCAGCATCAACGTCGTCGGAAGGCAACAAAGGCAGTGGTCGTGAAGGCAACAGTCTAGGCCAACAACAGTACCCAGCAACGACCGTACCTGATCTTGCACCTTCCAATGTCAACCCATCGAGCCACAATGCACGAGGTATGTTATAAAAGTGACATAAACGATAGATAATGGAAGCGGTTTATAACGACGTTTGTGTTTCTAGAATGTCCCTTGCTTGATAATAGCCACACATCCACTTCTCCTACAGACCCCTCGCCTTCAGTTGCTACCGAATCATTGCCGTCGACTTATGCCACACTCCCACGAACAACAAAGCTGGATGAGGAACCCAATCCTTTTGAACAAAGTTTTTCCAGTGGTATTGACAAGGAGGATAACCGAAACATGGGTAACAGCAGCAACAACAACAATCGTCGCATATTACCTCCATTGGCAGCGATCGATAGTCCAACTCGTGGTGTCATTTCTCGAAAGGATGAGATCATTTGGGATTCTTTACGCAGTGGGCCTTTATCGCCATCCATGTTGACGGGTCCTGCAGAAGATAAACGATCAAGATTATCGGATCATCATCATCATCATCACTCTTGTAAGTTGAACGTAGTAGTAGTAGTAGGAAGGATCAAGGGCAAGGAACTCATGTATATTATTTAAAAGCGTATCCAGGGCAACAGCAGCAACAACAACGATCAGGTAGCATGATGAAATATGAAGTCATTCCATCCGCTATTGTGGACCGTGCGCAAACGGTATCATCGACATCCATGTATAATTATGCTGCATCAACTGCACCCGCTTCCGCTATCGTCGCACCATCATCAGCACAAGCACCAGGACGGGAAACGACTGGTCAAGTGGCGCCATCCAATGACGAATTCCCGCCGCCTCCACCAAGTTCGTTTGTGAAACGAAAATATCCAACGTCCGCTCATGTTACACCACCTCCACCACCATCATCAACAACAACAGCCGAGATCATTCATGAACATCCAAGTATCAAACGTCGTGCACAAACCAAATACGTCGACGATGAGGAAAAACGTAAAAACTTTTTGGAAAGAAATCGTCAAGGTAAGTTTTAGGATTGGATTGGAAAAAGTGCAAAAGAAACTTAGTGGGATCCCCTTTTATTAGCTGCCTTCAAGTGTCGACAACGTAAAAAGCAATGGGTACAAGATTTGCAAAGTAGTGCAGAGTATTTGACAGCCACCAATGAGCAGCTCAAGATGGAAACCGCAAGACTACGTGAAGAAATCTTCCATTTGAAATCCTTGTTACAAGAACATACGTCGTGTCCTTTGAATCCACAAGCAGTGCTGGAAGCGATCAATCGACCTATACCACATTCAGACACAATCACTCAATATCCACCAACTTCAACTGAGTCCTCACCATCAACAGCGATCCAACGCATTTAATATCGCTTTACTCAATCATATCACTTCTTCTTCTTCTTAACTTACTACTACATCCTCTTTCTTTTCTCTATCTCGCATCTTTTCGCATATACATCAACACGTTTTATATATCCTCATTGGCTTGATTATGGTTATGTTGTTTTGTGGCTGTTTTGGATGGACAAAGAGGAAGAGTATGGGGTTGTCAGGGAGTGAATCATACGTGGGTATATGCTCGATGACAGCATTTCGACTTTAGTCACTCAACTTGGATGGCACGCTTCAAGCGACATTGGTAGACAACATGGGCTTGGATCATCCATATGTGATTAATCAATTCAAATCCATGCATTTTCTTCTGTATCAAGGTAGTAAAACAACGTTTTATTCGTGAACGTATAAGAGCTGATGACAATCAACAGGATCTCAGTACTAGCTGCAACAAGCCACAACCCGATCTCGTCATCGTTGCTATTGGATACATGGTTGTCATGGATACAAACAAGCTGTTTATTGAGTCGACAAAGGAATCACAAGGGATTTCGTTTATAATGTTGTCAGTCAAGGACAAAGCGAGTGGGTGCAAATGGTTGGCTAATGTGACGTAGTTTTGTTGGGGCCTGTCGTCTTTGACACAAAATTCAGCTTGTCTCTGTAACCTCCCTCTCTCTTTGCACTTTTGATATCCAAGCATGTTTCGAGCATTGTCCCGCGCCCACACCTCCACACCAACAACATGCTTCCGAGGTTAGAGCAACCATTTCGATATACGTAAATTGAGACGATCGTACCAACCTTGCCATGTTTACCAATTTAGCAACCCGTGCCATCCATGCTCGATCGGCTGTCAGACAACAACAAGAAGCCATTGCTCCCAAGATCGATTCTGCACTATCAGCATTTGGTGCACGTATTGGTTTGCAGTCCTTGAATCCTGCTGTTCTTGAGCAAGCTGTGACGCACTCGTCGGCAGAGGAGAATAAGGGCAATCAAGATTTGGTGCTTCTTGGTGAGTGTTATAGGAACTTATAACAAGCAAGTGACTGATGGAGAGAGTAGGTAAACGGGCAACTGGTCTCTTTGTCACCGAATATTATCACAGCAAATATCCCAACATGCACATGGAGGGCTTGAACAAGGTGATTCAGTCACATCTCGTCTACAAATCCGTATCCAAGGTCGGCACACAACTCGGATTACAGGATGTGATGCGTTGGGATCGTAGCACTGTTCAATCGGTAGCATTGGGTGAATGTTTATATGCACTTGTGGGTGCTGTGTACAAGGAACAAGGTTTCGATGCTGCCAAACAACTCGTCCATGCACACATTCTATCACGTGACCTCGACGTACGACCCCTCGTCAAATTCAATGATCCTAAGCGATACCTCTCCGCTCTCATTCGCAAACTTGGCAAGGAAGCACCCGTCTCCCGATTGCTTTCCGAAACCGGTCGTCATTCAAGTGCACCTGTTTACGTCATTGGCGTCTTTTCTGGTGAGACAAAGTTGGGTGAAGGTTTTGGATCCTCTCTCAAGATGGCAGAATTCAGAGTAAGTGTGTGGGAGTGAGCACTCTTATATATATCTCTAATCATGTGGGTTTATTGGATACACACAATAGGCTTGTCAAGATGCATTGATCAGTCACTATGGTAAAGAGGAAAAGGATTTCATGCTGCCATCGGATGCAAACAATGTCGACAATTACAAGCCCCCTGTATTGGGCACAACTGAAGCCATCGTTTAAAATATATAAGAGAGAAAAAAAGACCGTAAAAAAAGACCCCTTCTTCATTAGGCTGTAAAATAGACGCCCTCCTATTCACACAATACACATACATAAAAAGTTTTCGAATAGTCAATTATGCATCCACATCTCCACTGTATCCATTTCTTGTGTTACCTGTGCCATCCATTTTGTGTTCTTGGAGGATGATTTGGCAGCTGCTACTTCGAGTTGACCTGGGATAGGCTGGCCATACTTGTGTTGTGCGCTTGATGACAGATAGTACTTGGTATCCACATGCACAAATTGTACAGGCTCTTCACGAAGCCAATGCTTGGTACTTGAGCTTGAACATTGCACTTTCCAATCATCACCTAGTTTTCTCCATGTGAGGTTGTTGTTCTTCAATGTCCATCCTTTTTCATTGTATGTTACCTGTATCCTCTCCATCAAAGCAGCTGACTTCTTGCTGATGCGATAAAGGTGAAATATGCTGATGGCTGTGTAGATAAGCTTTTGTGTTGGCATGTTGAAGACGAATGTCTGATCCACATGGTACAGGTTCCCTAATCATCGATACATATCAATATGGACCTTTCCTTCCCCTTGTTACAACATCACACATTACCCTCGCTTGCATTGTTTGCCTACAGCTGCTCGTACGATCCAATAGCTGTTGCTATCATCATCCTCGGGAAACGCAGTGATGGATTGTTGCTGTGATCCACTTCCTATACACGCCCACCCCCCCCCAACATGGTTCAGCACTCAGGTACAACCAACATCATCATCCTCACATACCATAAGCAACGCCATGGGAATGCAACTTGTATCCAGTAGACTGACTCGTAAACTTGACCATGCTGCCACAAGTCACCATTTCAAAGCCTGATCGATCCCCAGCCATATTCAATAACGTGTAAGTGAGCGATGGATGCCAAAGGAGGTTTGGAATTCATGACTCACCATCTTCCACTTCAGGTACATTGGATGCAGCCCATGCCAAAGGTACAATGGCCAATGCAAGGAGATTCAACTTCATTGAGCAAGCGTGTATCGATGGAAACCAAAAGCAGTTGGCATCCCACCCCCATTAGCATGCCGCCACGACCGAAATTCAAATCACGTTACACAAGGCATTGCTTATTGACACGTATGAGTTCAAACTGTTGATTCTGAAGTTTAGCCATATAATGAGCACAACGCAAAGGATAGTTGGGTTGTAAAATACAATAAAATGGTGATGATGGGTAAAGAGGTCTACCAATGATGATGAGGTCAAGGGGATTATGGATGCGTGGTGTAGTAGTGGCCATAGAGGAGTAAAAGCAACATGAGCAATATCACATGATTGAAGGATACGGCGTGTCTTTATCAGATCTCTCTATGTTGTGTGTATTTGCTGCTCCTTTTTTAATGCGGTCTCTGTTTCATTCTCTTGTCATCCTCGTATACTTTCTTCGTTTTCAGGCCTTACTATCTTCTGCATACATGTTTTCTCACGCCCTGATGTCTCCTCATCATGTTGCCAATGCCAGGCGGATTTGTTTGCTGGTATCAAGGAAGAAGACTTAGTCTTGTTGGTACTACGTACCATCCTATCACTTTTTCAGCTCATCATGCACCAATCTATCAATTCTTGCATTATCCGAACAGAAATTTATCACTCTTTCCTCCTTTTTGTGCGCAATGGAAATTCGCACGCCCACCAAGTGCATATAAACAAGGATGTTGTCACGCATCGTCCATCACACATCTCTTTTATCTATTACGTATACTTTTGATTGCTTCAGCTATCCCAAGTAACGGGTGAGTGTATCATATTTGCAACCCTGTGGATCAGCGCTGATCTTTGTGGTCATTTACAAAGGTGTCATTGTTTTCCTACTTTCATTGTCCTGGTTATCATTATGATCTTTAAGGAGGTATACAAAACGCAATCATCGCTTTTCTATTTAACGAATCACATACATACCACATTTCTTTGATGTAGCTATATCTCCCTTGATGCAGCAGCAAAGTGGCAATACCAACCATAGGATGCTGCATTTAACAAGATGCAAAGCAAAGGTCCGGTTATTCTTGAGGCTACAAGGAGTACGTTGACAAACAAGTACAATGAATCTGAACCAGAGTTATTCACCTTCATAACCGGTACTCTTACCGAAGGTACGTGAATAAAGTGATGGTGACAAACTTCGTTCTTTATGCTCATTTTCATTGGGTATATATTGCTAGTAGATCAAAGACGTGTACCATGCCCCTCCAGGAGTGGTAGACAACCGGAACAATGTGACTTGGGCAGTGAACAGGTAAGTAGAAATGTCGCGGTAGGCTATTTCATCATGCTAACGGACAACTTGAAGATGTGGCGAAGTTATGCCGAGCTCAACACAGAGAAACAGACAATAAACAATGTACAGCAAAGGTTAGTGTCACTGTTTTGGTTTGATGCCATTGAGCGAGGATGTACTGAAGAAGCACAATGTCAAAGGTATACTCCTTTCCATCTGCCCTCGTATGAGAGCTATGCATCAAGAACAAGCCGTCGTCAAATACAAGTTACCACTCTTGGACGGAGCCGCAATGACATCAAGGACTATGGAACACGACTAGAGACGCTGTATCAATGACAACTCCAATATCGAATTGACAACTTTTATTACCACCAGCAGGCTTCAAAGTCGCCACCGTCTCGTAAGTTTATTCTCTCGTTGCTTAATACCATATTCAGTGTGCATAACTCAGTGATAGATCATGCAAGTTTTCAGATTCAGCTGCCATGCATCCTGCTCAAATCCAACACCTTCAGCTTTTCTCTTTATGCTTGTCCCCCAGCTATTCGCAGCAACGACTTCAACAATGTCACCTCTTCAATTAACAAGAACAACGCAAACCAAATTCGACATTGGGTTTCAACGTTTATTGGAGAGGAGTTGTCAACCTGTTACGTCCTTTCATTGTCAACCCACGATCAACCAACACCCACAATGGACCCATTTCGACAAATGCCAACCCAGTTTACACGACATTCACTCGCTTTTGGACAACTAGAGGCTCCAGTTTAAATACGATGTTCATCGTTTATCGCGCGTGGCATGGGGTGCTCTTTTCACATCTCTTCGCAAATCCAGCATTAAGTGTGACCCACGTACCGACAAATCCAGGGCAACTTGATACCTGAATCGAGTAACCATGATTGCCAGGTTTGGGCCTTCTGCGAACGACATGGACAAGAATCCGCCACCCGAGAATACGCAAGCCAACCACAAAGTGACACCCAGCGGCCAATGAGTCGCAGCAAGAAGATCAGCAGGATTCAAAAGCGTATCAATGATCTACAACGAGAGTATATGGAGGTAGCCACGAGATTCCTTGTCGATGAATTCGATATGATCATCATCTCCAGGTACCCGGTGAGCCTGATGACCCAGAAGGTACAGGGATACAAGAAACGAAAGATATCAGCAGAGACGGCTAGGAAGATGCTGACATGGTTGTCAGCTGATTCAGGTCAAGGTCCCAGATCATGTATATTTTCACGACATGTACGTAGGTACAGTACCAGGGATATCACAATGCTATTGGTAATCTCATCCTATTCCCTTAGACTGTATCCGTTTACCAGCCACTATAGGCACCGGGAACAAAGATGCAAGCCATTTTCAGCAAGGGCATCTGCTCACGATGCAAACCTGAATCTAATTTTCGGGTTGGAGAACCTTGAGTATGTATGCAAACGCGAGCTCTTTGATAAGTTGTGTATGACTAACTCGGGCCTATCGATGCAAGATTGGCGCAAAAGTGGTGGTAAACGACAAAGAAAACTTACCAGGCGAAATCTCGTGATGCGAATTTCTCATCAAGATGAAGAGGTCATTATGGAAGAAGCAGAGGCACTCTGTATCGAGATCGTATTAGCATACGGAGATGCATGTTTCGATGCCAACCACATTGAGAAGCAAATACATGGGGAGAAGACAAGGCACTTGGATGAATGAATAGGATAGTTCATGGTAGACACGATAACACGATATGTGTATGGGATAAAACGAATTTCCTTGCTCGATTGGAAGACATGTGGTTTTGATTTCTTTGCTGGTGTTGCAACTACTACTATTATCAAGGATGAATGTGCTGGATCAAATTAGAGGTCTGGATGCATCTATGACGTATTCTCATCATCCAAGAAGGATTCAATTGAAAGGGGATAGATAGAGAGAGGGTATGTAGAAGCCAACAAACACCTTGTTATGGTGATGATGATGGTGCCATCCAAAGATAGTAAAGTCAAGGAGAAGTATATACATGTATATATATACCTAGAATCAGGAGGGAGTGGTGGATCCAACCTTTTCTCCTGAAAAAGTGGATAGCTTTGGTAAGCCATGCTGCGTATTTCATCACCATGTCGTCATGATGCCCACGTTCTGGGATGATGTGTACTTTTTCGGACCTTGTTTCTATTTGTTTGTTTGTTTGCTGATCAATAGCATCAAAGGGGAATAGTTGGAGCATTTTATGCACTACATGAGCCATGCACATGCAACGCTAAAATATGACTCAGCTCAACGGGCGGTAGTATCCTCTTTTTGTAATGTAGTGTGAAGAGCGCAATACCAAACAATAGCTCATTGGTGGTGGTGGTGGTGGTGATGGTGGCAATTTACATTTGTGGTGAGTGTATACGTTTAATGTATTCTGCAAAAAGAATGAAAGTAAAATCCAACATACATTAAAAGCTTAGTTACCAAGGGGGAGGGGGAGAAAGAGAACGAGCTCGTCATTCATCATCGGCTCCCTATGTATATACAACGAGAATGAAAGGGCGGGAGGAAGGGAGAGAGTAAAACAAGGGTGTACTATCCTTGCATCATTTGTCAGTGCATGTGTGGTGTACCGAAGAAAAGGATCCTGCGGCAGATGTAGGAGAAAAATCACGTCAATGTTCCCATGGCAAAGTTACACAGGCACGCGTTGTTGGGTGTTGGTGGTCATGGTTTGTGTATAGGTTTATATATATTTCTTGTCTCTTCACTTGCACATTCTCTCTCACTCTCCGAAATACCATTGGACTCTCTTTTTCCCTCTCACTTCTTTTCTCTCTCTCTCTTTTCTTTTTGTTTAAAGGTGTTGAGTCCCGAGATCTGATCCATTCTTTCTCTTTTTCTTTTATACTCCTCTTTCTCTTTCTCTCTATGTCCAATGAACTACCAGATTTCATTTCAATATATGACAATAGCGAAGCTGCACATCTTGTCTATCTTTCGGATAGTGTAGTGGATGCTATTGGATGGACGCCCGAGGAACTAGTAGGCAAGCGTGGATTTGACTATTTTCACCCAAACGAGATCCCGTCATTGGCTCGGGTGCATGCCGCCAGCGTGATGAATGAGAAATTGTCGAGCATGGTGCGTTACCACACGCGACACAAGGATGGCCATTACGTGGAGGTGGAGACAGTGGTGCATTACTGCTACGATGTGATTGTGTGCACCAACTTTGTATACGATGCGAATGACACTGGACACAAGATACGAAGCACGATGGCTGACGAAGTATGGTCAGTGGATATGAATGGCACTGTGCAACTTGCTGGCAGCTGGGGCGACAATCAAGAACGTGTACGGCAAACATTGGAAAGCAGCGAACAATGGATTCAGGAACAGCAGCTGAAAACGAAGCAAGAACCAAGATTCTGCATGATCCTTAATCGCTTCACGTGTGATTCGACGATTGTGTTTGTCTCGCAAATGGCTGAACGTATTGTGGGTCTCGATTGTGAGCGTGCTCTCGGGAAATCATTATTGAACTTTGTTTGTGAGCGGGATGTGGACACTGTACAGGCTCAGCTGGATCTCATCAAAAGCAGCGGCATGATTATGCGCCTTCGTTTCGACTGGGTCATCGATGACAATGGTTCTTCAACAACTCAAGCCGTAGAAGCAATTGCTTCTTCTACAAATGATGGTCTCGCTGTCGTCTTTCGTCTTGCTCCACGTGTAACTATCAACTAATTATTCCCCTCCCCTCCCCACATCCAATGTGTATCCATGTATATATATAGACCCCAACTCTTCCTTCATCCTCCTTCTCTATATCCCAATCTCCTCTCTCTCTCTCTCTCTCTCTCTCTCTCTTCACACACATTCATATATCGCGCGATCACCTTAATAGATATCTACATGATGACACATGTGTGCATGGAAACTTTTTAAACGAATTGAAATACATATAAATCATCGTCAATAACGTGAAGGGTTCCGTTTTTATGTATCAAACAACACACCAGAGAGGAAAGAAAATCAATATGGTACAAGGGCTATGGAGTGAAGAATGAAAAAGACATTCTTTGTATACAAGGAAAGAGAGAGAGAAAGAAAAGGGATATGTGTGTGTGTGAAATCTCGCTCTCTTGTTTTTTGGTGTGTGCACACACGCTCTCCTATTAGCCGTGTTGGTGTTGCTGATTCGTGGTCGATGATGATGCCAAGCTGAAACGATGATGATGTTGATCGGGCCATACAGCACGTTTGGCGTGTACTCGTAAATGGCGACGCATGTTGCTTTGCACACTGAATTTCCTCGAACATCCTGGCTCAGTACACACAAAAGGTTTTTCGCCTGTATGCGAATAGGTGTGGATACGTAACGAGGATGGACGTGAAAATCCCTTGTCGCAATAAGGGCAATGGTATTTTGTGGATCCGCCTGAGGATGATGTGGTCAATGTGGTCGGTGTTGTTGTCATCATCATGGTTGCCATGGATGCAGGGTGATCGTCATCACTGCTATTGTTTGCCAACCCTTCCTCATCCTCTTCATCAGGATGTTCATCCTCTGCCATGGAAGAAGGCGGCAGCGGCCCACGTTGTAGTATGAAATCCAATGAATTGGTTGAAATGGCTCGTCGATGCGAAGAATGATTGTTGTTGTTGGATGATGATGATGATGATGGAGGAATAAAAGAGACATCTGGATAGGGATGCGAGAAATCAGAAAACGATCGCATGTGTGTATTTCTTGATGATGACGATGATGATGATCGTTGTTGTTGTTGATGATGACGAGGTTGGGGTGGTGGTGTCAAAAGCAAAGAGGGTTCATCAAGACGAGGTTCAATCGGCGCTGCAGGTTGAGCGAGTGTCAACTTTTGCATTCCATGCGTAGCTACAGCCATTTCGAGTCGTGGATGATATGATGTAGTAGTAGTGGATAGCATGTTGTCGGATAATGATACATGCCGTCGATGACCACCACCACCACCGCCGCCGCCGCTCATCGACATTCCTACTGGCTGTTGATGCTCAGCATAGGGCACACAGTCATCTAACACACAAAATCCATAATCCAGGTTTGGGTTAGACACACACATCATCGTGGTCGCCAAGACAAATCATCCTACTAGTAAACCTTACCGCGCGTATGAGTAGCTGCTGTCGCACCTTGCAGCATACTTTCAATGGAAGGAAGCTTGGGTTTATCCATAGCGGTGGTACCTTAGACTGGGTCGAGATTCAAAGCTGTCGAATGAAACGAGTTTGAGATCGCGTAACGATGGCGTTATGGTGTTGGGGTAGTTAAGCCGGTCAAAGCGCCAAGAGAACCAAAGAGTGCGTAAAAGAGAGAGAGAGAAGAAAAAGAAGAAGACGATAAGGAATGGAGATATAGATTCGTCACTCGAATGATGCTGGGAATACGATAGATAAGAAGAGAGAGAGAGAGAGAGAGAGTATGAAAAAAAAAGAAAGAGGAGTGGAAAAAAGGCAGCTCCTCCCTTTCAAAAAGTACAACAATTAGAACCATCAGCATTGCTGATCACTTGGTACCACCCATGTACCCTTTGAACAAAACAATCGGATGACCTATTATTCCTCCTCTCCCTCCTCCCTTCCTTTTTTTACCTTTACAAAGATCCTTCCGATAATACCATCATCTCCTATTCATTCATCTTGTAACAAATGCAATTGATATATTGGAAGAGTGGCAAGTAAATAGAATAGGAGTGCAATTGCAGCTCGGATATCATGCAATAACATGTACGGTCATTCATTTACAGGTGATGAATTATGCAATGTGATGATCATTACGAAAAAAGAGTCCTCTCTTGTCAACCTTATCCCAATGAACATTCTCGATCCCCCAATGGCTTCCAACCGGGACATCTCATCCGGATCCCGTACTTCCTTTCCCCAACCATGCATCTCATCATCCCCTATTTCCGATGGCCAATGTCGTTTTATATATCATGGCGTGTCGTCTATGTGTACGTATATATCATGCGGGCAATGTAAAGGGTTGTTGTGGGAGTATACATGTGTGAGTGAGTGTGTGAGTGCGTGTGTGTGTGTGTGCGTATGTGTGCGTGTTGAAGTCGATGGTCGTTGTTGTTTTGTGTTGTGAACTTAGTTGGCGTTGGCACCCTTTGCGCTACGAACAATCTCTGCAACGGTAAAGTGCTTGTTTTTGCTCAAAGGTCGGCATGCCTCGATACGGACAACATCGCCCAAACCACAGAGTTGGTTCTCGTCGTGTGCAAGGTAGTTCTTGTGCGATTTGATAGTCTAGGTACCCAATGAGGGAGCATGTAAACAAACGGAATAAAAGGCACAGTTGTCATGTTGGTAACATACCTTGAGAACGATAGGGTGCAACTTTGAGCGAGTGACCTTGACCTTGACAGTCTTTTGCATGGCATTGCCAACCACCATTCCAATAAAGTTCTGCCGCATGTTGAATGTGTGTACTTGACCAAGTGTGCAAGCCCAAAGAAAAAATCCAGAGCCGCTGTTAAAACCAGTAGCAGTGGCTGACGTATATACAAAATCAATCCACGTGACAGCGGAGAGAGAAGGGATGTTGTTGCATGGCAACTGTATGTGCACATACACACCACTCAACCAAATACCTATGATACACGCATCCATTCTTCATGATCAGCATGGCATATCCTATAATCCGCTCCTGCTATTATAAAATGACAATGAGCTATAGCGTAATTTCAAGCGTGGATGTAGTCAATGTTATAAAGCTAGACGCCTGAAAAGATTTGAATAGCAATAATTGATGATGCCACCATTTCCCTCTCTGATAATAAAGATGAGCCATAGCCTTGTAAATATGATCATTTTATATCAAGGCACAAGCCAATTTGGAGGTGTTGTGTAGAAATCTGGGGTACACTAACGACCACATTAATCCAGCCCAGTCTGTGACTTGATCATCCCTTCTTTCATCCACCTTTATCCGCACACATAATCTTTATCTCGCTTGTCATTGTCCATATCAACCATGAAAAGTACTATTTTACGACTAGCACGCTCCACCTCGGCTCCACCCCCTTTACCAAAGTTTTTCAAAGACACCAACATTTCCTTGGCCCATGTAAGTGTGCACCCCCATGAGCTTGCGATCGACCATGTCCCATTGCGTACGTTTAGCACTCACATGTATACACAACACAGTTTATGGTGCGAGGTCAGGTGATTTCTCTTTATCGTGATATTTTGAGATGCACAAAGGGTAAGTGGGATGTCGTTGTTTGCATGATAGAATCACTCATGCATGAGATGATGAACCAGGTCTTGATAAGCAAAGCGCAAGAGAGATTCGAGATTTTGCACGAGCAGACTTTGAGCGTTATCGAAATGAGAGGGATTTGGTAAGAAGTGAGGATCGACATGGGCATGTGTGAATGTCATGATACTGATGGGTTGCATTTATCTTTTAGGACAAGATCCGATCATTGCTGTCATCTGGCAAACAACAAATGCATTCTCTAAAGGCATCCGTTGACTTGGCCCACGCAAGCCGATAATTGTTTATATAATACACATTATTCCCCCCTCCCATCCCACCACCATCATCCATTGCGTTGCGTTGGCCAATAAATCCTTGCATACATTTGACGCCTGAGCTTGTTTCTTTCAAGAGCCATCACACACACACACAATACACGACATTTTCACCTTTAAAAGTATGCCGTATCCAGGGGTATACATACACTTGCCATCAACCTGGCTCATATGGATCAAAATGGGTATGCCTCAATATACGTAAAAGTATAGCAACATTCTTTTCCTAGTCGTGGATAAACGTGCAACCACACATGACCTGAAACAATAGAGAAAAAGTGATGTGACCTACAATTGTTATTGGCTCCCTGAGGATCATTGTTTAACACACAAACATAAAAGGTTTAGGTGAGGGATCACCAGTTTTCCTGTATTTGACATGTAACACAAATGTGGGGGGTGTGATAAGAGATGGGGTTGGCTATTGTTATGTACAGAGAACGATTTTTAATTGACATAGCAAAGAAAGAGTGGGAGATAAAAGAATGATGCAAGATGGGTAAGAAATGTTTTTAAAATGGGGTGTTGAGTTTTTTTGTGAAAGAGGATGATGGTTGTTGATGTTGTTGTATGGATGGCATGTATGGCTTGCTTCTTACTCGTCCTTTTTGCGTGACATAACCTCCATGCCATGCTTGAGAACACCAACACGCATACTGGTCAAGAGATTGCGAGCACCGTTAGAGTGGTTGTAAACGGCACCGTTGAACTGGGTGGTCATGTCCTTGCCGATACCATTGCGGATGTACTTTTCACCACCAGGATGGTTCTCGATAAAGTTCTCCATATCGTACAAGATACCTTCGATCAAAATCCATTTCTTGTTTTCATTGACAACAAGGTTTTGGAATTCGTCCCAGGTGAAAACGGGCAAATCTTCAAGACGAGTGCCATAGGTAAGCTTGCGCTTGATAGCAGCAATCTTCTTTTCTTGCATTTGGATCTGGCCCTTGGTCACTTCGTTGGAGGGGAATTGCTTCAAATCATAAGCGAGACCGGCAAATGAAAGCAACTTGATGAGCCACTTTGTGGGGTCGTATTGATAGTAAACAATGGCATTGCGATAATCTTGAGGGAATTCGTGGTGGAAGTTGTGGTATCCTTCACCCATGGTCACAAGAGCAGTGATCCAGTGGTCGCGTGGGGTGTGATGATCATCGAAGGAAGTCTCACCAAGGTAATGTGCCAAGCTGTTGACGCAAAACGTAGCATGGTGAACAAAGGTAAGACGGCACAAACCAGCATAGTAGAAACCACCCTAAAAAAAAGTTCAAAAGTTAGTCATCGGAGGTCTCATAAGAAAAAAAAAAAGATTTGCTATATACATACTCTGAAATCTCCCCAACCAAGACCAGCCACCAAGGTAGGCAAGAGGAAACCAAAAGCCAGGGCAAAGTAGGGGTAGTACTTGTGTTGGATGGCAACAACGGATTCAGCCTTAAGATCGGCAACATCGGCATGGCCAATACGGTTCTTTGGGCGGTTGACAAGCATCCATCCAAAGTGAGAAAAGAAGAAACCACGGTGAGCGCTATAGGGATCCTTGTCGGTATCGGTCCAGCGATGATGGGCACGATGGCCGCGAGACCACCAGTAAATGGAACCTTCAACAGCACCACTGCCTGCAAAGCAATAAAGCCATCGAAGAGGAAGGGTAGCTCGATAGGCACGATGGGCCCACAAACGATGATAACCTATTTGCGGAAAATTGTGATTAGTACCACGTTTTACTTTGGCCCCAAAACTGCGAGAACAATGGGAAATAACAATTACCAGCTGTGATACCGAGACCGGTAATAAAGTAATAGATAATGGACCAGATCATTGTCTTTTGCTGCAATTCAGTGGTAAATGCACCATACAAGCCGAGCAAAGGAACAGAGATCAAGAGAATGGATTGAGGCCAATTGACGTGCTTGTGCCAGTTCTCCCAAGTAGTAGGCTCATCAAAGAGTGGTGGCATCTTTGTCTTTTCAAGAGGAGGCTTTCGGTCCTCTGATTTTGTGTATGCGTAGATAAAAGTGTCGGTAGCCGTCATCCTCGTTATGTTGTGTTGTGTATAGGAGGAAGGAGGTGTGTCAGGGCAAAAGAGGGAAAGAGAAGGAAGAGGAGGAAATGTTTTTCTTTTTTTCTCTTGGTGTGGTGTTGCGGTATATAATCCAAAGCCTTTGAAACAAGATGTTGCTTTATATTGGATTGCGGAGCTATCGAGGTTTTTTTGTTGGCCACTTCCTTTGGGGCAGTGGGGCGGGATGCCATCCAATAGGAATGACGAGATTTTATCCTAGCAATCGTTTACAAGTCGTTTTGCGCCAAATGTCCCTCACAGCCAACAGGGGAAAAGATACAGCCTATCGGCATGTGTTATTGTGAATGCCGATTGTAGCCATTTACGGCCATATCGTGCTGACAAAACAACGCACAGCCAGCCCAAAGACGGTGGTATTCGATCTGCATTATACCCAATCTTTGGTCTCTTTGTTGACATTTTGTCATAGTTGTCGTCTACATGTGATAGATAAATCCCTTTCTCATTATGTCTCCCTTCTCAAAGCACGTTTTTCTTTTCCATGTGGATGGATGGTAAGGTTTTTTGTTTTCCATCAAACCCCTCATTTTGGTGTGTGTGCTCTGGGATCAGCCCACATTTCATAATCCTCTCTCACCCACTTTTTGTGTCTCCACTACATGAGCCCTGTTTCAGTCGATCCAACAACTTGCCAATAAGCTGCCACGCATAATGATGCACAAACAACCCACTTCCCCAGCTCCAATTGTTGGGCTGTTATCGATGCTTGTTTGCTACTTGGTTATCAATCTCATGTGAATGCTTTGCTGCCAATCCTTCCGCTGGTATGTGTCGCGGGGATTCACCTATACAACGTGTCAAGAAATGCTCGGCTTCTTTACATTTCCACATGAATCGATCCAAACACCATGTTGGGAATGGTTCATATGATGCCAAGCACTTTCTCCATTTGTACTCGCTGACTTTTGTAATATTCGCCACCATCACAATTTTGGCTGGGAAGGATGATCAACAACCCGATAATGATACATGATGTGGGTCATTCTCTAACGTATATCCCACGTGCTATAAGCACATGCGCTTTTAAAAGTAATTCCTTGTTCCCGTCAAATTGAATGCCACATCTTGGATGTAGTCATATTACATGATGTCGTTTGTTTGTTAGCTTGTCAACTTGACAATAATAAAGGGAGCATTCTTAGCCATAATGGTGGCGTAAACATTGAGAACAACTTGTAAATATCAATTGATAGGCAATGAGCTATGAATAAGCAGATCTGTGTAGTCGCATGCCTTGATGGCAGTTGACAGGTCAGGCGTATGCTATCGAGAGTAGTAATCTATGTCAGAGCTTTAGGGTTACACAAGTCTATTATATGAAGCTGGGTGTCACCATAAGCAATGGATGGTATTGGCTGTGAGAAGCTGCAGCCCGTGCGCTGCTACAACAATCATGCATGATATGGTGGATGTATAATTTGGCTATGTGGATTGAAAGCCACCATGCTCATGATACCTTTGCGATGATGAAACGTATCCACGCAATGGATTAGTGATGTTGCCATCGCGACACCCCTCCTTTTTTTGTCTTTGACCTATCCCCCCTGATGATGCTCATCACTCATTTGCAGGTTTTTCTCCCCTGGGTGGTAGTATTCCTCCCTGCACTTTTCTCGCATGTTTGGCGATCTGCATGCATGGGATGTGCATCTTTTGCAGTTACAGCCCCCCCTTTTTTCTTTTTCACCTACTACTTTTTTCTCATTCTTTCGCACCTCTTTTTCTCTACTTTTCTTCACCACCGTCAACAACAACAACAATAATGGATGCTCAAGTATCTGCTGTCAACCGTTTCCTTGGAACCACAACTGGTCGTGAAAAGCTATGTCGTCTTGTTCAATACTTTGCAAGATTCTACGCATTCTACTTGTGGCGCCAAGGAGCTCCCAAGGAAGTCATCCAACGTTGGGCTGATCTCAAGCAGCATATTGGCAATGGTCGTAAATTCTTTCGCTTGCTAAAGCCCATTGAATTTGTGCAAACAGCGATCCATATCAATGGTTCAGTCAAAGATGATATTCAACGTGTGACAACCATTGTCAAGCATCTCACCAACGCGCTCTACTACAGCTCTGAAGTGTTTGTCTTGGTATGTATGGGATCATTTTATCGTTATCGTGCTGTTGAGTTGACACAAGGATGGGGAATATAGACTACAGCAGTGGGTTTCTATCGACCTAAGGCTATTGACAAAATTACCAGCTTTGGTCAACGTTGTTGGTTTATCAGCTTGTTTTCATCCATCCTTGCCGACCTTTACAAGCTGCGACAGCTAAACGGACGTGCCCTCGAACTTGAAAGAGGCCTTAAAACACCTGAAGGAAGAAAAGATCCAGAGCTTCAATCCCAAGAAAAGATATTGACAAAGTGAGTAGTGGGATACTACATGATGCGGCAGCAGGATCAAAGTAACCTTGTTGTTGTTATTCTTGTTTCAGGGAGGTGAAAGCAGCCTATTTCCAACTATTGCAGGACGTGGTCGATATCATTATCCCAGCAGGCAACCTTCGTTGGCTCCCAGTGGATGAAGGCGTCATTGGCATTGCAGGGTATGATCATAATAGGGATGTGCTTAAAAACAACCAGGTGTTAATGTTGGATGCAAAATGTAGTATGATTACTGCTTGGACGGCCATGATGACACAATGGAGCAAGGTCAACCCTTGAGAGTGTCATAGTAATGGGGCAAGATTAGAAAAAGAGAAACGTCTATTGCTTCTTTGTTTGGTGCATACATAATGCATTGCCTTATCAAGGAAAGGTAGCCATAGATAGTACTGCATACACACGTATTACATAAAATGATGTTTGATAAGATACATAATAAGTGAATGAATATGTATGCTGGTCATCGATGAGGATCATTTATTGAATAGAAGACGCTACATCATTGCTATTGTTACAGTGGTATCTATGACCCTTGTCTCGCTGTCAATGCTGTTGCCCTCGTCTGATTCTGGAGAATGTTGCTTTTGATAAGAGTGTGCAGCACAGCTGTTGAAGCGGTTATGGCTGGCTTTTATGAACCATGATACATGGTCGAAAGAGTTGCCATGTCGACGGCAACAAGTACCAGCAAAGCTTGATTTGAGTTCCTGGTGGCATGGTTGACAGGGAGGATGTAATGTAAATGAATAAATCAGGATGCCTTGTGGTGTTGCTTGAAATGCAACTAGCAGATGGTGCTTTGTTGGATTGTGTTCATGGTCTTATCAAGTAGTCGCTTGTCGTGTAAAGATCATACCTAGTTACGTTGACATTAGGTTGCAGCATCATCATCCGCCCTGCTATTGTTACCTGGATACGATAAATCATTGCTAAAAGATGGATCCAGAAACGGCTTGTCTTTGTACTCCTTCACGTCACTCTCACCTTTCACCAACACATTCTTGACCAGGTGCAGCGCAATTGCTCATGTGCAACGCGATGTTATTGAAGAAGCTGTTGCTAATTGGTTCCGCCATGGTAGTTGCTCTCCAATGCTGGTGCTGCAGCATTCAATTCCTTTGTCAATGGACTGGATTAGGACGTACGGTGCTTGCATGATTGGGTGCCAAAAGCGAAAAGAAGAAAGCTATATGCCACGCATGATTCAGGTAACGACACCTTCTTAACATTGTAATCACGTGTAAGACCAATGACCTTTTTTTTATTATCTCCAAAAGGAAGCATCCATATTGATGGTGGTTATGAATATGATTGTGTTACTCTTCAGGTGAGATGGAAGTTTGGAGCAGACGCGTCTTACGATAGCAGCATCGGCACCACTGCTTACCCAGATGTGTAGGATTTGACGTTCGAATGTACAACCCACGACCGAAGCGCTTGAATACACAACGCCACGCGTCTTTTTTGTCACCAATCGCCATGCATCCTGAGTTGTGAAGCGTCGTTCATAGGCCATGGCTCTTGTCACTGATACGCCCAATGTCTTTTGTGGATGAGCATCACCAGCAGCAGCAGCGGTACTAATACGGCATGCATAATCAGTGATGGGACCCAACGTGGCATATTCAATTTCCATCTCGGTCAACAAATGTCGCACGCCAAACAATCGATCCATCAGCTCCACAGACAACACCTCGCTCACTAGACATCGACCTCCTGCATTGGGTGTACACATGACACGTCGTGCTGCTTCACCAAAATCGAATTGACCATGTCGACTTTTGGGATGAACATTGATATTGGCAGTGACAATCAACGACTTCTGTGGACAATTGTACAACGTATCTCTCAATTCAAGCAAGGACCCACATGCCATGTGGATGGACATATCCGAATGGAGCGGAATCCGCACATACAAGGGTGCTGCGGCTGCCATGGCAACCTCTCGACTGAATTTCGTCATCTTGCTGATCATCAAGCCATATCCATGGCTGTGGCTCTTGTTGTTGTTGAAGTGGATAATACCATTTGCTTTCTTCAAACCATGGCTTGTTCTCTTCCTCGCCTCTACCTCGACATGAATGGGTGATGCTGGTATCTTGTTGATGCAATAACGACGTACATGGTAAGCATGACGAGGAATTGGTGGTGGTGGGGTGCATCGATGTGGGGTTATGTGTTGTTATTGTAGTCATGGTATCACTTTTGAGGGGGACTGATAGTAGTGTATATATGATGCGATGTGATGTTTCTAATCTAATGTGAAAATAGAAACGTCTTGGGGGAGGAGGATGATAAAGAAGAAACACTAAAGGTGCGTCGTGAGGGCGCTTTGGATTCTTTTTATTGCCTTGAGACACTTAAGGTGTGGCACAGCACTATGACTACTACGTACTACGGAGAACGGCGATCACATGGATCTCGCTGTTGCTGCGGCAGAATGACTCACAATGAAGACATGACAAGTGACAAGATGTCATTGTGGTATACAACAACAACAGCGACAGAAATCAGTAATTGTGCTGCTGCATGCAACAACAATGCCCAACACCTGCTGCTCCAGTTTGCATTACAGCTGCTCCAAATGCACAGCAACGTACATACAATCATGCATATGCACTTGAGATAACATCGAATGTCCTATCTTTGTTCACTCATCCTAATATGGTGATACCAGCAGCAGCAGCAGCAAGCATACACCTCCTCAACGCGATACGTCGATAAGATGGATATACCTGTTACCGCCAAATCTTCAAAGAGCAGTTGGCTGAAACATTCAAAGATAACCTTTTAGACCAGGGGCTTGATAGTATGTACTATTATGGATATGGCGAGGAGAACAAGGAGAAGGAGGAGGAGGAGAAGGATGAGGGCATCAAGAGCATATATCATCATCTAATGTGACACAGGTTGATTTTGACAATTAGACAAACAAACAACAATTTTTCAATTGTGTGGTGCTACAAGATGCTCGTTTGGTGAATTCTCACATGCGTGCGTGGTGTATGCGATGATGATGAAGGTTGCACAAGAAGGGTGGATTGATTTTAAGAAGCTTCTGGCCAACCCACGGCCACCTTGTCAGCAACTTCCGCAATCCTTTGCAGCAAGGCGACTCTATATCACCCTGGGTGGTTTCAAATGCATGCGTAAGCAGTCTATTGAGTACCAGGGATGAGTAATGGAAGATGATGAATACGGCTCTACTATTCTATGAGGAGAAACAAGGAGAAGCAAAGCTTGCGTACACAATACGACGACGCCTAAGCCATGGGTGGATGATAATGGTGGTGATGATTTGCTTGTATACGTACGTTTTGGCGCTATACCGATACATACATGAGTCTCCTTGAATTGATGGCGAAAATGCAGCTGCTGCATTGGCAGCTTGTCTGTGGTGAGACGTCTCAGGATATTTTTACGATGGAAAAGAAAGTTAGCAATCCTCCTCCCTTCATGCTTCCTTTTTACTCCCCCATCTCCCTTATCCCTTTTACCCCGATCGCCTCCGGAATTAATGCATCCTCCCGTATACATACATTTCGTTCGACCATATTCTGGCATCTTACCCCGCTTCATTGTATGCATAATTCAAATCAGTTTAGAAGCCATGTGGATGATAGTATTAAACAGGCATATGGTCAGCTGATCGTGTTCTCTTCTCGCCTTTTGATCTACTATTCAAGGACATATCCATCTCGTTGTTTCTTCCTTCCTCTCTCTATAGCTTTCCTACCTCCCGAATGACCCCCAATGCTTGAATGTGAAAAATGTCAGTCATCGTGAACAGGGTGATTTACACGGACAAAGAGAGAGAGCGAGAAAGAAGGAATGAGGAGAACAATGGATCGGCCATTATGAGTCGATCCACGAGCGCCAAACCGTGAATAGACACCTTTAGCATTAGAGATAGATCCACCTACACCTTCACTCCTCCTCTCTTTAGATTGATAGAAAAAGAACATGTGTCTCATTAATCGCCACTAGGGTGTAAATGCCGAAAGCGATAAAATTATGCCGATTGTGTTAGTTTACAATAAGCACAATATGGCTAAGCAAATGATCGAGCACCTCACGTTTTCTTGGTCCGAAAAGTTTATTCTTGGCCTTGCTCCCTTTTGGTCCATTACATTGGCAAGCTGTTTTACCGATACATGACGATCGCCGAAACCATAATATTGGAAAGAAGAATTTCGTTTCATATGCATGATCCTCATTGTATTCTTCTGGTAAAGATGTATATTCTTGTTTGCTCAAGAGTAGTACTACTTTGAAGGGGGTTGCCAGGAGCAAGGAGAACCTACTATATTATCTACTACATGAGCCGCTTTGTTGATCTGCTATGACGCGCGCGCCCATAATGTGTAGGATGCTGAATGCAAATAATGCAAGCAACGGTTGAATGCACGGGGGGAGGATGATAGAAAGCAAGGGGAGGAGAAGAGAGGGGACGTATACACATACACTATTCAAAGAGTCCTAGAATGTTTGAGATTCATGCACATCCGGGTGCGCTTTTTGTACATGGACTTGTGAAAGTTTTGGGGCCAAGAAGCAAGAATCCTATATGCTGAACGCGCCTTTTCCAATACCGGTTTATTAAAAAACATGGATTGGCATTATTATGCCATGCATCAAGAATAGTACAAAGATTGTATTTTCTATTATCAAGGTGATGGTTCATGTGCTGCTGCTGCTGCCCTTGTTAATTCTCGATCTCCTTCATCATCATCATATGTAGCAAGCGGACATCCACTCTCTATCTCTCCTTTCCGATCAATTGACAGGAAAGATCATACGCGCCACGCAATTCAAAGAGCCAAGACCACCTCTTACATATCCTGATTTGGGAAAGGGAAATAAGGGCAAGGGTGAGTAAATCTTTTTCGTATAATGCAAAACCCAAAATATCAAATGTGTTGGCGAGAGAGAGAGAAATTGATAATTGACCCCCTTTCCCCCACACGCAAAGATAGCAAAGGTGATTGAAAGTGTGTGTGTGTGTGTGCGTGTGTTTATGGGTGTGAGCAAGAAAGAGAGAGCAAGGTCAGCTTAATCCCGATACAAGGGAACAAGTGGGATCACGCTCTAGTAGTAAAAATGCGGCTGAATGGGGTGCATCTCATATGTGTGTGATTCCTCATATGTCACACCAATGATGATCCTTGTCAACTCTTGTATATAAGGGCAAGAGTGTTTTGGTCCATCTTTTGATTATCACCAGCTCTCTTCTCTTCTTTCACTTTTTTTTCCTTCACACGCACACTCACACACACACACAACATGACTGAATCTTGTCAACAGATTCAACTGCCACCTCTTTCTTCTTTGATGTCATCTTCAGCTTCTGGTATGAGACATCGACAGCAACAACAACGTCATGTCCTTCCACTTCCCAACATAAGAGAACATGACCATCAGCCTGTGAGTATTTATCTTGTAACGTATGTACATTGCTATCTTGCTAACCTATCTTTTAGCTTCGAGTATTCAGCCCTGTCATCCTTTTCCATGACTATTCATGTACCTCTCCCATCAATCATCGAATTTCACAACCACCTACTACAACAACGCAGGTTCAACGTCCTGCTACTAAGCCTGTTCACTTGCACCCATACAACAGCAGCAACCCATACGCACAAATGAAAAAGTCCAAGATCAGCGAAATGCTTGAAGGTGATGGTAGCAGAATATGGCACGACACGGGACGAAAGGGAGCTTTTTGGAACGTGCTTGATCCCCATTTTCAACACCAACAACCACCATCATCGTCCATTACAACAACCCAACAACAAGGTGAACGTCCAGGTTTTCGCCATAGCAACCACAGCTCATCGCTTCCACTCACCCCACCTTCACATGATGGCTATCACTTTAAATCGGGTTACTTTGCCGATACGCCAGCTGACGATAATAGTTGCAGCAGCAGTAGCAGTAGCAGCAGCAATAGCAGTGCCGTTGGTGATGATCAAGCTGTTCAAGATCTTGGATCTCATGTTGTTGGTTTTCATGAATTTCCCACCGCCAGCACCAGCAGCACACAATGTTATCATCCACAACAGCATGTATCTGAACAAGTTGTAGCATCCAATGTTGATAATCGCAAGCGCCGTGGAAACCTACCTAAGCCAGTGACAGCCATTATGAAACGTTGGCTTGTGGAAAATTGCACCAATCCTTATCCCACCGAGGACGAAAAAGACTGGCTAAAGCAAGAAACGGGCTTGACCTTGAATCAAATTAGCAACTGGTTCATCAATGCGCGTCGTCGTATCTTGCCAATGATCCTTGCAAAGGCTGCTGCTCTTGAAGGTACACCCGTCATGCATCACAAGAAGCGACGTGGTAAGCCTCCATCGGCTATCACGGCTGCTCGTCGCAAAATGGCTAGCAAACGCACATGTCAAAAACTCTTCATGGATGATGATCATGGTAATGTATTCTTTATGCTTATTGCTATACCTATGAAAGGCCCCTCGTTATTGACATTTCATGATGATGTATGTAGATTGGTGGTTGTCTTCAACAACAACAACAGCCAAACGAGGCCTCAAGCGATCTTCTTCAGAGCAAGATGATGGATACGATTGTATGCGCCCATCCACTCGAGCCAGACATCATTAGGATGACCCTTTGGCTTGCCTTTCCTTTGTTTCCAGTAGATGTTGTAACCTTTTCACTCCCCCATTTTCTACCTGTTCTCATTCTTTTTTCTTTGTATGTGTGGATATCTATCATCTTTTAACCCTTTTCTCCCCTTTTCTTCTCCATCCATGTTGATAGCCCTGTACACTTTTTTGTCCAAATGTCATGTACTTTTTCTTTTACTTGTGTCCAAATGAACAAAGCATATCATTTCAACTGTCAGCCGACTTGTTGTGTATGTCACACGAAATCCCAATTGCCCATTCATAACATAATCGACCCAATCGTGGATGAGGATTTGCCTATTTTAATGAAAACAAGTGCCAGAGATGATGGTGTGAATGGAGAAAAGGGCATGTGAGAGAGAGAGAGAGTGTGTGTGTGTGTGTCAAGTCATCCCATCCGATAATCTCCAATGACCCTTGCCTCATATGGGAGTTTGCTTTTTACTTGCTCATTCAATTCAACATCCACCATACAACGCGCGTGGGGCGTAAAAAGTCTCCCAACAATATATTCTTTCCACGCGTATGCTCCTCATTCCTCGTCATTGCCTTACAACCATATGCACATTCACATGTATCTTTATTATTTATATATCTTTGGCGTCTTTACCCTGTGAGTAATGATGCTATGTACTAGCAGGTGCACAGCTGCATAAAATTTCTTTTCCCATGTGGGGTATTTTACCCAACAAACGGTTCATTGTCCTCCTCCACCTCCTCCTTCTTCATTCTTGTGGGTGTACTTTTGTGTGTGTACGTGCTGCGTGTGTGTGTGTGTGTGTGTGCATGTGCTGCCTTTTACATCATCCTTTATCCCTCCTGTCATCCTCCCTTTCTTCCCAATATGACATTCATTTCGGCATCCTCTTTGTCTTCCTCCTCCCCCTCTTTCTCCCCGTCCTCTTCTTCATTGCCCTCCCCTAACACTATCTCGGAACTCTCATCACACAACTCCACTGAACAACGGGCCAATGCTCATTCCCAACTTGAATCCAATGACGGTGCAAAGCATCGCGACAATCGAAAAGCATCGGCAATGCAACGGCTTTTGAGAAGCAAGCACTGGGTGCTTACTCCACCAGACACAGATCGTTTCCGCTTTTGTTTCAAAGAGCCAACAACTTGTTCCTCAGATGTGCCAGATGATAGTGCGCCTATTGAATCAGCAGCAGCAGCAAAAACAAAGACAACTCGTATCGTATCTTACAAGGTGGATCGAGTAGCAGCATCGCGTGAACACAACAAACCCGAAAAGGATACACCTATAAAGTTTGAGGACATTGATGTCGCACCAACCTCTGCAGACTCAAACAGCAGCAGCAGCACTCTCTTGGGCCATTGCATAGTACTCAACCTTGCCTTTGAAAAACGGATCATAGCACGATACACGCTTGATAATTGGATCACTTTTACGGATACGGATGCAACGCATGTTGAATCAGTGGTTGATGATAAATACGATCGCTTTTCGTTTACAATACCTGTGCAAGAAGATTTCTCGGCTGATGATGAGGATGATCATCACAACGAACTTGACATTCAATTGGCTTTGTGTTATTGCGTTGATCATGTTGAACATTGGGACAATAATGGCGGCGAGAACTACCATATCAAGGTGGTCCATTCTATCACTGTGGTGCATGAAGACAACAAGAAGGATCATCAAGAGGATGAGGAAGAGCAAGAGCAGCCTGTGATGTGGATGCAAAAGACTTCAGCATTGGCCAATGATACGCATATCAGCCCATGGACAACATCTCGTTTCTGGATCCCTGGATACATGCGACATAGCCAGATGACATTTGCACGAGACAATTACGACATTGAGTTTCTACCACCAACCAAACTGCCGGAGCAGGAACAAGATGAGGAGGATGAGAAGTTAACAACACCAGTGGATGGCGATATCGCCGAGCAACAACAAGGATTGCCTAGCAACGATCACCATGACGAAGTAAAAAGTCGAAAATAGTCATACCATGTAAAAGTATATCCATCATCATTCAATATATACAACGTTGCTTACTGTATTCCATTATCAATATCATGTTTTGGATTGGATCATATGGTTGGTGGAGGGTTTATAGAGGACCAGGGCCATCTTTGTGTGGGATCAATGCATCCAAAGGGAACTCGTACGATGCATAATCTAATCGTGGCAACATCCACGCGACCCAAATGTTTTGATGACAGACCAAAATGTCTATTCATGTGAGCTTTTCCTGCTTGGCTGTGTGTGTGTGAGAAAGAAAAACAAAGGCTTCCATGACAGTTTTACTCAAACATGAAATAACACGTCAACAACCATGTTGTTATGCTTGTCGGCTTAGCCGTTGGCTTTTGTGTGGCATTGGCACAGCAGCAGCATCGCCATGGTGACACACCACCACCCGTTGCGCCCATCATTTCGGACGTGTTGCCAGACAAAAGATTTTAGATGCATTATTTTGTTATCCTCATCGCCCATCGATAAGGGACCATCCATTTGGATCAGGCGTATGTGTGTGTGTGTGTGTGTGTGTGTATGTGTGGAGAAGCGAAGTTTGTATGTGTCCCATCAATCCTGAGCAAAACCAGAAACACTAAAATACATTTTGATTCACATGACCAGTTTTATGTACAACCATCTCAAAAAATAGAAGAGGGGTATGTGAGCGAGAACACTCACAGGTTTAAAAATAGGCAAAGAACAAGAAAGGCAACAAGGTGCGTTGCCTTTGTTTGTTCTGATGGGGTCAAATAATAAAAAGTATATGAAGAATGAATGGATGAAATGAAATGGAAGGGGTTGTGTGTGTGTGTTTGCAGAGAGATGTATGCTAATGGTATATGATGTGGGGGTGATTTTTGTAGAAAGGTGTGTACGAATGTAAAAGGGGGGAGAGAGAGAGTTGGTGAGAGGGAGGATGTGTGTGTGTGTGTGTGTGTGTGTGTATCTATACACTGTACAATGGGGATAGAGATCATTCTATTATATCCTTGCCAAGTTCGCGTAATAGCCGATGATGTCGGAGGCATGGTCAGGGCTATTGCTTGCAGAAGCAGCAAAGTCGTAAAGGTGTGTGCGTTGTTCTGCTTGTTTCCAAGGAAGCACATGCAGCGATAGCCGAGTTGTCTCGTGACTAAATAGAGCCGTATTAAAATAGGCGAGCACTTGATGGAGGTCTGTGGCTGTGTGTTGTAACAAGGGTTCCAAATATTCGCCATTCATGATATCGAACAAGTTGATGAGATGTCGTACCACGTATCGATCGATCTCGGCAAGAATTTGGTGGCCATATTCAACGAGACATGCATGTTCAACGTGATCATCATCATTGCTGACACTATCACAATGGCTAAGAACAAGCCTACGCACGTAAAGCTCAATGGCGGGTCGACCCAGCTTATCGCCAAGCTCATCCCACATGATGGGTAATCGACCGCCCACATGGGCTTGAATGGCACCAAATATTTGGGCACGCAAGATATCAAGGTCCATGACATCGCTTGATGATATTGCTGATAATGGATGTTGGTCGGGTGCTGTGGCAATTAAGGTTGGGTCGTCGTCGTCATTGTTACTATTACTGCTGCCATGGACCGAGATTTCAATATGGTCTCGCATTTGTTGCGCAATGTAGTCATAGCATGCTGATTTGATGGTATCAAGATGATCAAATTGCCAATGCGTGGCAATCAATTGTGCAAAACGATCCACTTGAACGAGCGTGTTTGATGATGTTGACGCATCCGAATTGCCGTGGTGGTCGCTATTGTCAGCATGATGGATGTGATAAAAGTCAACGCGGTATCCGCTTGCTGGTCTAGATGATGATGATGATGCTGTTGAATCGTCGATAGGGTGTGCTGCTGATGTGCATACAACGGCTACCACAGTGACGAAGAAAAGCAGTAATTTCATTCTTCGGCGTGAAAGGAAGAAAGAAGAAAAAAATGTAACTTTTGTAAAGCGGAGAGTAGGAAAGCAGGAAAGATGAGAACTGGTGTGTTCTTTTTATGTTTGATTCGGAGTTGCACAAAGTGGGCTAGCAAGATCGACGTAAGAGAACACAAAAAACCATAAAGGTTTTGTATGGTTATTTTTGTGCCAAGCCCACTTTATCGGGTCATGACGTTTTCATTGTGGCTCAATGGATGCGTAGCATCATCATCATCATCATCTCGACGTATAGAATGGATCATGTTATCGTGCACCGCCATCATTTGCTATTTTTGTGATCGTGGTAATGGTTACAAAACTTGCTTGGAAGTTTAGCAAAAATGGATTTGACATGTTCCTGGGTTGGGCTCGACCTTTTTGCGTTTCCCTGGTGTGAGCTTACATTTGGCTCAAAAGTATAGCTCCCCTTGTCTTCCCCCAATCCGTTACCCCCGACATTTGCAATCCGAGCCAATCTTTCTCCCCAATCCCAGTGCACACACACGATCAAGCCTTGCACACACTCACGCACACACACACATACATCTCAAACGACATGCATATTCCCCCTTAGATTGCACATTGCATTCACAAAAAAGGCTGTACGTGAGGATTTCTTAGTATAAGCGTTATGATGCCATTCCATCATTTGATTTTGCAAGATTTGGGTATCATCGTGTCGCTGTGTAAAATCATGAAATTGAATGGCGGGTTCCAGGCATCCCATCTCATTGTCTACACTGCGCCTCTATACTTGCATGCTTGTATCCAAAATCTCGAACTTTTTTTTTCTCGTCATGTGTGTGCGTATGTGCAAGCTGATACCAGTTCCGTCAAGATTGCAGTAGTAGTTGACCCCTTTTTTTACCCCCTCCTCTCTATTCCACCTATCACATCACCATTCAACGGCCATGAATTGAAGCTTTTTAAGACTCACATGCAGCCACACTATGCAAAGCATTGATATTTGTTGTACTCTTTTCTTAGGACACAACGTCGTGGATGGTTGCACAGGTGGGCTGATGAGAGGTACGATATGGCAAAGGTATGCTCTTTTACCGACAATGCGGAGAACCAAAGAAAGGGTCAAGGTTACCGACGATGGATAAGCATCTTGGAATTCATACGCGTAAACCCGCCATACACCAACCCCTTCAGACAACGAAAACAAGGCATACTCATTTCTCCTTATATGCATCTACTTGACCCCCTTTGTATTCATGCAGATGAGTTTGACTTTGAGAAGGAATGCACGATAGTCAACGACACGGTGTAACCGCTAGGGGGGACCGAATAGATACGACAACGGAAGATGGGTCATGGATAACGACCCAAAGAAAAGGATGCTACAAAGCCATTGCATGGCCAATGCTGTTGCTTATCATGTACACAACAACAAGGTATCTTGTAATAATCCAAATAGAGACTTCCTTTTGCCATTACCCTCATCACTTGATCTTGAATGATGATGTCTCACCTGCCATTTTCCTTTCCCGCCAAGAGGAAAGTTCTTTGAGGCACACACACACAGACGTGTTTTTGTAAAAAGAAGCATTGCTTTTATTGTATCACCTGCACAGCCTTGGTATTGGAAGCATATGCTTCTTCATGCTTATCTGAAAATGGCATAGATTGTAGAAACCAAGAACAACAATTCCCGCTTCGCTTATCGAAAAAGCCCATCAGTCAGCAATTAAGAAAAGGCTGCTGGTGCTGATGCAAAGCCAAGGCTTCAGCAGCAACCAACCATCCCATATACTTACAAGAAAGCTATTCTGGGTAACAACATCTCTTCCACGCCCATAATTTGATTGTTGCACACATACAACAAACCCGCAAATTGGATCTAAAACACTCGGGTATCAAAGAAGTCTGTAATGTGTAAGCTCACCAATAAGGCCGTTGGTGGTTAAACGGGCGGGGACTTTGTCTATGCATACACACCCTTCATGGATATAAAGAACATGCCTTAAAAGGGCAAAATTGACCTGAATGTCCCATTTCTAGCAAGCCACGCGTACCGCGTAAATCACTCATCCAATGTCGAAAAATAGGATTTTCTTTGTCTTTTGACGCTTGGCATCTCCCTCATAGAGCGGCAATTTATGTGAATCCTTACATTTGGGCGACTGGGCTTTTTGCTGCTGCAGCAGGAGCGACACCCTATAGCTCCGTTTTATTTCATGTGATGGTGTTTTGCTGTGCTGGGTAAAAGGCTGCTGCATTGAAACAATGATTTACAGGAAGCAATGGTTTCATGCGTGCCTATTTTTACTGCTCAATGGCACGATGAAACAACGGGATGTCTTGATCTGCTGGGTGCATGTTTCGCACAATCGACATTATTGGAAAAAGGGCATGCAGCAACTTTTCACAAAAAGCTGATCAGCCATTGACAAGACATGGCGGTGACATAATACAACACGCCAAACAATGAATGCTATCGTGCAGTAATTTGCATACATAAATTGAGGCATCCATCATGATGGCGCCCTAACAGTGGTGGTAGTGCAATTGTTAAATGGTGATCGAATTACCTTTATCATCATTTGCATTAACACGTGTATGTAGACCTATATTTTGTGTGATGCAAATAAGGCAATTTGTTTATTCAAGGATACAAATACTAGATAAAGTGTTGAATGTAAGTATGCATGCATGCATGATGGATGAATGATGAACAAAGAGGTATTATTGCTTGAAGAAGAATGGGCGGAGTTGGTACAATAGGATCCATTTGTGGGTGGG